CAAACTGCCCGCCCAAACTGCCCGCCCAAACTGCCCGCCCAAACTGCCCGCCCAAACTGCCCGCCCAAACTGCCCGCCCAAACTGCCCGCCCAAACTGCCCGCCCGCCAAACATAACATTTGATACGGTTCTTGTGGCCTATGCCATAACTAGCATATAGTGTTCTGTGGACATGTCCATTTTTCTCACACCATCAACTTTTGCTGTCGCGAACATAAAGTGATTTGTAATACAAAGGCAGGTTAATGTGGCAATGACGCAAAGGATTGACAAAATCGTATGAACTGCTCACTAAAGAATACCACAGCTGGCAAAATCCATCTCTCACAAGCCACAAGTGGCACAAAATAAGCTGGTTTTCTCTTTGAACTTTCCTACTTCTAAGGGCAGCAAGGATTTCAATGTACGTTAGAATTTACTATAAAGACTTGCGGTACCGGAGACCGGATATTTTAAAAGATTTGTAACATTGGAATATAAAGCTACGGTATCAGCTGAAAATGGTTTCCTCTGGTAGGTAAAACATAGGATTATTGTGTAAAAAGAAGACCCAAATATCCTACCATATCAGCAATGAATACAGAAGCTGTTGAAGTTTTGAAATATTATACCAGGTAGGAAGAAAGGCATTAGGTTGTAAAGGTCTCTCCATTGGGCAATGATTTAATACGTAGATGAAAGATTACCATGTATTATTGTTGACGTGAATGATTTCGAATATTGGAGCTTCAAAATGGAAAATTAACAGCTGTTAGTCATGTGGGATTAATGGGTTATACCACTCTACTTTCAGGACGGGGGGGGGGGGTTTAAGCCTGTATTGTGTTTTATGATTGCTGACAGTTTTAGACATCGCATTGTTACCAGCAAACAAATAAGGTCAATGACGTGAACCAGACATTTGTCACCATGGTAACTAGTGTTAATCATGTTGCAGTTTTGTAGCAGGAGGGATTTAGACTCCTTTCATCATACATGTGAAAGAATGTTTTTGAGTAAGAATTAACAGAGAAGACCAAATGCGAAGGTAAACATTATGCATCATATCCAGCTTGAGTAACTGTTTTTTTGGCATATTTTACTACCTGGATGTCTGACCTTCACAGACACATTATGCCTTTGCTTTGCAAATGTTACCTTAAAGTTTTTTGTTGTTTCTCTCTTGTGTTTACCACAGAACATTTAGGTTCCCAGTTGGAGCGGGGGTTGAGAAGAGTGACCAAGGAGACAGGCGTGCCTGTGAAGCTGGAGAGGATGGGGAAGCGGTCAGGACTGATCCGCGCTCGATTGCGAGGCTCGGGCGTGGCCAAGGGTCCGGTCATCACCTTCCTGGACGCTCATATTGAGTGTACCGAGGGCTGGGCAGAGCCTCTACTGGCAAGGATAGCAGAAGACAAGTATGTGTACTGTTATTCAATTTGTGTTTGCGATAGTAACAGTATGCCGTCTGAGAAAAATTTCACAGTTCTATATGTTCACAGTGGCAGCAGGTGCAGAAAAAAGAAAGTCTGACTCAGTGAATTTTTTGTTAATAGTTTGGAATCTCAGACTTGTTTTAGTCATTTTCATTTCATTAAATAATAATAATAAAATTCATTTTACCAAGAAATACACGCTTATATATTACAGCAAAACCCTGTTTTTCATGAGTTCCTCGGTACACCAACTTTAAAATACACAACTCATAAAACAAATGCAGGTCAATACTAATTGACATAACAATTACATAACTAATACATATAGATCGTTAACATCGTGCCTTTTTTGTGGTGCCTCTCAGTTTACTGTTGAATTCTGTTACTGTACTGCAATGTCTTTGTTCAACAGTCAGTTTATTCAGAGTGTCAGTCCATAATGCTATTACATGTAGTAAGTTACTTGTGTGTCGTATTACAGGAAGACCGTGGTGTGTCCGATCATTGATGTGATCAGTGACGACACGTTTGAGTACATGGCGGGATCAGACATGACCACAATTATGTATTACATGTATATGTATGTTTGGGACTACTGCATTGTAGATACAGTTCCCTGTAACTACATGTGTAGTGATTGACTGCTCTGTCGTATTACAGGAAGACCGTGGTGTGTCCCATCATTGATGTGATCAGTGACGACACGTTTGAGTACATGGCGGGATCAGACATGACGTACGGCGGCTTCAACTGGAAGCTGAACTTCAGGTGGTACCCCGTGCCGCAACGGGAGATGGACCGCAGAGGAGGGGACAGGACCATACCTCTCAGGTTAGGCACTACATCTTTGTAGTTGCTCTACAAACTTCAAACTAAGTACGTATTTTGAAAGGTATTTTCAGAAAAATATCTAACATCTTGTCTGCCCCTCTTCTTGGTGGTGGCGTCAGTGACGGCATTGGTTAGAGCGTTGGACTCGGAACCAAGAAGTCGCGGGTTCGATACTCACCGTGTCCCGAAGTTGTGCCCTTGGGAAAGGCACTTCACACGACTTCCCTTCCCTGTACGGTAGAGAGACGCCCACCGAGCCTCTAGGGCTAATTTGTCAAAATGTGTGCCAAAAACACACTACGGATTTGGTGCACCAATGTGCCAACATCTGCACATTTGCCACCGAGAGCCGTTAAATTTATTTCCTTTTTATTATTTGTCCAGAATTTTATTTCTATTATTTGACGCTAAACCGGATAGTGATTGAGTGAGTGTCCATCATCTTTAACACAGAGTAGACAAAAAGTTTTGAATTGTTTTGTATAAAGGTGTGATATTCCCTGTGTATAACTTTGTGTTTGATGTGATTTGGTGACAGAACTCCCACCATGGCAGGAGGCCTGTTTGCCATTGACAAGAGTTATTTTGAGGAGATCGGCACGTATGATTCCGGCATGGATATCTGGGGAGGAGAAAATCTGGAGATCTCATTCAGAGTAAGTCAGACATAAGCTAATACTGTAATCACTTTATGCACAATCAGTCATTTATGAAATACTTTGTTGTAACAAAATTTCGCGGTTTGAGAAAAACGGACAAAGTTCACGGTGGTGGCAGGTGCAGAAGTTCATATAATGTAGCTGAAAAATTACTTTCATTTAAGACAGTTATTGCTTTGAGTTGAAGAAGAAGGATACAAAGAACAAGAAAGATTAGATGAGAAAATATCATATTTTATATTTATTTATAGGAAATTAAAACTCTTACTAGTACTGGATAAATTACGGAGATAATTTCCGGACGTTTCAAGTGTCATCCACCACTCTTGCTTCAGCGTCACTAATGAACTAAGAGAACTCGTTAACACATATACATGTATGTATAATGGAAATACTGGTTGAACATGACAAGGACTCATAAAATGTGTAACTTGGATGTCTAACCTTCATCAATTGTATTTCATTTATGTTTGAATCTGTCTGTCTTGTATAGATATGGCAGTGTGGTGGGACGTTAGAAATCGTGACGTGACAGAAGAAGAAGGATACAAAGAGTGAGAAACATTAGACGAGAAAATATCATAATTTGATATTTATGTTTGAATCTGTCTTTCTTGCATAGATATGGCAGTGTGGTGGGACGTTAGAAATCGTGACGTGTTCGCATGTGGGCCACGTGTTCAGGAAGGCCACCCCCTACACGTTCCCTGGGGGGACCGGACAGATCATCAACAAGAACAACAGGAGGCTGGCCGAGGTCTGGATGGACAACTTCAAAGACTTCTTCTACATCATTTCTCCAGGTGAGCATCCTCAGATCTAGACATCATTCACTCACTCTCACTGTCCGGTTTATCGTCTGTTGTGCCTCGACTTCCGAGGGTTAGACGTGCTTGCACTGCAATACTGAGGCTTGATGGCAGCCCGCCACTTGCCTCTATCCTGTGGGTTAAAAAAAATTTACGGAAAGATAGAGTTTTCAAAGCAAATGATGTCATTACCTTCTCATAGTGTAGCCTAACAAACTCCTGATCTGCTTGAGGGAATTATTTGAATGAACTTCTTTTCCTCGATGCAGCCAAATTAAGTCCCACAAAATTGGGTCACAAATATTATATCATAATGGAAGTTTTCTCGCCAACCCTTAGATTTTTATCTTGCCTTCTTGCTAAATTTTCACCTTGAAATGTTCAAGAACCAAAGACATAAATCCACATAGCCCCTGGCCAGCTGATAGCTGATTCCTCTGCCCCCCTACTAGTACTTATTCAATGTCGTGTATAGTAAGCCTAAGCTCCCCTGAAAGGCGTCTAAGCTGGGCTTAGGGCACACATAGTACTGTCAAACCTACAGCCTGGAAGAAGACGGCTTTACATCGGGGGGTCGAAATTCATTTTTTGCTAAAGACTGTATCTAAATTTTTAAAAGTCATCTTGGCCTTTCATACTACGACTTTACTTCGTCTTCATGCATTCTGATCATAAAAAAGGTGACCTCTTTTACGAGATTGGCCAAAACTCATCAATAATGGAGCGTAATTTCCCCCGAATCCTGCAGATGTACAAATTGGTTAATCAGGCCACACCAATTTAATTTGTTGGTTCTCTGATTTTTTCAGAAAAAATATGAAGTGACAGGGCGAAAAAAAATAAAAATGAAAACAGCCTAGTCATATGCTGTTATAGCCCCAAATGCTACAATAGGAGCCATGAAGTTCACACAAAGGCTGGGCCAATATCAAAACAATAAATTTTGAACTTTTCATCAAACCACTGCATTGATAGATGGAAAAGCTGTAACAAGTAGGAAGAAAAGGACTTTCCTCAACTACTGGGGGCAAAATATTTGTGTTGATTAAGAACCATAATCTTTTTTTTTTGCAAATCATAAAAACGAAGAGGCGAATCCGAGAACCAACAAATTAAATTGGTGTGGCCTCAGGTTGTGATGTGGGATGTGGAGAGGAGCAGCTGTGATATTACGGCGCGCTCGTATCACGTACATATATCAGTTCCGCTGGACTTCCAGGCAAGTTGTAAAGCCGTCGTTGGCAACGCAGGGCTGGAAATACCGGGTTACGCGCCACAAAGTTCCTGCAATAATTATTTATTGACAGAAAAACTGGTGCTGGCTAGAGCCCTGATGTGAATCCAATTAATTGAATTGGTGCATCCTAAAGTTGTTGAAATGTTATGTTCAATACACACCACTACCTGTGGACTAGCCCCCTGCTGTAGTGATTGTACAACTGTGTGGCCCAAGGGCTACTGAACCAGAGATGGGTGCCACATGCATATGGTGTGGGAAAGAAAACTTTTTGGCGACGTCTCAGGGAGGAGCCTAATGGTACAGTATTGTGTGCAGTTTGCAAGAATTCTAGGAATGGTACAGGCATTTTGTCCACAGGAATGGAATGTCCACAGGCATGTCTCTGGCCCACATCTATACCCACATTCCTGGAAGCCTTTGGGAAGACATGTCTGCCCCGGCTGGCCATACTTTCTGTCTTCCTCAAAATCATAAAATGATGACAGTGCCATGCAGACAATAACCCTAACAGCAACCACCGTCGCCATGGCAATGTATGTTTTCATTGCCAGTCTTGTTAAGACTTTTTTTTAAGTTGTTGAAATGTTCTTTTCCCTGTAGGAGTTACGAAGGTGGATTATGGTGACGTGACAGGAAGGAAGGAGCTGAGAGACAAACTGAACTGTAAACCCTTCAAATGGTACCTGGAGAATATCTACCCAGACTCACAGATTCCTACTTCATATCACTCTTTAGGAGAGGTCAGTCTGTTTCTTTGTTTGTTTGTTTAATTAGAATAGAATCTCCATTAGTGTTACACAACTTTCATACTCATGTAAAACTCCATTATATTCGTGGTAGCAAAATTTTAAAGTAGATTTTCATTTAGCTGTTTACTAACTGTCATCACCAACATGTATGAAGTGTAAAATAAATAATGGCAAATTGAATTGTTCTGAATCGGTTCTTAGCATGATCCATACTTCTTAAATTCTGAATAGTGCTGGTAGAACTTGTATGGTGCAGGTAATTTTCAAACTCTCGCAAGATTACGTTTTGAAGTGATTGGTCATTAATTATCCTGATGAAGGCAACAGTGGTCGTTAAAAATTTAATCTCTGTGTAACCCTTGTGTTGGAATAAAGTTCAACATTTCGCTATAATTTGCAATGTTATATGGTGCAGGTAATTTCCAATGTTACTTGCACCAGTTACTGTATATACATGTACAAATGTACATGTATTATACAGTAAAACCTTATTTTGATCCCTGATATCCCAAGTGTCAGCCCTCAGGCATTGTCATGGATCACTGCTTATCAGTTAGTAGTAAGCAGAAAAGCTCCTGTTTAGAATGGGAAACAGCCAAAGATCACTGTATATAATCTAGCATCAACCTTGTGCCAGTGACTGGAATATAAATGGATATTTATAAATATCCATTTATAGGCCACACCAATTTAATTTGTTGGTTCTCGGATTTTTTCAGAAAAAATATGAAGCGACAAGGCGAAAAAAAAAACAGGTTTAGGCATCCTATTATAGGCTTAAATGCTACGGAATGAGCCATGAAGTCAACACAAAAGGCTGGGTTAAAATTTAAACATTGAATTTTGAACTTTTAATCAAACCACTGCAATGATAGCAGGGAAAACTGTAACAACTAGAAAGAAAAGGACTTTCCTCAACTGTTGGGGGCAAAACATGAGCATTTTTCAGTTGATTCAGGACCAGAATCAATTTTTTTTTGCAAATCAGAAAAAAACGAAGAGGCGAATCCGAGAACCAACAAATTAAATTGGTGTGGCCTTAGATAGATAGCAATTCGTCCTACAGTGTTCTATGACACTGCTGTTTCTTTGTATGCCTCAAAGTATACATTAATTTTGTAGTCCAAAAAATATCCTCTATGACTATCAGTTTTTGACACTGTAGACTACAAATGTATGATAGTATACGAGCCAATATACATGTATTTTATTTGTAATCTAGAAAATTATCTTTCCTCTAATATGATATAATTTTTGCCACTGACAACATTAGTCATTTTACCATTATTGAATGACATTTCTGTGGGGTTTCTGGCTTAGTGGTAGCGTGTTCGGCTCAGAACCAAGAGGTCCAGGGTTTGAATCCTATGCTGTCACTGATCTTGTTCCTTTTGAAAAGGCACTTTACATGACTTTCCTCACTTCACTCAGGTGAAAATGAGTACCTAGCTTCGGTTAGGGACGTCCCTTTAGATAGGACGTTAAATGGAGGCTTCACTTACGAAGTTATGACAATGATGACTAACAAGAATGACGTGTCTGCTTCTGTCCAGATTCGCAATATCGACAGTAACCAGTGCGTCGACAACATGGCGAGGAAAGAGAACGAGAAAGTCGGCATCTTCAGCTGCCACGGCATGGGCGGGAACCAGGTAGGTTGTCATGGTTACCTGTCGTCATGGTTACCTGTCGTCATGGTTACCTGTCGTCATGGTCACCTGTCTCCTTCCTACAATTAGCCTTCTTTCTGCGAAGGTAAACATTGGTTTTGCTCTGTTTCGTCTTCCTCATCTTCTTCTTTCCCAAACAATTGAGGTCAATGACCTGAACCAGACGTCTGTCACCATGGTAACTGGTGTTGGGTTACATCATGTTGCAATTTCATACATGCAGCAGGAGAGATTTAGACTACTGTATAAGTTGAGGTGGTGGGAGTCCTCCCTTATAATACATGTATCTTCCTAGGTCGTTCTCTAGGGTTTTGGCCTTCCCCATTCAATACTGCGTTATGCTTTGTTTTCTTTTTTCGTCTTGAATCAAAGCACTGTATACATGTACATTCTTTTCCCTTTCAGACTGTTCTTGTGACTTTTTTTTTCAAGCTTCTGACAGATTTCCACATCCAGAATATTTTCTCTTTGCTGCTCTGAAGTTACCTTGGACGCATTGTTAAATATGCACGCAAATTAATGTACAATGGCTCTATGCAAAGTGATTGAGAAATGAATAACCTCACCCCTATAGTCTATTATCACTTCTTTCACACTCATGTTTCATTTTTACAGTCCTCTCCTTACATTTAATCAGCTTGCTAATCATACATGCTTAGTAAGTCCACCATATATTTACAGTCGAAAGAATTATATCACTACTGAACTCATAAAATCCTGAAGTTATCAGCTGGCTTTCTGCCGAGCACATGGCTATAATTCAAGTGGCAGAGTATTTATTAGGCAGTAACGTCTATTCCATCAAGCATTGAACTCTTGTTTATAGATGGTGTCTTCCTGTATAATACATTAACTGTCTAAGTAATGTATTGGCCTCTGTACTAGTAACATTGTTTAGAGGGATCTTGTTACTTGAATAATAGGGAGAAAAGTACGGCCATTCTATCATTCTTGTTAACCTAAAAAATTCTGTGTATTACTCACTCACTCACTCACACACTCACTCACTCACTCACTCACTCACTCACTCACTCACTCACTCACACACTCACTGTCCGGTTTATCGTCTGTTGTTCCCCGTCTTCCGAGGGTTAGTCTGCCAGTATTACTTATAAAATATTAAGCAAGTTAATATGGGTTGGTGAGTTTCGAAGAAACAAATCTAAAATGCTTGGAAAAGCCCGCTTTCCTATAGGCCCAACCTACATGGTCAGGTCTTTCGAAATCTCTCTGTTCCATATGACACATTGTACATGTATGGGGCAGAGGGATTTTGAAAATCTGACTATTGTGATGATGATGTTGGTCTATCAAAACACACATTGTTACAGGAAGACAGTTGCCAAACGTAAAATTCAACTGTAAACTTTTGACGATGCGTGAAATGTTGCCTGGTCTGAAAATTGATTGCACACTGTAACAAAACAAACACCTTAGTGCACCCAAATTTGGAGCTGTGCACCCAATTTTTTTCTGTGGGTGCACTGGTGCACCAAAATATTTTGGGAGGTATTTTTGTACATATCAGATGTATAATAGTATACAGGATATTCTTGGCATCTAAGTGTCAGAAAAATAATAAAATCTTTGTTGTAGTACTTGTGTAAGATTTTGAAGTTAGCTCCCATTTCAGATTCAAGCTTAAAAGAGGAGCAGTATGATCTGTAATTAGGTTTTGTTGTACATGGTGTACCCAAAAATTTTTTGTGCACCTAATTGTTTAGGTTGGGTGCACCAGTGCACCTATTCCCAAAAATGAATTTCGAGCCCTGCCACAGCAAATGGTGTATGTTACACAATAACAGCCCAACTGTGGAGCAAAGAGGAGGATAAATCTAGTGTCGCCGTTCAGGTACATTTTTTTGTGTCTAGATCAATACACACTGAGGGAAAACAACAGTGTCCTTTATTTATGACCTGTTTTCACTACAGCAATATTGGATTTTATGCGACCATCTTATATTTGGAATACATAATATTATGATGCATGAAGCAGAAGTATGATTCACTGTTACAAGACTGAAATTCCTTGAACGATCAGTCAAAGTCATTTGTTCGGTTGCAGCTTCTATGTACATGTAGAGCAGAGACTGTATATTGCAGAGTTCTGCAATATTGCAGAATGTTAACATTTTGGTCTGCAATTTGGAAATACTTTCTGCAAAATACACACTTGAAAGTCCGGATCTAAACCCAAGGCACATACAAAATTGCATGTTGGCAAACATCTAATTCTAATTACCTGCAGTTTGAAATACTATGAAAATCATGCCAAAAATGTGCTAAGAAATGGCAGTAACATTAGGTGGATTTCCTTATCCAGAATATTGCTTGTTTTGTCACCCTAAAATTCAATTGAAAGCCTTTAAAATGTTACAAGCCTAAAGTGCAACAAAACCCCACCACCGCTGACACAAATGAAAGATAGAGGTTACGAGTCAGAAAACCCCATGGTGCAAATAAAAACAATGATAATAAATCTATGACATACACTCAGGGCTCTAAGCCAGCTAAATTTTTTTTCTTCGTTAGCCCAGGTTTGTGATCAGAACTGGGGGGAGAGTGCTTACAATCTAGGGAGTCTGGGGACAAATTCAGGATTTTCAAGCCCTTAAATTAAATAAAACACAATTTCCCACATTTTAAGAGACACATCATTGAGGTTGAGAGTGGTTGTTGGATGTTTTTATATTATCATCCATTTTGTCAATTTTGTCCAACAAGGTTGAAGGATTGGTTTAAAAATTTCCGTCACAGTCAGCACAAAGTTTCTGCGATTAACGGAAAAACGGGTGCTGGCAAGAGCCCTACCTAGATTATGTTCAAGAAAACCCCACCATCTCTGACACAAATGAGATGTAGAGGTTAGGACAGAAAACCCCTGGGTGCAAATAAACGCAGTGTTATAGATGACATCAGACTGTGTGGCAGCCTAGAGAGCCGAACTGATTACTCGCCGACTCCCTGCATTTGCCTGGAGGTGTAACTTATGAGGAAGAAAGAGCGAGGAAAGGTTAAATCGATAGGAAGAGGGGAAATAAGAGCTTAGTGCACTCGTGGAGCCATCAGTCACCAGGTCTCACATGCGATCCATTGTGACAGGTGGCTGCTCTTTAATTATGGAGGATTGTGTTGTTAAAGAAAGGTGTTACAAGAAAGGTATAACCCTTATCCTAATTGATATGATACATTTGTACTTCTATCTCGCTATGGTGAAAGGCGGCCAATGCAATGTTAGGGTGGCCAAACAAAAAATCTTCTGGATTAGGAAACCTCATGTCTGATTTTGCCATTTACTGCCATTTTTTCACATTTTCGTCTTTTGAAAATTTTGACATTCTACAATATTGCAGAACACTTTTATTTAAAAAAAAAAAAAGGATTTTTACCACAGTAATATATCTGTTCAATCAATCTAACACTTGACCCAGTGTTGCATGACTGGTGATTTCTAATAACGTACTTCATCATGCTGACTAGGACTAACACGATGTCCCAAGCTGATGTGCACGGAAGCGCAATATGCTCAGTAATCAATTTCCAGGCCATACGACAGTTCATGCATCTTCAACATTCAAATGCTTCAGGAAACTATTATGATATGCAGGGCTCCAAATTCATTTTTGGGAATAGGGGAACCCTTTTTTTGTGGTCCATATCATGAAATAAAATAAGTAGAATGTAGGAAAAAAATTTATTATGTTTCATTTCTAAAGAAAAGTACTACGACAATGATTTTATTATTTTCATGACACTTAAATGTTAACAATATGCTGTATACTAACTATACATTTAACATCTTTGCATACGTAAACCTATGAAAATATTTGGGTGCACTGGTGCACCAACAGAAATAAATTGGGTGCACAGCTCCAAATTTGAGTGCACTAAGGTGCACATGCAGGTGCACACATGTATTTCGAGCCCTGGTAACATACACCATTTACTTTGGAAACTAATTTCATGCTGGTTTGTATGCTGTTTCAGCACTGCTATCCATCTTAGCTCCCTTTGTGTCTCTCTTTCTGGCTGGTTTGCCTTCCTCGTCAGCCCATCTTTCTTGTCAATTTGTAGACTAGCGTAGCCGATAAATCTAACAGAGTAGACCAGTTTACCTTTCATGGATCGCAGGAGAACTGCTCATGCCCGTACCCATGGGGGTTGGAAGACCCCTCCACAAGGCTCAAAGGTCCACTTTTTATCTAAAGGTCCAAGATTTTTCTTTAAAAGATGGACTCATTTTAGCCTGTGTATACAAGCTCTCGGCTGGACGTTAATGACCCCCACCCCAAGAGCTTGTGGCAGAATAGCTGTAAGTCGGGCGGCCCGTTCCCTTTCCTGGAGTCACCAATAGGAAGCCAGTTTTAGGAATTAATGTGGGAACCGACCGGGCCATCACGTGGTACGGCGCCAGGCAGCCGGAGAAGGGCGGAGTACCGGGCGGGGACGAAAAATTTGATCGACTGCGGGTGGGAATTTCTCAGAAAAATGGCTGGGACTAGCCCGAAACCGAGTTTCTGTGCATTCTGGAGTCAGTGTGTGTGGACTTTGGGAGTCCCTGGCCCCTAGAGCCGCTTCAGGAAAATGCGATAAAATTTTTCGTTAAACAGAGAAACGACGTGTTTGCGTGTCTTCCTACCGGCTATGAGAAGACCGAGATCGTGAAACAGTGCAGAGCAAACGAAAACGGCGGGTTGACGACATTCTTGTGCTTTGTTGACGATGTTGACTCCTGTCAAATTATCGATACTTAATTGCTGGAATCTAAAATGTTACTGGGTTCTCCTAAGCGGGAGTTGTTTATTGTTTTGATCGGTAAAACGCAGGGTAAAATACGCTAGAAATTGATTACTTTGTGGGTAAAAGAAAACTCACGCCGAGGGCGAGGTCCACACTTCCGGGTTCATCGACGACAAAATGACTCAAAAAACGCTAACAATCCGCATAGAAGTATATAATTTCCCGACTGATTCTTGAAACTATGCATTTCTTCACTAGAATATCGATGTGTGGTTGTGGAAAATAGCATTTTAGCGCTTATATCGAAGAAAGAAAAGTTGTTTACACGCGCGTCGGCTCGGTCAATCTTCAATACCGTGGATGAGATTCTTTTCTCTCGGTGTGACTCCCATTTCCCACGAGGGAGTTCCAGAAACTTTGGAAAATAGAAACAGATTCGACTCGCGAGCGGGTGGCCGCGCCTTCCTCGGCCAAACTTCAATTTTGGGACATGAAAGGCGCGCCGACGTCCATCACTGGTTAGCGACCGACAGGCCCATAGCAACCATCTCTGTTGGGTGCCGCACCGTCTGAGGGCCGTTCGTGACGTTTGCATCTCATTAACCATATATGGCAGACCAGGGCCGTCGACACACCGCCAGCTTTACGCGTGCTTGACATCAAGCTTTTGGGGGGCGGCAACCTAGGGCGGCGGCCGCCAGGAGCGCGATTTAGTCAGGCTAGACTCATTTGTATCACCACCGAGGCGGGAATTGTAGAAAAACTGCTCAATTTGTCATTGAATAAAAAATTATGTCAGACTCTGATTTTTCCTTAAAAATCCTCAAAAATGCAGGAAATGCTATTTCAGAAGGACCTGGTTCAATTTTCAAAATTTCCTGGGACTCCTGAACCTCAGACCTTGGGAAGAACCCCCCCCCCCTTCAAAATCCTGGCTACGGACATGCTGCTTACGTCACGGGGGACATTTTGAATAGAGCGCCTTTCTAGAACCCGGAAGTTGCAACAGCGGCTTTTGTTTGTGATGTCCCCCCTGGCAGATCACAGCGATGGTCTGCATTCTGCTCTCAGATAACAGAATCGGCTATCTGGTGAAATTGGGTGGAAGGAAACAGGGGACAGCCATCCTTCAGCAAAGTATCCATAAGCTTTAGACTCCTAATGTACCAGCGCAGGTCTGGAACTTTCAGAAATTAAAGTTACCCACCTCGGGAAATCTGCCAGGGCGCAACACAAGCGAAAGCTGTTTTGTTTTTTGTTTTTTTTTGTATAATGTGCTATAGTGAGCAATACCCACTGATTGTACATACACATGATAAGAATACAGTTTAGTGGGCAATCAATGGCTCACAGCTGCCAAGTGTTCTCATTTACAATAAAGGAGGTGTCGATGGACTCTAATTTTGAAAGACTGCAGGCGGTTCTAGAACTGTTCTATTCAAATAGTCCCCCCTGTGATGTATGCAGTTTATGCGATCAGTGACAGGTAAACTGGTCTATTGTTACAGTAGTAACTGTAAAAATGCATGTATCAGCTACTGTATATCTAACTGGAACAAATGTTTGCAATTTTCATTTGAATTTTATTTTATTTCCAAGTCACCAAGAAGTCCTTTTTCTCTGACTGTTTATTTTGGTTTTATTTTTGTTTGCTTTTTTTGTCTAATTTTTCTGTAATGTTCATTTTTTCTTCTGTACTTTTTTTTACCAATTTTGTTTCATCAACCTACCTTCCCATTTGTTAATTTCTTTTGTAAAAGTGATCCAATCAGTCATCAAAACTCAATAACATGCAAAAACCAGTGCACTAATTACTAGTACTTGTATCGGCAATCTATATATAATGCATAACCACACACTACGTTACATAATCATCTAATATATATGCATTTTACATGATCGAGAAATGAACACGATTTAAACGAGAATTTCACAGCTTTTGCACAGCTTTTGCCTGCATTTTCATTTTAGAAATGCAAAGTTTTGATAACAATTCCCAACAGGAACTGATATGGAAACTTATTCGAGTTCTGTACCGTAAGAATTGTGAAAATGGTGCAGGAAAGAAGGGCTTCTTGTTGGCTGGCTAACACACTAACCGCGGTGGCCGCCTAACCCCCTCACATAGCCTCACTTCTCTGTCCCCCCCACAGATTGTAACAGAAGTAAAGTCCTCCCAGGTATGTGGTGTACCGTCCAGTTTTCTTTCTTTTTAACCCAAAGGTATGACATTCAAGGCTTTCTGCGACTATTCTAGAGAGAAAGAATCAACTATCAGCAAAATTTCCTTAGCCTGGGTACCATCCGGATTTTGGCTCTGCAACGCTTGAATAAAAAAACATGTTTTTTTTTCAGTGTTGCGGAGCCAAAATGTGGATGCTACCCAGGCTAAACATTTCCTTAATTCAGTGAAGATGTGGCCGTTTGGAAGTTTGATTTTAAATTAAAGGCATCCGAACTTGCAATTGCAAGATCTTATAATTGAATCAGTTTCGTAACTGCAATCATGACATACTAGTACCAATTTTTCAAATCATCAATAGAAAATAGATTAGAAACAGAGACTAATATACATTGAATAATGGCAGTTAGAAATGAATTGTTGGAAATCACTGCATGGTAGATTACTGTTGGATTTATTGAATTCAAGGTTGTGCTTGTTCAAACGTAACTGGGCCCAAGTCGGTCGTCAGCCTTTGAAGTTGAGCAGTTTAGGAGATGAGCACAGTCTTAAATATGCCAGAAGGACAGAAATCCATTTGAACGTGATTCGCAAGAGAGCAGTGTTACAGTGATTAGCAGTATGTCTTAGCCGTAGTGCTTTGGTCTGCTACTTTGGAACGTGTAACAAGTTTTCTTCTTTGTAAATAAGACTTAATTGTCCTGTAGTCAAACTTTTATTTCTGTTCATTTTCATCACAGAGTTTAGAGGTTTTGCTAATTGAATCATGGTAATTTATCGCTTTGATAGTTGAATACAAATTGAATATGAAAGGATTTGAAATTCCTAGTCAGCAAATGCTTTAACAGGTTTGAGAACAACTGCCAAATGATATAAACTTCTTGTACTCAGTGATTTTGCTTGATTGCATTCACTAATTCATTTTCTACTAATCAGTTACTAACCCATCTAACACTTTCTCTTCACAATGTACATTTTTGTAGCAGTAATTTAGACAAGAAAGATGGGCAGTTCATTTTATTTTATCATTGTTCTTGGTGGCAGCTTTTTTTATATTGCACAATGGTTTGTCCTACAATTCCAGTCTTTTTTTCAATTTAATCAAGAGTGAAATTCAAAATACATTGTACCAGTATGTGTAAGGGAGCTGCATCACATTTCATTCATCTCTCTGTTGAATGTGCTGTATGGAAATGTGTTGCTAATTTCCCAAAGATAACTGTGGCTCCACCAGCACGTCGGCAAAATGTACTGCACCTGTGTGAAACCAGTAATGTATTGTGCATAGCCCTTAAGCAGTACGTCTCATATAAGGTCGGTCGTATTTGTACATGTAAGGTTAACAGTCCATCTGTAGTTTCCAGTGTTATCAATGTCGGATGCCGGTTTGCAACAGGCAAAGTTCTGATGCAGCGTTGGCCAAAAAAACAAAAATAGTGAAAAATTGCGCAGGTGCAGTACGTTCTGCCGATGTGCTAGACTGTGTCTAAAGTGCTGAATTTGTTGTAGAGCGAATGTGGTGCTACAATGTATGTTTGCAGGTGTTCTCCTATACTAAAGCTTTATATGAGACGTTCTGCCAAAGTTCTATGGCAGGTGCAGTACATTATAGGTTGTGCTAGTCTAAAGTGCTGAATTGTTGAGCAAATGTGGTGCTATGTTTATTTTCAGGTGTTCTCCTATACAAAAGAGAAGGAGCTGAGAACAGATGACCTGTGCCTTGATGTCTCCAAACCCGGCGGACCAGTCATGCTCTTCAAGTGCCACCACCTCGGGGGGAACCAGCTCTGGGAATATGACGAAAAAGTAGGCGACTACTGCTTTTTATTTATTTATCTACATGCTGTGTACATGTACATGTACATGTGTATGTACAGTAGTGTACATGTACATGTATGACTTTGTGTGTTTGTATGTAATACTATATGACTGTTGTGGGGTCGTGTGGTGTAGCGGTAGAGTGTCCCACTCCGACTCAGAACCAAGAGGGTTCAAACCCTGCTATGCCACCGATCTTGTGTCCTTGGGAAAGACATTTTACACGACTTTCCTCACTTCGCTCAGGTGAAAATGAGTATTGTATTGTCCCCTGTGTTGGTGGCGGCATTAAGATAAGTTGAAAAAAACTTGAGTGTGTCCCCACCACATCTTGTGATTACATGTTTGGAATAATGTGTAAAAAAAGTTAAATAATGTAATTTCTTGAACCCTTACCCCAGATCCAGCTCCTGAAGCATGTGAACAGTAACCAGTGTCTGGACAAGCCCCACGCCGGGTCACCCCAGGAGCCCTCTATGCAGCCGTGTGATCCCGGCAAGACTTCACAGCACTGGCAGCTTACCAATGTGCACCTCCCCAGCCACAAGAGGAGATAGGACCGACATATACTACTTCTACTGTACCTTTCCCTGCAGAGGGAAATCATTTTGATATCAAATTTCTACTTCTCTGCTGCAGGTGTCTTAAAATGGTAACAAATTTGTGTTGATCACGAGGTTAGGCAGCAGAAAGGAGGTTAAAGTTTTCTTTAGACATTGGAAGAAAATGTAACAAATAATGCGTTCGATTTGAGTGGAAACAAAGACATACATTGTAGGATATAGTCACTGTGGTTTTCTTTTTACAAAACTGGACAGGTATAGACTCTCACCTGCTTACATTTTGATGCCTATCAGACACCTTCCTCAGGGCCTCAGAATCATACTGGATTACCACTGCTATACTGTATGTAGGTGGCGCTTTGGTAGCCAGAACACAAGCCCAAACATGGCTTAAAATTTGTATCCCCTCATCCCAGTTTATCACTGGGGTTAACTTTCTTATCCAAACCGCCTCCTTATACTCACTCACTCACTATCCAGTTTATCGTCTGTTGTTCCCCATCTTCCAAGGGTTAGACACGCTTGCACACTGATGCTGAGGCTTGATGGCAGCCCACCATCCTGTGGGTTGACATAATCATTATAATCCAATGGATTATCCTCTCTGTCTATTACCTTGGCCTCCTCCCAGTCTATTATTAATTTGTTAGAAGTTATAGTTTCTTCTTTTTTCTTTTTGAGAAAGATGTCTGACTGGTATTAGACAAAATGACACAATATAGTGAGAGTCTATACATGTATGGGTTGTGTAAAAAGAAAGCAACAATGTCCTATGTTTTGCCAATCGGATGGGACAATTTTCGGAAGGAAACTACGATAACTTACACCGTATGGTACACTTAATATATCACCAACATTTCCATAGCCTTTACATAATGTATTGTTGTATGAATGATCAACAATTGGTGACATGAAAACATGTAGATTTGAGTGAAAAGTTTTTATTTTAAATGTCAGTTGAGACATGCAGGTACGTGACATGTTCTGTCAACCATGTACATATTCTGGCTACATCTACATGTAGGGTAACTGTGAGATTCGAATTCCAATTGAAATTACATGTAGGTTGAATGTGAAAAAGAAAAGAATTGTATAGTAAGTCACAATATATATTTGACAAGCACTGTAATGCAAGATGGTATTTTATAATAACATTTCTACACAGAGTCTTTATAAAAAGCAATGTTCAGGCAACCAGACTGAAAACGTGTGCAGGGACTTACCTCTATATATTGTAGAGCTTTCTGTAGATACAAGAGCAATATATGATAGAAGCTTGTTGTTGCTGTAGGACCCCTAGCAGCTACTGTAAGAACTGCAGTAAAATCAGTGCAATGAATGGAACATTATTATGTAGAGAAAAATTATTGGGACAGAGTGAATAACCAAATATGGAAATGCTGGTTGGTAACGAACCATTTAGTGCCTTTTGCTGGTAGAGTTGTTGCCTTAGATGATATCTTCTAAAAAAAATATGCCTTTAATACTTTTGATATCAACCAGAATTGCATGCAAGTGGGTAGGTTTTAAAACTGCCCCCTAGCTTCAACTGAGGGAACTGCAGGTATATTGTGTTGGAGAATATTGTACTGTTCTGGCTAGAGATTGTATTGTTGGTTGTTCACACTCACAGATATGACAATGAGGCCTTGCTTTGAGATTTAAAAATTTAAAAGTGTAGGGTTGTGATCATTGCATGAGGACCTCTAGCAGCTATTATGGGAACTGCAGTAAAATGCAAGAATGAATGAAACTGCACAAGTTTCAGTGCCTTTTGACCAGTGTTAAGATCCACCTCAAACATTTCATGTAATACACATATATTTATGGTGTGAATCAAGTATGATGACAAGTTTCAACTTGATTGCTCAAGACACGATAACTTCATTGGTTAGTGGTATCTATTAACGGAAAAGCAAACTTTTAGTCTGATCACAAAGATGTGCCAAAAAAACAGTTACTCAAGCAACTGGATATGATTTTGGAAACAGTCAATTGCTTGAGTAACTGTTCTTTTTGGCATATCTTATTACCTGAATGTCTAATCTTCACCGATGTGATCACAAAGATATCTGTTGGGTTTGAGTTAAAAGCATCTCGGTTATTGTACATGCTTCTTAGAATGGGTTGGAACTTCTTGATATAATCATTGTGCAACATGAAAATGTACGGTCACATATCTGGTAGTCAGTTCGAGCTGTATACTCCAGAAAGTACAATGAAGATCTCTTCTTTTTGCACTTTTCCCAGACACCCCAAAATTTGAACCTGTTTTCTGACAACATTTTGGGAACAAAGAACGGAAAGGAACAACGTACTTCACAGAGGTCCAATGTATGTACTAAATGTGGTAAATTTTTGAACTTGTGTATATTTTGTTGTGTAAAATAATGACCGTTAAATATGCTTGACAATGTATAATGATTACCACAAATTATAATTCATATACTCGTACCCTTCTTAATTACACAATATTTGTAGAGTTTAAAATATGTATATTGATTATGTAGCCAACAAGTGGTAGGTTGCAAAATATATGTACTAGGCATTTTCTCTTGATTTTGCATGGAATAAAAAATTAAATGCATTTTGGCATCTGTACTTGATATTAGACAGAAATTGAGTAGTATATTTTGCTATCTGATGTATCCAGCTATCATGGCACATTGGGCAGAGTGATTCTGATCATTTTATTAGTAATAAAGTGCCTGGACTGGTGTAAATATTTTGAACCCCTTTTAAAAAAAAACCCAAAGTGAAGTAAATGAAATTATACGAGTAGTTCTCAAAATTTTGGCATGGGGCTTTGGCCACTAACACACCCCCACTATGCAATAGTAATGCATTGGATACATGCATATCTGTCCAATTCTATTGCTCAGTCTTTTCATCATTGTTTATTGTCATAACTTCACTGGGAAAAACAGTGTCCAAAACTCTCCAAAATGCCAAGCCTTCAATCTGTACGTGTGAAGCCATGATAGATGTATTATAACGTTACTAGTCTCTACCAGACTAAACTACGCTGGCCATATATAGGATAATATTTGCCAGGGGAGTTTGGCCGCCTTGTAGGTTTGACTGGTATACAGGAGGGAAAGAAACAACCTCCCCGTGGCCGGACACCCTTGGCCAATCTTCTTTTAGCCAAATTCTACGATCTGTATTCCCGTAGAAAGGCCTGGTGGACGCTAGATGTATACCAGTAGCACCTTTGATACCCCTCCCCACAAAATGGAAACTTAAAGTTTGCAAAAGTCTCTGCTTATGTGCCCTTTTCTGTATCTGCACTACATGTATTTTATCCAAGAAGACAATGGACTTTTTGGAAGTTCTCTATATGATTGTATAATTGTACTTCTCACGTTCTATTAATGCATGGAGGCAGAATTGTACACAATTCTACCTCCACGATTTAAGTAACAATTTAAAGTAATGCCTGTACAGATGACAGAATGTACAGGGTATGACAAGCTTTTTCCACACGTGTAGTGCAGGTGGCACCATCTCTCGATGCCTTAAAACGTGCTTTGTGTAGTAGTTGTGAATGTAGTTCGTTACGTTTCATTTGTGTACAGTTTTCAGAGGAGAATGTAGTATTTACGAAAACCTTTGTAGTCAAATCAATGTCAATGTTTGTGAACTACTAAGTATTCATTTCAGTATTGATTTCGCACTATCAATTATGACTCATTAGTTTCTTTTAATTTCAATGACATGTAAATTTTTCTGTGAAGGAACCCCCATTCTTACAAAAATAACCCTTGAATGCAAGCATTAAAATGCAGTTTTTCAATTGGAAATGAACTGTAAGAATTGCGTGAAGTTTAAGTACAGCAATGTCCTTGTTGTTTAGTAGAAGTACAGGGAACAATCTCATCTTAATTTGTATGCTGCAATACACAACTTTGCAGAGTTATGTTTTCTGATCTCCAAACTGCGTGCAAATGCAAGCTTTCTTTAGTTATAGATTATGACGATTGTTTATTATGTGTACAGGACGGTTGTTGAGATTGTATTTCATTTTAATCTATGTAATTCACGATTATTAAGGGGTACTTATTATAATAAGTTGCTTTATAGTGCCAATAAAGGATGTTTGGACACCATAACTGGTGTGTGCATTATTGGCGTTTTGTGGCAAATAGAAACTAATGCTTAGTGCTTACCCTCCCCTACAAAATGTTGAAATCTTCAAATCTTGACAGTAACTGAAAAGACCTGTTGCACTAGAATTTTATGGCTAAAATGTAGTTTGTGGAAGGAGTCAATGAAGGAGAGAAAGACGAATTAATTCATCCACGGATGAGTTTTACTGTTCAACATTGCGAGTTGGACACCCAGTATGACAGCATTGTACATGTCTTACAACCATGCACATGAACAGCATTTACTAGTATAACCATTACTCAAAGGTTATACAATATTTTACTACATATATAATGTATAAAGGTACATGTATAATCATCGCCTTCTGCTGTTTGTTGTGACAACATGCATGACAACAATCGAAAGTGCCAAATGCACAATACATATACACAGGTATACATGTATGGGCCTTTAAATTAATCCCAGTTTTAATGTAGTTTCTGCAACTTCCAAATAGCCTAAATCAAATATTATGCAGATTAAAGAGCTCTTTACATTTCACTCCATGATATTTATGTACATACCTTCATCCAAAATGTTGGTACCAATGTACATAATAGTAGATATTACAGGATGGTGGTATATAATATAATTAGTCTAATAATATTATTAGTCTAGCAAGTTCATTCTTGACAGGTCCCTAGTATTCACTTACTGTATTTGAAAACATTCCACATTTTTCCCAATGTACCAACGTAGCGGATCTTGGGGAGCAGACTAAAGCTAACAAGGCTGGACTCCAGGTTATTAGAGGTGATTCTTCTTTTTTTTTTTTCTTGAGAACAGGCGAAAGTTAATGCACGCACGGATGTCATCTTTGAAATTAAATCAATGTGGCCTTAGCAAGTACTGTAATATTTCTTTGCATGGCAGTTGGAGACATTAAAAAGTATAGCTTTTATTTGGACAGTCAAGTTTTTCATTTCACCACCTCTCAGTGAGGTGTGTTAAACTGTAACTGCGCTTTTCATACAAACTGCTAGGTGTCTCTTCTACTCTGTCATCATCTCAGCCCCTTCTCGTTTCGTTCTCCGAGATGTGGAGATCTTCCAGCATCTGTAGACTGATTCTGGGAGCGTCATCATCAACTGCACTTTTCACACAAACTGCTAGGTGGCTCTTCTACTCTGTCATCATCTCAGCCCCTTCTGCCCCTGTTGCATCCTCAGAGATGTGGAGATCTTCCAGCATCTCCTGCAGACTGATTCTGGAAGCATCATCGTCAACTGCACTATTCACATAAACTGCTAGATGTCTCTTCTAGTCCATCATCATCTCAGCCCCTTCTGCTCCTGTGGCATCCTCTGAGATGTGGAGGTCTTCCAGCATCTCCTGCAGGCTGATTCTGGAAGCATCATCGTCAACTGCACTTTTCATACAAACTGCTAGGTGTCTCTTCTACTCTGTGATCATCTCAGCCCCTCCCCCCCCATTGCGTCCTCGAAGATGTGGAAATCTTCCAGCATCTCCTGTAGACTGATTCTAGAAGCACTGTCATCTTCAACTGCACTTTTCACACAAACTGCTAGGTGGCTCTCCTACTCCGTCATCATCTCAGCCCCTTCTGCCCCTGTGGCGTCCTCAGAGATGTGGAGGTCTTCCAGCATCTCCTGCAGGCTGATTCTGGGAGCGCCGTCATCTTCTGTATCTGACTCCACCGCAAATTTCTCGGTGTCTCTGTAGATGTTGACGTCCTTCCTGTACAGGGGGTCTTCCTCCAAGTCTTCGAGGAACTCGCTGTAATCCCTGTGTCAATAGAAAAGTTATTTTAAACGTTGGTGAAGATTAGACATCCAGGTAATAAGATATGCCAAAAAACAGTTACTCAAGCAACTGGATATGTAACTGTAAATCATATCCAGTTGCTTGAGTAAAATAATATCCAGTTGCTTGAGTAACTGTTTTTAGGCGTAAGTTATTTTAAAGCTTTTTTGCCCTGCGGTGGCATAGTTACTTCCACATTCGTTGCATTTTGCTGCAGTGTGATGCGTTTCACAAGAAATACCCCCAAAATCGTACATATACAGGGTGCTATATGGAAGGTGGCGTCGGTGGCGCAACTGTTAGTGCGTTGGACTCTGAACCAATAGGTCCCGGGTTCGATACACACTTTACACAACTTGCCCACCTGTATGAAGGAGTGACGCCCACTGAACCTGGCATCTTTGGCTAATGTGTATAACTGTGTGTGTGTGCTAAAAACACACTACAGATTTGGTGGCCAATGTGTCAATATCTGCACATTTGCCACCACAGGACAAGTGTTAAAAGCCCACCTGTCTGTGGAGTCAGTGTCCATAGTCTCCAGCTCTCTGGCCAGTCTCTTGAGTTTCCAGTTGCGTCTGCGGTGACGCTTGGACTTGTCAAACACCTTCTTCACCAGGACCACATCAGGGAGGCGGTCGGCCTTCATTTTGTTTAGGAAGTCATTGTTCACGTTGGCGTTAGACAGGTCAAACCTTGGAAAAAACAAGTAAATTATTTTATACCTTGGTGAAGCATTTAAAGGCATCAAATGCAATTTCAGGGCAGCAAAACTGGACATATTCTGAACAAGAGGTAACTTTATACCTTTGTCATTGTATGAGTTTGGGTTGTAATTAATAAGAAAGGTGCTGCTGTATATAGTTTGCCTTTTATTTTGCTGGTATGTGTGTGATACAAAAGTTTTAGTACAGAAACACACGTTACACGAGAACAGAAATTTTCTGACACAGTCACGATGCTTGTCATTGTTGTCAACACTGGATGTATCTTTTCGGGTTTGGAGTTTTCATGTTGGTTATACATTGTAACAGGGACTGCTCCATCTCCTTTTTTAAAATGTAGGTGGTTCCCTCAGACAAGTTAGAATGTACATACCCCTGTACCAGGTCCCCAGCCTTCAGCAGATGCCCCAGGTGGGTGCGACAGTGGTACTGGTTGTCGTTCATCCCCAGGTCTGAACTTCGCGCCACCCACACGTCAGCAAGGAGATGCTAAACAGAAAAAAACAGACATCAACACGTTTGTTTGTTTTGCATAACCGCTAAACCGCCTTTCGGCGTAACACACCAGTTTTGTACATGTAAGTACAAGCTGCATAAGACCGAACTAAAGGTTTGAACCACTCACACTGGGAAGGTCCCTACTCTTTTCAATAACTCTGTGGGTTCTTTAACGTGTGTGGGGTGTGGCTCTCCCCAAACATGGGTCCTTCATTTAACATCCAATCCGAGGGATGTCCCTAACCGATGCTAGGTACTCATTTCCACCTGAGTGAAGTGAGGAAAGTCGTGTAAAGTGCCTTTTCCAAGGGCACAAGATCGGTGACATGGCAGGATTCGAACCCAGGACCTTTTGGTTCCAAGCCAAAGATGCTACCATCTTTCACACGACCCCAAATAATTGTGCCGTACCTTCTGAGACTTGGCACCCTGAAGTGAGGAAAGTCATGTAAAGTGCCTTTTCCTAGGGCACAAGATTGGTGACATGGCAGGAATCGAACCCGGGACCTTTTGGTTCCGAGCCAAACATGCTACCATCTTTCACATGACCCCAAATAGTACTTGTGCCGTACCTTCTGAGACTTGGCGCAGACACAGATACAGAGATTTACAGAAAGAGCATTGTTTGCACTGCACCTGCACAAAACCCTTATTTTTCATGATTTTGGCTTTTTGGTCACCATTGCATCAGAATTTCACCTGTTGCAGACAATATCTTTTCCAACACAACATTTGGAAACTACAGTAGGGATGTTAAACTTATATAGGCGAATATATATGACCTTGTATGAGACATTCTGCACAATACATGACGGGTTTTGTGCAGGTACGGTACGTTCTGCCGACATGCTAGATACAGACATTTGTGAGCATTGTGCAGTACCTTCTGAGACTTGGCGCCCTCCCCCGCCACATGCACACGCTCGTGATGGCGGATAGGCTCCACCTCCAGGACCATGTACTCTGTCAGTTGTCTGGGCTCACACAAGGACTGGAACGGAGTTCTCCAGAACATGGGAGCTGTCACATCTGCAACTAAACAGGGCAGAAAATACAGCACAGTTAGAAAGGATACTTCTTGAGGCTGCTGTATATATGCATTTCTCTGAACCTGTATATGCAGAGCATGTCGGCAGAACGTACTGCACCCGAACAAAACCCGTAATGTATAGTGCACTGCACTTCAGCAAAATGTCTCATATAAGGTCGTATTCACGTACATGTATATAAGGTTAACATCCCGTCTGTAGTTTCTAAATGTTGTATCGGAAAAGATATTGTCTGCAACAGCCAAAGTTGTAATACAACGGTGACCAAACATCCAGCGAAAACCGTGAAGAATCTGGGTTTCACGCAGGCGCAGATCACTTTAAAATTACATATACATGTACTAATATTATGACCTACTTTGTAGTGTAGAAGGGTCGATGATATGAACAGTAGTTGACACCCGCAGACACACACAGATCTGGTTCAGGTTTCCTAGCTGCTGGGCTAGCTTCGGTGGGAGGCACACAATGTTGTCCTGTAACAAACAAACAATAAATAAATAAATATAAACACATAAAGCACAACACTGCAATTAACTTGAAAGAACAGAACATCGATGGATTACATGTGTCGTGTACAATGAACTGTTATGGGGACATTGTAACATTTTGCATGAAAAAAAGAAATGTTAAGAGAAAAGAGGTCGTGAGGACATCAACTGTTGAAGTTACTGTTAGTAGCTATCATTTCTGTAGTTTAAACAGATTAAAGACTGGGGAACATTTGCAATCCACCACTCTACAGTTATTTTACCTTGCAAACAGGTACTATTTCCACAGAGAAAGTGCTTTTGTAGTTGTAGGTGTTACTTTTGACATCATGTGAAAGCAGCTTCTCCGAGGTCTTATACCTAGAGAGTAAATGGGACAAAAGTAAGTTAGATTAGAGTAAATAGTAGCACATAGATTCTAGACATACTGCATTACTTTCTGGCATTATAAAGGAAGTTTTCAATGGTACTTTTTAACACCAAAAATTGCCCAAATTTTTCACCTGTATAACTCCAGTCTTTGTCAAAGGATGAGCAATCCACTGCTTCGTGATGTCACAATATGCAGACTTCACATATGACGTGTATGATTTTAAAGAATAATATTCAAAATAAATGCTTCTTAGTGATGTTTCTATCTTTATAACTGAATCATGTGTATGATTGGTACAAAATTTATATACCTGCATGGTACCACAGCCTGTAGAAAGTCCACAAACTTCTTGGCATCCTGTTTGGTAGCGTAGAAGAAGTCTATCCCGTCTGACACCTCCTTGATGCTGAGGGTGTTGGTGTGAGCCTTGTACTTTAGAATGAGCTGTTCCAGATAAAACATGGTCTTCTTATGGCTGGTCTGAAAGTCACAACAAGGACGGATGATTGTATTTTGAATTTTTTTTTTCATTCCAACAAATCATGACAACACATGGTGACGTCACACTCAAGTTTTTTTCAACTTATTTTATGCCACCACCAAGGCAGAGGACAAATACAGGACAGGACAATACTCATTTTCACTTGAGTTAAATGAGGAAAGTAGTGTAAAGTGCCTTTCTCAAGGGCACAACATTGGTGGCATGTCAGGACTTGAACCCAGGACCTCTTGGTTCCGAGTTCAGCACTCTGCTGTTACTTCACACGGCCACAACTGGCTTGCCCCTACAGCTATTATTTGCTAATTTCCAAGGAAGGCACAGGAAATTCTACAAATCTAGATAGGACTATTGAAACTTACCTTCTGTCGAACCTGCACCACTGCCTTCCAGTAGTCCTTGGCCTCCACCCTGTGGCAGTCTTCACACATCTGGTTAGACACCACAAACTCTACCACAAACACCTGCTGCAGGATGGCTCCATTCATTACCTACAAAACAAAACAGGGAGGGAATGAGTGAGTGGCTTCATCAGGTTGGTAAGACACTGAGTACAGAGACTCTTTTTCCACAACCAAGTCTTTTATTCAGCTGACGTTTTGGTGACCGTCTGTCACCTTCCTCAGGGCAATTCTGACTGGTTCACATTGCATTACAACACAGGTGTCGCTGCTATAGATGCATTCCCAAACGTATGTCAGATGAATAAAAGACTTGGTTGTGTAAAAAGAGTCTCTTTACTCAGGAAGTGAGTGAATGAGTAAGTGAGTGAGTGAGTGAGTGTGTGAATGACCGACTGAATGAATGTGTGAGTGAATGAATGAATGAGTGAGTAAGTGAGTGACTGAACCAAAGTGCATTAAGACAGCAAATTGAAAGTACAAATTCTAACACAAATATATATTGCATAATTGTTCCAAACAGTACCTCCTTTTGTATAGTGAGTTTGAGTTTTATCCTTTTGGAATGTGGTTCAGTCCAGACAAAACCTGCATCAATCAGATGAACCTGTAAGGGGAAAAATGGTACATGTACCAACAATCTTTCAAACAATTAAAATCTACATACATGTACATACAGCTGTAAGTCAAAACAATCAATAGAAACAAACCTTAACTGACATTAAGTATAATACAACTGCTGGGAAAACTGCGTTCAAGTCCTCCCTGCAACCATTAGTATGGTCATTATGGTGGCGCCCATCTCTGTTTCTGTAGCCCTTGGGCCACACAGTCGCTACAGCAGGGGGCTAGTCCACTGGTAGTGTTGTGTGTTTGACTACCATACTCTTCCTGAAATGCTGAGCGCTCAGCAGAGAAAGCAGTATGTACCATTTTGAAAGTCTTTGGTATGACTCGGCCGGGGATTGAACTCATGACCTACCGAATGCAAGGCTAGCTCTCTACCCACTCGGCCATTGCACCAGAGTCTGAAACTGCATTGGACGGCTTTACTCGTAAAAACCAACCTTAGTGAGAGGAGCCTTGAGTTTCTTGAGACAGAGAGTGAGGAGCTCCCTCGACTCCAGAGCACAGGCCACCCACTGGTTAGGAGGCTGGAGGTAACGCTCACAGTTCCGACAGAAGTGAAGAACTCCCTGCTTAGGGATGCCTTCTGTGATGTCCACCTGTTATGAAATGAAAAACAACAACTATATTAGGCCACACCAAGTAATTTTTAAGGATGACCCTAATGCGAGACACCCTAATCACAGTGTGACAACCAGTCGTTTAGTTTTATTCGCCATGAAAACAGCAATAAACCAGTGGTTGTCATTCTGCCCTGTTTCTTTCCTTTCATCACATCTTCCAATCTTGCAATTTGCAGCACTGTCGCGACTCTTTGCTCATACTACTACTAGTAGTAGTTTCAGGAAGCGAAATTTCTTTTTTTTTCTGGGAACAGGCCTAGAAAGTGGACATTCCTTGACTTTCAAGCATACATTCATCTTGGAAACATACGTTCCTCTATGTTTTATTACTCCTGTACTAGTAATACATTAATGCCAAATTATTGCCATGAGGCCGAGATTTAGTCCAGTGCTGACTATCACTCCAGCGCTGGTGTTACAGTGCTGAGAAAGGAGGGCGTTACTTTTGTAACAACAACAACATATTTGCATAGGACAACATTTTATCTTGTTTAGGAGTTAAAGGGGCACAAAATGATAAAACTACAATCTTATAAGCAACCAGCCCCCCTCCCCACATACCTGTGTGCGGAGACAGGCCACGCACATGTTGGCGGGGTTGGGTTGGATCGGGACGCCGCACTGGCAACATAAAATGTTCCCCTGCGTAAACGACACCGTATCACCTTCAGGGAGGTACTCCATTCTCTTCTCTATCCGTTTATCTGCTTCAAACTGTCTGTTTTCTGGTCCAAAAAGCAGAAAATTGTGGAGTAAAAAATTTTTCCGTCTGCTAGAAAAAAACTCGTCTGCACTTGCACAAGGTTGACCTCTACGCGCAGGGCATGCCGGGTAGGTCAACGGTCAAAGGTTGATATGGTGTGTGTTGGGGACAAATTTTTTTTGTTTCGCAAATTATTTGTGGATTTTTTTGCACATTTATGACGTAATTTGTGAAAACTATTTGAACTTTTCTGATACCGGGACGTATCAAGAGTTAAGAAAAGTAGTCGCAGTGATCAATTTTGTTCCCAAATGTTCTTGGAACGGGAAAGAAACTGAGTTCGTGGGGAGGGGGGCATTTTGTGCTGTGTTGCTATGGGCGAATTCCGACGCTGAGAAATACGAGTGACTACAAATGGTGAGATATGAATTTGTTCGGAACCATGATACGGTTGTGTTTTTTTAATCTTCGGCAAGAATATCATGTCAACATTCGTCTGTGTGTCTGTCTGTAAACATTTTGTGCTAGGGAAAAAGCCCTGTGAGTTTGGGCTAACTAGCAGCTTGTTTTGGAACTGCAGGGACGATTGTTGAAAAATCTTTGAAGGTTGATAACAAGACCGCATTGAGTAATTGTCATGATTTTGTATATGTACAGGAAAATTTTCCTACATTTATTTGAAATGAGGAACGTCAATGTTGGTGTTAACTTAAATACTGTTCTTCTATCCATTTGCATTTTCAGTCTGAAGGAAATTTGAATTCCAGATCTAAGTCCACTTTACATCATTTGGAAGAATCTTAACCCTGACATTGACGTTGGGCTTTCCTGACAAGTGCCATGTCAGGTCGAGATCTAAAGAACTTCCTCTTCCTCCATCGGTCAGACCCAACAGGTAAGGTTTACGTAACAGTGTAGTTTTTGTGCTTTCCCCTGGCCGTGATATAAATCAGTTCACATTGTAAATTTTGCACATGTATTTTGAAGTACAATAAAGCATAGCCCTGGATTTATTCCTCAAGGTAACCGTCATCTATGCATCTCACACACGCAGCCGTCCCTCAGTAAGACATCTGGAGCCGTTAGTACATACTTGTAGTTCCCATTTAGAACTTTTATTCAGCCTGTCATACAAGGAAACTATGCATCTCCAGATGTCTTAATGAAGACTGCGTGTGCAAGATGTCCGTTAGGCCACACCAATTTATTTTCTTGGTTAACGGATTCGCCGCTTCATTTTTTTCTGATTTGCAAATAAAAATAAAAATTCAGAATCTACTGCAAAATGCTCACATTTGCCCTGAACAGTTGAAAACAGTCCTTTTCTTACTACTTGTTACAGTCATTCAATCTTTCAATGCAGTGGTGTCATTAAAAGTTCAAAATTCATTGTTTAAATTTTGAACCAGCCTGGTGTGTTGACTTCATGACTCTTATCGTACCATTTTGGGCCATAATAGGATGCCTAGGCCTGTTTTTATTTTTTATTTTTTTTTCGCCCGCCCGCTCCATTATTTTTCTAGAAAAATCCGTTAACCAAGAAATTTAATTGGTGTGGCCTTAGCTTGAGGTGTGAATCCTCTCTACTATATACTTAAAAAAGAAGTTCAATGTGTATTTCAGACTAAGGCCAGGTGTTTACGCAGATAATGGGAGGAAACAGGAGTAACAAGTAAAACAGCAACTGGATGTGAGTTTGGAAACAGTCTGATGTTTCAGGTAGCATCCACTACCTTTTGTCAGTGACACTAGAGTTTAAATTGTTTCGATGTCCAACCTTCATCATTGGGAATGTTAATTTCAGACTAAGGCCAGGTGTTTACCAGGATAATGGGAGGAAACAGGAGTAACAAGTAAAACAGCAACTGGAAATGAGTTTGGAAACAGTCAGACATTTCAGGTAGCATCCACTACCTTTTGTCAGTGACACTAGAGTTTAAATTGTTTATTTCAGACAAAGGCCAGGTGTTCACCAGGATAATGGGAGGAAACAGGAGTAACAAGTACCGGCAGGTGGACTATGATGCCGTGAGAGAACTGATCGCAGACAGGAGACGGGCTGGGGAGGAGAAGCTGGGGAAAGTGCAGCAGATCGCTCAGAAGTCTAAAGCTGGAAAGGTTAGGGTTACAAATGTATACTTATAAAAATAGTTTCATCAGGTTGGTAAAGTATAGGTCTATAGGATACAGGAGTTTTCTTTTACACAACCAAGATTTCTCACCTAAGTGTTGACGTTTCGGTGTCTATCAGACACCTTCATCGGAGCTTCTGACTGGAGTTCTGCTTCCCGCTGCTATGTGCAAAAGCGCCACCTCCATCGGCTACATATAGCGGCGAGAATTTTATAACAGGAGTGATTTAGACTCCTGCCACCAGATACATGTATATGAATGTGTTTGAGTAAGAATTAACAGAGCAGACCATATGCAAAGGTAAACATTATGCATTTGCTTTGCAAATGTTACCTTAAACTTTCTAGTTCCTTCTCTGACTCAAGTTAATGATTTCAACAGGAGCACAACCTACAGAAACAGCACAAGATGGTCTGGCACAAGGAGCAGTTACGACTGACCACGGCGCGGCGGCAGGCCCAGATCGAGCTGGACGGTTTGACCAGCCCTCTAACCCACGACTTCTCACTGTGCACAGAGTTCTTCGATGAGTGTGAAGCGTACAACGCCATGCTTTCTGCAGACACTGGAGACTTTAAAGGTGATATTTACCTTCTTGTAAGGAGTAGCCAAGTGGGTAGAGTGCTCAATGCCTTGTATTTGGTAGGTCGTGAGTTCGATCCCCGGCCGAGTCATACCAAAGACTTAAAAAATGGACATACTGCTTTCTCTGCTTAGCACTCAGCATTTGAGAAAGAGTAAGGGAATTAAACACACACCACTACCTGTGGACTAGCCCCCTGCTGTAGTGATTGAACAAGTGTGTGGCCCAAGGGCTATTGAACTGGAGATGGGCTCTGCCCTATGCACCACATGGTGCAGGGAGGACTTTAACTTAATAACTAACATGCATGTATGTTGCTGGCTGTTCCAGCTGCCACCGTTGACCCCGTATGGGACCTGAGAGAAGATCTGCTGTACTGGCTACAAGAGCATGCAGAAGCTATATCCCAGGGGGAGGGAGAAGACCTGAAGGAAGAGCATCAAGAGGTACATGCAGCATTATTGGTTGGTTGGTTGGTTGATTGGTTTGTTAATGGATTAGTTGGTTAAGTCAATAGGTTAGCTGGTTAGCAGGTGGTTGCTTAATGAGTGTTTGGGAGCATGTCGGCAGAACATCCTGCACCTGCGCAAAATCTGTAATGTATTGTAGATAGCACTTTGGCAGAACGTCTTATATAAATTCGCACATAGAAGGTTAACACTCAGTCTGTAGTTGCCAAATGTTATGTTGGCAAAAATATTGTTTACAACAGGCAACATTCTGATGCAACATTGACCAAAAATCCAACGAAAACCGTGAAATTGATCTGGGGTTCGTGCAGGTTCAGTACGTTCTGCCAAAGTGCTGTGTCTGGTGTGGCTCCTTTTCGTCGATCCCCTGGGTCCCTCGCCCCATGGTATTTGTTTCACAATTTTGACTGCATGTGATCTAGAAGTCTGAAATGTGATTTATTGTTCTGTAGATAAAAGACCAGGTTGAGTCGGTGAAGGCCCAGCAGCAGGACTTGATGCAGAGTCTCTCTATCTATCCGGTTTATCATCTATTGTTCCTTGTGTCAGGAGTTAGACATGCTTGCACTCTGATGACCAGGGGCTTGATGGCAGCCCGCCATTTGCCTCTGCATGTCCTGTGTCTAAAATTTATTTATTTATTTATTGTTTGATTCAGGCAGAGCCCATAGACAACATAGACAACACAAAATACATAAATTTAAAAAAATACAATGTCTAGGATAAAAGAAACTGAGCGAGGGCCTACTTAAGGTCTGCTTACCAACTGGCAGTATTGACGCCAGAACTGACTTCTGGGGAAGGCATCAGAGCATAAAAGCAGACTGATGATGTCGTTACCGGACGCCAGGAGGCGAGCTGCAAAAGAGTGCGTCAGCTTTTGCCTCCTGGCGTGTCGACACCCAACTGGGCAAAGAGCAGGCTGTTACTGGTGGAGCGAGGCTGATCTGATCTAATCTGCTTTGTTGTTCTGTAGATAAAAGACCAGGTTGAGTCGGTGAAGGCTCAGCAGCAGGACTTGATGCAGAGACTTCAGCAGGAGCAGAGGAAACTGGAGGATGAGTTAAACCTGCCTTACCTACAGAACATGCTGCATGCTGGGGACAAACTACAGGAGACTGGCATTCCTCCCGCTGTGGCAAGCCTGGAATGTCCAGACAGGTATGATTAGTTAAACACTAAAACAGAATTGTTCAGAGTTAAAACTTAAGATCCAACACAAAACGTTCTCTCACCTAGAGCTTTCGACCAGTCACTCTGGTCTTCCTCAGTAGACTCCTTACTGCCGGGTTAGTCTACTGAGGAAGACCAGAGTAACAGGTCGAAAGCTCTAGGTGAGAGAACGTCTTGTGTAACAGTTGGATCTTAAGTTTTAACTCTAAACATGTAATTACCAACACAGGTGAACTTTCATGATACTAAAACAGAATTGGTTTATAATTAGAAAATCAATGACCTTTGGTTATTCTGGTAAAGAAATTTTAATGCTTAATGATTACTTAAGGGTTAATGACCCACCTGAGGTGTATATGGTGTGATAAAGCCTTGTAAGTTGATATAACCACCTCATAAAACCACTGAGTGAGCGTAGCAAACAAGGTGGTTTTATTTGGTGATTATAGCAACTGACAACGAATGAAGGCTTTTCACACCATACACCGAGGATCAGGCACCTGGCGGTTCATCGTAAAAATCATTGTAAAGTAGTAAGTCAAATCCAGAAAAGGTTTGAAATTGAGTGTGTTGCAAAGTTGCTAATTTTTTCCTTAGTCCTAACAGTATTAGTTGTAAAAGTTTTATATTTTGTTTTTCTTCTTTCAGGAAATTAAAGGATTCTGTACTGCAGGAATTTCTCCATATAGACTCACAGTATCAAGAAAGGCTAGAGGAATTGGAACATACAAACAAAGAAACTATAAGGTAAGTACAAATATATGACAATAACAATGAACTTTATTGCATATTCACGTCCTACACGGGCCAAATGCACTAAGTTAGATAACTGGGTTACAAGGGTAGGAAGAGCAAGACTAGTGCTACATTACTGTGCTACGTCTACATCTAGAGGATCCCTTCTCTCTTTATAATGTAATAATTATTGTATTAAATATTTCATGTAGCATTTTCCCCTTCTTTTGGCTAAGATGGTAAGAAGAAGGAGAGGATCAGTATGGGGGATTATGGCAATCAGCTTAACAATAAAATTAGGAGGGCTGGCAATGGCGAAACTAACAATAAATTCATCAGGACCAGCAATGGTTATCAACTGAAAAGTGACCTGTACAATTCTTGTGGGCTTTCTGTAAAAATTACTTTCTGTGGCCTAAGTTTCTGTACCGCCTGCCCCCCTCCCACAGTTCCAGTACAGGAGGTTGGAAGACTGAAGACCACTGGGTGTTCCAGGTGGTACTAGAGCAGTACCCACACGACCTGCCACACAGGCGACAACTCTACCTGGACAGACTCCGCAAACACCTGCCTCGCAAGACAAGAGCTGCACTGGTATGCCTCAAATCATTGGATATTTTAGACTTTGAGGATACATGACATCAGAAATTTTTCAAAGGTGCCAGGGAGTTTTACTATGATTACTACCAATACAGATGAACTTTAAAGAAAGAAAAGAAAAAAGAAAGAAAGTGATCTCGAACCAGTTTTAGCTCAATGGAGAGCTAATCTCCCACTGGTTATAACAGAGATCAGACGTTATGTACAGTATTTACAGGTTCATTGTGAATTCCTCTGGCTCTTTTCGACAAGCACAATGAACAGTAGACCACGGTTTAATGTCCCATCCTAATGACTGAGACCCTTTCCAGTAGCGTGCATGTCATCAGGTGAGCGACATCAGTCGGGATTCGAACTCCCAACCTCTTAGTCCAGAGGAAGGGTCGCTAAACACTGGACTACGCACGCTACTTAAAATATATGTATGCCATGTACATGTATGACACTATGTTCTTGTGTGTGGTTGTAGGTTTCCCACGAGGCGTGGTACTCTGCATACAGGCTGTACCATGATCAGATGCGCTCGGTTCGGCACAGCTGGCATGTTACTATGATGACTACCAACACAGATGAACTTTCATGATAACTACACATGACTGTGTGACACTATGTTCTGGTGTGTGGTTTTAGGTTTCCCACGAGGCGTGGTACTCTGCATACAGGCTGTACCACGACCAGATACGCTCGGTACGACACAGCTGGACCCGAGACCGCGCAGAACTGATGGGGAAGGCGCGAGCCACGTTTGCTGCCGTGTGTACCGCTCATGAGCAGGCCAGGGAGGCCAGGATCAAACACCAGGAACAGGAGGACATATGTGCTGTGTTGAGAGAACAGGTAATTCATTTTGTTTTTGCTCTGTTTCTTCCTCTTCTTCTTCTTGGTGTGGATGGGGAAGGCACGAGCCGCGTTCGCTGCCGTGTGCACCGCTCACGAACAGGCCAGGGAGGCCAGGATCAAACACCAAGAACAGGAGGATATCTGTGCTGTGTTGAGAGAACAGGTAATTCATTTTGTTTTTACTCTGTTTCTTCTTCTTCTTCTTCCTCTTCTTGGTGGGGATGGGGAAAGCACAGGCCACGTTTGCTGCCGTCTGTACGGCTCACGAACAGGCCAGGGAAGCCAGGATCAAACACCAGGAACAGGAGGATATCTGTGCTGTACTGAGAGAGCAGGTAATTATGTTTACCTTCACAGAAGGAAAACATATGGTTTTTGCTCTGTTTCTTCTTCTTCTTGGTGGGGATGGGGAAAGCGCGGGTCACGTTTGCTGCCGTGTGCACAGCTCACGAGCAGGCCAGGGAGGCCAGGATCAAACACCAGGAACAGGAGGATATCTGTGCTGTACTCAGAGAACAGGTAATTACGTTGTTTTTGCTCTGTTTCTTCCTCTTCTTCTTCTTGGTGGGGTGGGAAAAGCGTGGGCGACATTTGCTGCTGTGTGTACCGCTCACGAACAGGCCAGGGAGGCCAGGATCAAACACCAGGAACAGGATGACATATGTGCTGTACTGAGAGAACAGGTAATTCATTTTGTTTTTGCTCTGTTTCTTCTTCTTCCTCTTCTCAATGGGGATGGGAAAAGCGCGGGCCATGTTCGCTGCCGTGTGCACCGCTCATGAACAGGCCAGGGAGGCCAGGATCAAACATCAGGAACAGGAGGACTGTGCTGTGTTGAGAGAACAGGTATAAATATTTGCCAAAAAGACAGTTACTCAAGCAACTGGATATGATTTTGGAAACGGTCAGACATTTGAGGTAGCATCCACTACCTGTCGTCAGTGACACTAGAGAACTTGTGCAGAAATGCAGGTTTATAAGCAAGTACTATAGTACTATTGATATTACCAGGTAATAACAGGTAAAATTACCCATACAACTATATATCCTGCTCTAGGTGTGTTCCTTTTATAGGAGTTGGTAGAAATTCACAATAAATGGTTAAAACAGGACCCTGTTAATATTGTCTACTGCTACCTTTAAAATCATGTTGAAAGTAGCTAATTTACTTCCCCCTCCCTCCCCCCACAGTTGCACTACTGGCAGGAGATCAAGAGAGAGCAGATGGCCATAGAAGCTGCCATCAAGGCACGAATGAGAGAGGAAGAGGAGGAGAGAAGACAGATGGAAGAGAAGAAGGAAAAATTAAGGAGAGCAAAGGATCACCAAAGGGTAAATATTCATAATGATTGTAACAATAACTGTTCTACATTATAAGCAAGGATGGTGCCATAAAATTCATCACACAAATGTCCCTGTCTCTAGATCAGCAGCTACCGGATTTTTACTCAGAAACAAAAACACCATCCCCTTCCCAGCCAGAACAAAAAGACTTCAGAACTCTTTTCTACATCATTCCATCAGACTCTATAATCAGACTGTATAATCAGAATTATGGTACTTGTTATTTATTTATTTATTTTATTCACATTTATTTTTCGAGGATGAGGCAAAAAGTTATAAAACTTATCTCAGCCCTCTCCTCACACATAAAAGGAAACAATAAAACAAAGTAATAATAATAATAAGAAGAAGAAATGACAAAGGTACATAATGAGCTGGTGTACAAATCAAAATCAATCAACTAAATCAAACAAAACGTCCTGTCTGCAAAATAAAGTTGAAAACCACATCAAATATTTTACAGTTGTTGAAAAACAAATGGTTCTTGTTATGTCTAGATCTGGGATGTACAGTTCATACTAGTATTAGAAGTATGTATAGTCCCCGGTATATGGCTTTTGTGTCTTTTGCAGTACTTTGTGAATGTACTACAGTACAATGTTTCCATCCATTCTGTAGCTGGTTGAGTTCTATGAAAAGAAGCAGCTTAGGCAGGTATTAGGCCTTGAGCGGACCCAACTCATGGCGGATGGTCACCTTGCACAGGTTACTTAATGCTTGTGTCAATAGGGGAAATTTTGGGGACTGAAAAAAAAATGGTCACCATGGCCAGGTGGCCAGCTTGAAGAGGTGGTCACCTTGGCAGGTTTGACTGTACTTTGTGAATGTACTAAAAAAGCAGTGTTCCCATCTTTTCTATAGCTAGTTGAGTTCTACGAAGAGAAGCAGAGGGCAGGTATTGGGCCTTGAGTGGACCCAAGTCATGGTGGTTGTTCGCAAACCTTAGCTTGGTAGCTTTGACAATACATTGTACAAACAATGTTTCAATCCATGCTATAGTTGGTTGAGTTCTACGAAGAGAAGCAGAGGGCACGTGCTGTTGCTGCAGAAGCTGACAGGAGACGTATGGAGGAACTGCAGAAGCTTATGGCAGAACAGGCAGAGCATGACAAGGAGAGGTGAGTGGTGTGCGTAAGCATGTTGGCAGAACGCACTGCACCTGCGCGAAATCCGCAATACATTGTGCATAACACTTTGACAGAACGTCCCATATAAGGTTGTATTTGCGCATATAACTTGATCAACACTCCGTCTGTAGTTTCCAAATGCCATGTCGGAAGAAATATCGTCTGCAACAGGCAAAATTCTGATGAAACGTTGACCAAACATCCAACTGAAACCGTGAAAATCAGGGTTCTGCGCAGGCGCAGTACGTTCTGCCAACATGCTGTTTGCGTATATTGTCACTTTTCTAACTCCATAAAACTTGGCCAGGGACCATAAATGAAAATACTCAATCTTTACCCACTCACTCACTCACTCACTCACTCACTCACTCACTCACTCACTCACTCACACACTCACACACTCACTCACTCACATTCACTCACTCAATCTTTACTCACTCACTCACTCACTCACCCACCCACCCACTCACCCACCCACTCTCACTCACTCACTCACTCACTCACTCACTCATAGTTTCATCAGGTTGGTAGGTTACTGAGTAAAGAGACTCTTTTTACACAACCAAATCTTTTATTCACAGCCAATGTTTTGGTTTATTCAGAGCCGAGGTCTGTCACCTTCCTCAGGGCAATTCTGACTGGTTCACATTGCACTGCAGCACAGGTGTTTTTTTTTGTTGCTGCTATTATATAATAGATGCATTCCCAAACGTACAGAGCAACACTTGTGCTGCAGTGCAATGTGAACCAGTCAGAATTGCCCTGAGGAAGGTGACAGACTTTAGCTCTGAATAAACCAAAACGCCGGCTGTGAATAAAACACTTGGTTGTGTAAAAAGAGTCTTTTTACTCAACATTTGCAGCTGTAACCCAGCAAAATAAAAAAAATTACAAAATTTGTTTAATTTTGATCAATTTTTAACTACATAAGTTAACAATCGATCATTGTTTAACAATATAGGGTGAAATACAGAGAAGAACAGATAGAAAAGAAGCATCAGCGGAGGAAAGAAGCCCAGGAAAGACAGGAAGAAGAAGAGAGAGAGAAAGAGAGGAGACTGGAAGCTCTCAGGCAAATGGTATGGAGTAAGAGTATACTGTAGATCTTAAGATATTCAGTATGGCTTTATTTTGATTATTTGCTATTAATTGATATGTAAAAATAGAAACTTCAAAAAAATTGCATATCAATCAATAGTCCGTGCTTATAAACCTGCCTTTCTCCTGCAAGTCTCTAGGACGAAAGGTAGTGGATGCTACCTGAAATGTCTGACTGTTCCAAAATCATATCCAGTTGCTTGAGTAACTGTTTTGGGGGTATCTTACTACCTGGATGTCTAAACTTCACCAATGTAAGAGTGATAATAATCATTTACAACAACAACCACATGTATCATGTATGTTATTTTGATTTTGTATCAATTTGTAATCTGCGTAACTTTATTTGATACCTTTGTTCATCTTGAGTTCATTTTGTTAATAGATTTTTGTTTGGGATTTTCCCCCAGGAACCATTGAAAAACGCCATCAGGCGATTTGTATTTCCTGGATAAATAAATAAACAAACAAACCAACAAACAAACAAACAACCACAGGTCAAAAGGTTTTTTTTACATCTGTCCTGTTCCATGTACTACAGGTGGAGCCCCATGTGGAGGTAGACCCAGTACGAATGATGGGAGACACAACTGTAAGTGTCATAACTCCTCATAATTAGTTTCTTTTTGACACTTGAACTATCGCAGAGTGGAACTCGCTGTTACCAAGTACAGTAGGGGCGTTATCATTAGATAGCTTTAAACAATGCCTAGAGTTAGATGTTCAAGGGTTAGGTGTAACAAGTCGTTCGGTGTAATGTAGCCAGCTGCCGCCGCGCCACGTGCCTGCGAAGCAGGTGTGTTATGCCAAAAGGCGGTTATACCGGCTATACTTATACAGATACAGCTACAGACACTTAGTTATTCTAGTCTATTCATACTATGTACATGATTATGTATACATGTACATTATGTGAATAGTAATGGCAGATATAAAGATGTGTAAATGCACAAAATGCATTGTACAGAATCAGCAACAATTTCACATTAAATTCACTTTAAGTTAAAATCTCTCTCTATATATATATACATGTATATTAAAGGTCTTTCAAATTTATTTCTTGTTATATACAGAAAAGACCAATTGATTAGACTTTTTAATTGTTCCAGTGACCTACATGTATATGTACAACAGGGCCTTTTGAATTTTAATTACATCCATTTCCTAATGCTTAAGTTATTATATTGAATAATAGAATGATGCATTGATTTTGCCCCAGGCATCCAAAGCCAGGATGGGTATTGGCACAGAAGAAGATATCAACATCCAGAGACCATTGTTTCACTTGCATGGATTCACTGACCAACAGGTAGGTCTTGGCCTAGCATACTTATGTATGCCATTTTCAAAGTCTTTGTACCAGAGTTATTAACCAAGGATTGAGGTGTTCAAAAACTCATTCTTTCCTAGAACTATCACAGAGTGGAACTCACTGTCACCAAGTACAGTAGGGGCATTGTCAATAGATAGCTTTTAACAATGTTTAGAGTTAGATGTTCAAGGGTTAGGTGTAACACGTCGTTTGGTGTAACGGAGCCAGCTGCCGCCGCGCCACGTGCCTGCAAAGCTTGTGTGTTATGCCAAAGGGCGGTTATACTGGCTATACCGATACAGATGCACATACTTCTTTAACTGTATTTTTCAGGTTGCGTCAGACAACAGAGTGCGTGTTGAGCAGGCACTGAGAGAGGCGGGGCTTCACACGTCCGAGTACGCACGCCACATTCTGAAGGACATCGCCCCACCCCGCCCGCCTAGGAAAGACCAGGAGTCATCTGTGCACAGGCTGCTAGATCATAACTAGGACTTCCGTACAGGCTGCTAGATCATAACTAGAGCTTCCGTACAGGCTGCTAGATCATAACTAGAGGCAGCATATTAGCAGAACGTACTGCACCTGCGCGAAACCCGTAAAGTGTTGTGCATAGCACTTAGGCAGAAAGTCTCATATAAGGTCTTATTTGCGCATATAAGGTTAACATCCCGTCTGTAGTTTCCAAATGTTATGTTGGAAAAGATGTCTTCTGCAACAGGCAAAATTCTAAGGCAACGTGACCAAACATCCACTGACTGTGAAGCTTGTCATGTGGCTTCTGTGAAGTGTGACGTCAACACTAGGTCAAAGGTATCTGGTAGACGATGTCGGCCCAGATGAACTTAAATGATTCTAAAAGAGTTGTCAGTACACAGACTGCTAGATCATACTAACTAGAGCTTCAGTACAAGAAGCCATCTGTACACAGGCTGCTAGATCAAAACTAGAGCTAAGGAAGCTCTTTTTTACACAACCAAGTGTTTTATTCACAACCGACACTTCCTCAGGGCAATTCTGACTGGTTCATATTGCACTGCAGCACAGGTGTTGCATATATGCATTCCCAAACGTACAATAGTACACATATACATGCTCAGTTACAGGGAACAATGTATTGTGTAATTTTAATTATAGACGACCATCAATTGAAATATATTATTCCATACGTATTGAATAAGACGAAATACATGTAAAACTATGTCTAAAACTACAGCTGAAGGGTTTGACTTCAGATCTTTTTTGTAAATACTGAAAGACGTTATGTTCCACCTTTTCCAAAATTAGTGGGTTTTGGGTAGTTAACAGAAGACTAGTTTCTTCTTTGTAAGTTTAGAGAACTTTGGGATAAATTGTAGAAGTTATAGAACGAACAATTTGAGATAAAATGAGCAGCTCTCATGTTCACGTAGTTGTGGAGTCTGCGCAGGTTGGACCTGCTCCTGGACAGCAGCAGGGGCTAAACAGAGCCATGATCTGTTGGGAAACATCAGGTAGATTTTAGCTGAAATCAGCTGTGAGCTAGAAAGGTACATGTATCATTTGCCGAAAAAATACATAATATACCGTCACACAGTGTAGCCTAACAAAGTACTGTTAAACGTTAATTGTCACTAAAACACATAGTATATAGTGACCAAAAGCTCTGTCCTGCTACATAATGTAACCCAACACCACAGGGTGTCTGTTACAGTACTAGTTACCATGGTGACAGGCGTCTGGTCTAGGTCATTGACTTATTTGTCTGGAAAAATGGTCAGATTTTGGGTTCCCTAGCGGCTTGTTATGGTATTTTATTCTGTTTTTTTATCATGTGGACCTTCACCTGAGGAGAACAAAATTTGATTCTTTTTTTTCGAAACCGGGTGAAAATCAACGAGCGAGTGGATGTCTTCCAAGGAATTGACTTGACTGTAACCTAATGAATTAAATGTAAGACTTACAATGGTATTTGGCCACATGGGCATCCTGCCGACCACGGTCAGGTTTTGTGGCTGATTCTTCGCCACGCACCACAGTTCTACAGCGCCTACCCTAGGGGTTAAATTTCATTATATTTCATTAACGTTGACTTACTTGACTTAGTCCTCTTCGCCCACTCGGGAGCATAGGGCCTCAGTGAGTAGTCTCCAGCGTCTCCGGTTCGTCGCTATCTTCTTGGTTTCTTGCCAGGTTGTGTTCGCTCTCTCCAGGTCTTTCTTCACTCCTCTTCTCCAGGAGAGGCGGGGTCTGCCTCTGTGACGTTTCCCCTGTGGGTTCCAGTCTAGGGCTGTTCTTGTTATGGACGTTGGCGGTTTTCGTAGTGTGTGACCAATCCAACGCCACTTCCTTCTTCTAATCGTAATTTCTATGGGTTCCTGGCCTGTTATTTCCAACAGTTCCTGATTCTTAATCTTTCTGGGCCACCAGATCCCAAGAAGGTACCGGAGTCTTGCATTTACAAACACCTGTAGCTTACTCATGTTGTGTTTTGTCAATCCCCATGTGTCACATCCGTACAGCAGAACAGATTTTACGTTGGACTCGAACAGTCTAAGCTTAGTTTTCAGCGAGAAGCTTTTAGATCTCCAAACTGGCTTCAGTTGGGCAAATGCAGTTCTAGCCTTTCCAATGCGGGCATCCACATCTTTGCTCGATCCTCCATCGTTAGTGATGACACTTCCAAGGTAAGTAAATTTCATTAACGTTAATATAAAGGAAATATAGATGTCATCCATCTTCATTTGTCCTCATGTGGCTGTACGCATACAGATGACAATACATTATGTAACACAACGTAATAAAGAACAAAAGTTGGAAGCACATGGCTAATTCCCACCTAATGACGAACGCACTGCAAAATACAAGGAAAAATTGAGTTTTAGAAGCGTTCAAGTTGTTAATGTTGCGGTAATGAATTGTTAAGTAAACGACAAAAGTTTTAAAATGCCGCCTTACCTGAGCGTTGGTGAGTCCACATACCCCAGTACTAGCCCCACGTCCGTGTCAGACTTAAACACTGCGGACTCCTGCGTACCGTAACTCTCGTACTTACTGTGCTGCAGTCTGTCCCGGGCGCACACCTACAGCAGAACAAGAAACCGGAGATTTCAAACGTCCGAAAAGTATTATCACGAAAGCTCATCTGGTCTTTCTCAGTAGACTGACCCAGTGAGGCTACTTAGGAAGACCAGTGAGAGTGACTGGTCGAAAGCTCTAGGTGAGAGAACGTCTTGTGTTGGATCTAAAGTTTTAAGTATTCGACTGATGAAATATAAACGTACAAACACAGGTATCGACTTAACTGCCTTGTTCAGAATTTATTTGGCGACTGTTTTCGGGGTACTGTCTTGAGTACATTTATTTACTACTAATGACAGACACAGACAGCACACGCACAGGTATATACGCACACAAACATGTATCGATTTAACTGTCTTAAGCTTGTTGCCTAAATCTTTTGTATAGCGAAAACACAACAGGAATGATTCAGAGAACATTAATACTTATCCACACCCTTGGATCACAAACTTACAAGAAAATAACTCCGGATCCTTTCATCTCTTTTAGTTCTTCAATATTCAAAACCGCAAGCTATCCGGTAGTATGCAGGAAACTAAGTCTACGACACGCCGCAGCTGAGCTTGTGTACGTGATCAGTGAAAAACGCTCTCCGAGGCAAAATAAACCACAAATTAAAATATTTTGCTATTCCTTTATGATAATCAATGACAAGATTTTATTGTACTACATGAATAAGCTCTTAGTCTAGTAGTAAGATAATACAGTAAATTAGAAAATACACACTGATACGCAGTAGGTCTCGTCTGTTGGTTATGCATGTAAACAACATCCGATTTCTAGACAATTTTAGAGTTTTTTGTATATTCCAGCATTTCATGACCATACATGGCGACGGCACACTCAAGTTATATCAACTTATTTTATGCCGCCACCATCACAGAGTACAAATACAGGACAGGGCAAAACTCATTTTCACTTGAGTTAAGTGAGGAAAGTCGTGCAAAGTGTTTTTTCCCAAGGGCACAAGATCGGTGGCATATCAGGACTCGTATCCGGGGCCTCTTATTTCCGAGTCGGGCACTCTGCCGCTACGCCACACGACAATTAAGGTTGCTACTATTCATAAGTAAGGTCTGTTAGAACTGAGATGAGATGATGTAACCGCCACAACACAGAATGGTGGGTGTGGCGCCGGCAGACGGAGTGTCGTTCGTCCGTCAGGTTGACGAGGACCGCTTTGTCATCCCTCTGTAGTAGGGTGTGTCCTCAGGTGACTGTAGAGTCCAATTTTCGCCCGGAACCGGCGGTCACAGTGCGGGCAGGAGAACAGAGCAGTGTTCACCACAGGACCGGCAGCACCCTCCTTCCTGGCTCGTCTCTTCTGCTGTGCGGCAGTTCTGCGTGCTTCCTCACAGGTAGCGGCACCCTCTCTAACTGTGCGTCGCCACAGTGGTCGGTCACTGGCAAGTCTTTCCCACGAGTCTGCCTTTATGTTGAAGGCTTTCAGGGATACATAAGATCTAAACAGCAAACCGACAGATATCCGCAGTGATGGCTGACCCACGGGAGACACCACGTCTGGAGAGTGAAGAAATAGAGATGTCAGTCCTCCAGGCGGATTTCCAGGGGAAACCCCCGCCCCTTCCACCCGAACAGACCCGCAAGGACCCGTCCTGCCGCCCCAAACAGACACAGGGGCTGCCGTCTAGTCACTCCGGACAAATTCCGGAGGATGCGGCTGGACGCTCCAGACGGAGAGGTGGAAGGAGGAAATCGAAGGTTTGTAGACTTTTTTAAATCATTGATAAACAGTTTTATACCTCCACGAAAAATGGAGGTATTGTTTTCGGCGTGTCTGTCTGTGTTTCCGCACATTTGCAGCCAGCATAACTTTTGAACCTTTGGATAGATTGTAATGATATTTGATATGTGGGTTGGTGTTGGGTAGACAAAGGTCAAGGTCAATTTAGGGCCTCCTGGTGGCTGACCGTGGTACTGCAGCAGAACTTCCGGTTATTGTATCTTCAAGTTGTTCTGGACATGCTATGGTCTTGATTTTTGAATGGCGGACAGCTTTTCCTGTCGACGTCAGTAATAAGTGGTTTGGGTTTGGTCCCCCTAGCAGCTTGTTCTGGAAATGCAGGGGGGTTTCTGACGAAACCTTTCGGAGCAGATAAGTTCACATAGAAACAATGTATTTTTATGATTTTTGGTATGTTGGTAGCTTAGACTCTGTCTACACTATTGGATGCAAATTATGCAAATGATGACCGCATTATGCAAATACGGACCTAATTTGCATAATTAATCTGAAAATTCGGCAAATCATGCAAATGATGTTTAGAACTTTAATTCAACCTGTCACACGACCGGTTTCGCCTGTGTGGCTTCTTCAAGTGTACAGAGGCTAATGACACAAGTTCATGAAGTTCTCACTTATATACCTTTCCAGTGCGTATTGCCCTCAGGTCAGTTACATGGCTCTTGTGCTCTAAAGTAAAGAAGTAAACCGCTTTTTTTCCAGATACCGTCTAGTCACACTTAAGAAACCCTGGGACTACCGTCTCGTCCCCCCCGAACAGGCTCCAGGCGAACCATCCGTGACGATGCAGCTCCCCAAACAGAGAGACACCTACCCACATACCAAATATCATTACAATCCATTCAAAGGTTCAACAGTTATCCTGGCCGCAAATGTGCGGAAACACAAACACACACACAGACACAGACAGACACACACACAGAGAGACAGACAGACACACAGACAGACACGCCAAAAACCATACCTCAATTTTTCATGGAGGTAACAAATAAAATGCTTTTTTTTTCAGGTACCGTCTAGTCACACAGACGAGACCCCGGGACTACCGCCTCGTCCCCCCGAACAGACTCCAGACGAACCATCGGTGACGCTGCTCCTCCCCAAACAGAGGGACGGGAGGACGGCAGGCGTGTACCGGCACATGCTACGGGAGGAAGACCTCGTCACGCTGAAGCGGTACCCGGTGTACGGGGCAGTTCTAGGTCTGCCGTCAGGTCAGTTTTAATTACCTTCGCCAAGAAGCTTATGTTTTCAGAGGTGTTCGTGTGTGTGTGTGTCTGTGTGTGTCTGTAAACACGATAACTTGAGAAGGCTTAGTTGGATTGACTTGATGCTTGGTAGATGGGTACATGTAGGTCTTGATGAGACCTAGAAATTAATAGATTTTGGGCCCCCTAGCGGCTTCTTATGGTACTGCAGCAGAACTTCCGGTTTTGATATCTCGTGATCTGGACATACTAGGGGCACTTGTTCTGGGAAAGAAGTGGCGTGACTTTAGCCCCCTAGCAGCTTGCTCTGGAACTGCATTGGTTTAATTATATTCAATGCATGGCTCTCCCAAACACGGGACCTCCATTTAACGTCCTATCCGAGGGACGTCCCTAACCGAAGCTAGGTACTCATTTACAACTCATTTACACCTGAGTGAAATGTGTAGTTGTGTGTGTAGTTGTGTGTGTAGTTGTGTCTGTGTTGAGTGTAAAGTTGATTTACAGACGTTTATGCGTTTATGATATCAGCTTTCAAGATATTGTATCTAATCATAAATTGCTAATATATCCTTCTCCTCCTCGATATTAGAACCCGATGACCAACAGACGACTCCAAAAGAAGTGGTCGGGGCAACCCAAGCCGAGATGACCGCCTCGGGCAGTTCGGCAGACGACAGCCCGCCGGCAGACGGCCCCGGTCTACCTCGCGACACCCGGGCTGCCCACTCTATTGTAACCCATGTACTGTATAGATAGTAGTTTGTAGTAAGAAATGTAATAAGATACTTTTGTAGTATTGTTGTCTTACTGCCACACATTGTACCATGTACGATTGTCGAGCAATAAAGTTCATTCATTCATTCATCCATCCATCCATCCATCCATCCATCCATCCATCCATCCATCCATCCATCCATCCATCCATCCATCCATCCATTCATTCATTCATTCATTTATTCATTCATTCACTCTATCCAGAGGCTAGGAGGAACCACCGGCGGGGCCCAGCCTGTGGCGGCCGACACACACACCTACGAGGATGCAGAAAAGTTCATTTGTCTGTGGCACCCTCTAAGCCGCGACGCACCGACTGTTCCGTCTACACCGAGACCAGGAAGAAGCAACGACGGGACCCAAGCGGTGGCGGGCGCCGCGCACACGTATGAGAATAGGAATGCGATTAGGTAGGGTCTAAAATCTGACCTTTGTATGTGTTGCTTTGGGGTTTTCTTCATGTAGCCTCTACCAGGCTTCGGGAGGCGGCTGGAAAGAGCAGAAATCGGCCAAATAGAGAGATAACAACATGCCAGGGGAGTTGGTCCGATAGAGAGCACAGTTTGTTGCACCCACACTCTACTCTCTAGCAGACCAACCCCCCTGGCATGCTATCTCTCTACTTGGTCGATTTCTACTCTTTCCAGCCGCCTCCTGAAGAGATAGAGGCTAGTTTTATTATGTTATTCATCTCTGTTAATACTGCTCTTTGAATGTTTTAGCTAAATAGATAAAAAGACATGCTAGTCGATATTCAATAAATCTGAATCTGTACGTCTAGGCAGGAGCTCGGGCCAGCTCTGTCAGTCCCTCTGAACCGGGCTGACAGCCCACCGCCTGTCCCCTCAACTCCGAGGCCTGTCCCCTCAAATCCGAGACCTGGCTTCTCAACTAGGCATAGTCTCGGGCCAGCTCTTTCAGTCCCTCTGAACCGGGACGACAGCCCACCGCCTGTCCCCTCAACTCCGAGACCTGACTCCTCAACTCCGAGGCCTGTCCCCTCAAATCCGAGACCTGACTCCTCAACTAGGCATAGTCTCGGGCCAGCTCTTTCAGACCCTCTAAACCGGGATGACAGCCCACCGCCTGTCCCCTCAACTCCGAGACCCGGAGGACCGCACCAACAACTGCCGATGCTGATGCCAACACTGATGCTGCAGAATCCACAGGCCATCCTCGATCAGCTGCATCTAAACGCGGTGTACGGCTCAAGCGGTAACCAGCCTCCAGGTTTGTTTGTTTGTTTCGCATAAACCAGTAAACCTGTACCAGTACGCCTTTTAGGCGTAACACACCAGTTTCGTACATGTCAATTTTTTAAATACATTGCAACATGCAATCACAAGACGTGGTAACGGCACACACAAGTTTTTTTTTCCAACTTATATCAATGCCGCCTCCAACACAGGGGATAATACAATACTCATTTTCACCTGAGCGAAGTGAAGAAAGTCGTGTAAAGTGCCTTTCCCAAGGGCACAGGATCGGTGGCATGTCGGGGCTCGACTCGAATCCGGAACCTCTTGGTTCCGAGTCGAGCACTCTACCGCTACGCCACACGACCCCATCAATTGAATAACACACATTTTCTCTTCGTAGCCGTAGCCCAAGAGAGTCGCACCATTTGGGGACGATTACGTCATCGCCTGTCAAGACGGCTGCTGATTGGTGCTGCCATATCGTCCGTTGCCATGGTAACGCTGGTGATCCTGGTACCCGTACTTCTGACGCACGTCAACTCCCGACCTGGCAACCACAACTCTTAAAAGTCATTTTAATTTAACCCTTGTCCTGCTGGCATTCCTGGCACAATATTTTTCAATAATTTCAGATCATAGACCCCCAAACGTTTTTGCTCTGCGGTGGCATAGTTACTTCCGCATTCGTTGCGTTTCACTGTGGTGTGATGCGTTGCACGAGAAATACCCCCAAATCGTACCTATACAGGGTGTTACAGATGGTACGGTGTGTGCAGAACAACAATTGTTGTGCTCCGCAGGACAAGACTTTTAAGAAAACTAAGGGTGATCTTGACAATGGTGTTTGTAGCCTCAGCAGGTTAATATTCTCTTTTTGCTTTGGGGCCAAACATAACCTGCAATTATACATGTACTTAGAAACAAGAAGGGGACATTATTTAGTAAAAATTATAGTGGTCCGCTTTTTGATGTGAGAATGGGACAAATTTTAAATTCATATATCTTTAGAAGGCGTTGCAAAAAATCCGTCCATTCAAATCAAGGACGTTCAACATGGCGGCCAACACTTGTCTGCTCCATGGCTATGGAAGGGTAGCCTCTACCAGGCTTCGGGAGGTAACTGGAAAGAGTAGAAATTGTTAAAATAGAGAGATAACATGCCAGGGGAGTTGGTGTGCTAGAAAGTAGTTTATTGCGGCAGAATGTACTCTGTAGCGGACCAACTTACCCTCGGCATGTTATTTCTCTATTTGGCCAATTTCTACTCTTCCAAGCCGCCTCCCGACGCCTGGTAGAGGCTAAATAAAGTAATGGAAAAGCTCTATACCTAGGGGAACTTACGGACACGTTTTTGCAGGAGCCTTCGGAGAATGGCACGCACGGGTTGTAGGAGTAGACCCAGGTGTCGGGAATGTAGGAGCTCCTTATGTCCTTGTACCTGGAAACGTAAAGGTTCAACACCAGTAAAGGTACGCCTAAAAGCAGTTAGTCAAGCAACAGTTACATGATGCAACCTTAAAAGTCCTTGTACATGATTTACAGGCGTAATTTGTCTATGGTTACCAAACGTGCTAATTTAGCAATGCCATAATTACATTCATTTTATTTCAAGCGAGGCTATAAGATTAGCCAGCAGACAGTTGACAAGGTATTACGGATTTAGGTTTTAAAACATTAGCTTCTACCAGGCTTCGGGTGGTGGTGGAAAGAGTAGAAATTGGCCGAATAGAGAGATAACATGCTCTTACAAGCTACGTACAGGTCATGAATAAACCAGAGGTAAACTTACAGCAATAAAAATATATACCTTATAAACACTATACATACTAGTGTTAGCTACTATGTGCAGGTTCAATTTCTTCTCTCAGTTCTACATACGTGAGCATATGGAGCTAATGATACATGGCTTGTCTAGTTTCATAAGGAATACAAATTTTGCTGTTCTATCTAAATGTCTGAAGCTATAATGAGGGGTAGTGATTACGAATTACGCAAAATCTTTGCCGCCGATTACGAATTACGTTAAAGTCTCAGAGCTGATTACAACTTTACGATTTGCGGCTAATGTACTATTACGAATTACGTTGATTTTCGAGGAGGCTGCCTACGGATTACGAAGACTAAAAGGGCCTGATTACGCCTTACGAAAAAGGGAATGCAGGATAATCGTACGTACGTCGGGCTTCCCTTGACAAGAGGGCTGAGATCAATGACCCCCGAGCCGTCGTCCATCCGACACGAGCACGGGCCTGTCTTCACACAGTTTGCGGCAAGGCAGAGGCGCACAGCCCCGAGAAGAACCACGACCACTACGGGAGAGAAATGTCTTTTCCCGTGCATGTTTTTTCCGTGTTTCTAGAATTGCCCTTTGCACTTACTCTACAAACAGAGGTTTTGGGTTATTTTTGGCGTGTTTTTAGGCTTTTTTCATCGAGGTTTCTATTTTCCACTGGATTTTTTTTCGGGGGGTGGGGGGTGAAAAAAAGAAACCAGATTCCAGTGCAAAAAAGAAACACCGATAAAATGCGTAAAAACACGCCAAAAATAACCCCAAATCCAAATTTCTGCTTGGAGAGTACTTTGCACTCTGTCAGTAGCCTTTTAACTGATCAAATATTGTTGGAGGGATAGAGAGGAGAAAGGTCAAGCACTAGTAAGACTAGTAAACAAACAAATTACATGCAGTAAGAAACCAAGATTTACCAGAAGAAATGTCAATAATTAAGTATTTTAATTTACCATTTAAGTTACCATTACATACAAGAAAACAAATTGTTACCATTATATACAGGAGAACATTTTAACTAGCTCTAGTTCAAAAGTCGTCCATTTTAAATATCCGAACGATGGTGTATGTAAGTCAATAAGCAAACGGGGTAGGATTGATTAAACTTATTACATTAAAAAATTGCTCAGGAAATTGACATTGAGAATCTAATTTTGCTGCCCTGAAATTGCATTAAAAATATGCCATGAACTGCTGATCTTTATAGTACACTACAGATTGAGTAGCTGCCGCTATCGTAGGACCGCCTCGGTAAAGATTTAAGTATATTGAATTCAAATATATCATTAAAACAATAACCAGAAAATTTAGTTTTGCTGCCCTGCAATTGCATTAGATGCCTTCAATTGCTTATCATTATCCGTATAGTACACTACAGGATGGGTAACTGCCGCTATCCAAGTAAAGATTCAAATATATTGAATTCAAATATATTATTAAAACAATGACCAGAAAATCTAGTTTTGCTACCATGAAGTTGCCTTCATCAACTGCCAATCCTTATAGTACACCACAGGTTTGTGTAACTGCCGCTATCGAAAAGTTCTGGTGAGTCATTTTCATTGTTGAGTTGGAGAACAGTTTAATTTTCGTCATGTATTTTACCAACTCAGATGGACTTTCATGCTAATTATAATATAAGACCAGAAAATTTAGTTTTGCTGTCCTGAAATTGCATTAGATATATGCCTTCATCAACTGCCAATCCTTATAGTACACTACATGTTGGGTAACTGCCGCTATCGAAAGACCGCCGCCGTCTCTTCGGGCTAGGCTCGTCCCGGGACCGCCTGTGTCGGTGGTGCCTGCGGCGTCTCTCCCTTCCCGTCGGCGTCCCAACCACCTCGGCCCCAGCCTCTACCTGGAAGGCAGGCGAAAAATGTCCAGATCTATGCATGATGTACCAAATGACTTATAAACTGGCGGACGTACCAACTACTAAGTGCCTAATACCAGCCCAGAAAAGAAACCTACAGTGGGAGTCGCTGGAAGACAGACGAAAAATGTCCAGATCTATGCATGATGTACGAAATGACTAATAAACTGGCGAACGTACCAACTACTAAGTACCTATTAGTGTGGGATCCATGCACAAAGAAAGACAAAGATTAACTGGAAAGGGTACAGAACCAAGCCGCAAGATTCTGCACGAACAACTACTAGTATGAAAGGGGATGGTTAGTGTAACGGAAATGAAAAGAAACCTACGTTAGGTGTTTAAGGGTTAGGTGTAACAGGTCGTTCGGTGTTATGTAGCCAGCTGCCGCCGCGCCGCGTGCCTGCGAAGCTGGTGTGTTACACCGAAGGGCGGTTATACCTAGCCTCTACCAGGCTTCGGGAGGCGGCTGGAAAAAGTAGAAACCGGCCAAATAGAGAGATAGCATACCAGAGGGCGGCAAACTGTTCTCTCCAGCAGACCAACTCCCCAGGCATGTTATCTATCTATTTGGCCGATTTCTACTCTTTCCAGCCGCCTCCCGAAGCCTGGTAGAGGCTAGGTTGTACCGGTTATACAGAAACAGATACAGATACCTGCTCCACTACGACAGGCTCCTTTTCGTTCCCTTGCGTGTCGTTGCCTTCTGCGTCTTTGGCGGCGGGTGGTGGTTCTTCAGGAGACGGTTGCGTTTGGTCGCCCTCTGCTACGTTCCACCCCTGGCTGTCCGTTTGCACCGGCTGCGTTCCTTTTGCCCGCTCGGCAGAGGCTGTAGATGCAGGGTAGGCGACCGCGGATTTGTACTCGCTCGTAATGTCCTCCATCCCCTGGCGGGTGTGACGGGAACTGCAGTCATCACCTTGTTGCTCCTGTTGTGGTAAGCCGGTGGAATACCTAGAGAGACATTAGAAAACTATCTGTTGCACCATGGTGGCACTGCAAACTTTACAGTACAGAAAGGACTAAGATGTTGTTATCCATATCCTAGTTACACAATCCCTCTTAGCTAGCCTTTTTGAGTTATCGTGTTCACAGACACACACACACACACACACACACACACACACACACACACACACACACACACACACACACACACACACACACACACACACTCACACACACAAAACACAATGTAATAATACCTAGCTGTGCTTTCCAGCCATTTTTCCACAGCCTCAACAGAAGAGCGAGATCGGAGTCGAGCCGGGTCTTTCTCAACCTCCACAGCAGCAGACGCGTTCGCCCCAGCGGTTGTCGACGGAACTGCAGGCGTCTTGGACCCCGCTGTAGCCGATGCAGAGTCACCCGGAGTGACCTCAACTGAAGGCTCTTCCCGCGTGCGCTTGTTGGCGGACTTCTTGCTGGCTCGACGGCTCCTGCTACCGCTTGAGACGCTTCTTTCTTCAACTTCTACTTGCGGAATCTTAGAGGCAGCTACAGCCGTCTCCGCTGGTGCAGTTTCTGCTGTCTGTTGTTGGGTCGGACTGGTCTCTATTTTCAGGACGAGTACAGGAGGTTGTCTGGTGGAAGTACGCCCACGAGAGGAGGGGTACGTCCACGTGCTTTTCCCATCAGGCGATGTGACGACTTGGTACGTTACTGCGGACTCTCTCCTTGCCGTAGCCTTAGCTCGCCTTGGCGTCGTCTTAATTTTCTTGGTCTGAGGGCTAACGCTGACCGCTTTCTTACGACGTGGCGACGGTCGAGTTGGTTTGGAGGCCGACGCCGCCCTGGCAGAAACCTTCTTGGTCGACCTTTTCGGGGTTCTTGACCGGCTTCGGGAGGCAGAAGCGCCAGTCTTCTTAGCAGGCCGTTTTGCCGGTGTTTTACTTTTAGTTTTACCAACGAGCCTCCCGGTTGGTGGTCGTTTGCTGGACACGGGCGATTTTCCTGGCTTTCTAGGAGATTTCAGACGACTTTTTCCTTCCACCGGCCTGTTTGCTGCTGCCTGCCTGTTAGAAGGTCTGGCGCGAGACGTTGCAGGTGTTTTAGTAGACTTCCCGTGGATTTTTGAAGACCTGGTAGGAGTCTTAGTCTTAGTCAAATTTCGTTGCACCTTTACAGTCTTTCTTGGTGGCGTGGAGACTTGTTTCGTGGGTGTTCGGCTTTTCTTACCGCCGTAGCTAGGCCGCGGGGTTACCTTCGGAGATTTCTTCAGTTTTGCGGCTGCAGTTTCTTCCGCCTTTCTTCGCGCAACGTCACCCAGAGAGTTGAGAGAGAGCAAGGACGATTGCGATTGGACGGGACCCAGGCGCATGTAGCCCTCCGGCTCGCCGATAGAGGTCGCTTTTTCACAGGGCACTTGAACGCGGCCTCGTAACGCCTGGATGACGACCCTGGTCACCCCCTTGATCGTGTGCAGCTGGTCAAAGTACTGAAACGACCCTCCGAGTCTCCGTCGCGTGGCTACGATTCGGTCCCCCACTTCACGACTGACGCCCGGAATCAGCGACAACTGCCTTGCCGTGCAGTGGTTTATGTCCAACAACGGCGTCGTCGTCTTTGCTCCGGCATTTTTGACGTTTCCGCCGGTAGTGCTTGCCGCTTTCTCTCGCTGCCTCGCTTGCCCTTTCGTTCCCCCTGACTCAGCCTTCTTTTCAGTCATCTTGTATCCCAGGTCTCTTGTTTTTACAAACAGAAAAAGACTGTAATGGTTAAAACATATCCTGCTCACCGACGTGACAGTTGATTTACAAACACAGGTGTTCGTTCGAACGATGGAATTTTCGAACGGTACCGGTCGTTCGAACGTTCGATTTGCGTTCGACGCGCAGAAAGAACGCGCGGGAACTCAGGCACAGTACTCTCCAAGCAGAGGTTTGGGTTGTGGGTTATTTTTGGCGTGTTTTTAGTAGGCTTTTTTATTGGGGTTTCTTTTTTCTCTGGAATTATTTTGGGGGGGGGGGGATTCCAGTGCAAAAAAGAAGCCCCGATAAAAAAAAGCTCAGAAACTTGCCAAAAATAAGCCCAAACCCCAAACCACTGCTTGGAGAGTAAGGCACAGTGCACCCAGTACTTCCGAGACAGTGCACTTTAAAGAAAATTAAAGTGACAAAATGGTCACATTTGAAGTCACATTTAAAAGGTTTAGATGTTAAAGTCACATTTCTCATACTAGGGTTTTCTTTACAATTGACTAGACTATAGAACAGTTTTGTGCCTTTCTAACAGGCCAGAGCCTCGGAGGAGGCAAATTGTAGAACAGCCGAAAATTAATGCGCTCGCGGATGCCATCCATAAAATTAAATCAGTGTGGCCTAAGTTTTTAAAAATACCAGAAAATTGACTTTGAAAATAAATCTTGTTTTGCTGCCATGAATATTCGCATTGGGTGGCTTCAACACTGCACTTGCCAGACAAGTACAAATAAAGAGCGAAATAGTCGCGCTATTGTAACGTAACGGTTGAAGTAAAATACTAGTACTGAATACACAGTCATCAATCTGATGCTATCAAGGCTTCTAGTTAATAAGTAACATCAGAATACTTTGACTCCGGATGTATAACGTTATACATATAATGTATGTTCACGTGCGTGTGACGTGGCAAATAAAGTCACAAAGGTCGCGTTCTTGAAAAGTACACTGAGTTACAGGGCTGATTTTTTTTCTGCTGACATAATTTTCGTTTTCCTGGATGCCAGACCGATAGCCCGCTAGTCCCAGAGTTAGCCAATGATCAGGGCCTAACTGAGGGGACTGTGATATAATTTCCTTGGGACATGTTGGCCTTGGAGCCGAGGAACTGGCCTGAGTTGTCCCTGGAAACATTCTGGCACCCAGGCTAGCTGAGGGGGGCTGCGGTATAATTTCCTTGGGACATGTTGGCCTTGGAGCCGAGGAACTGGCCTGAGTAGGCCCTGGATGGAAACCAAGCTAAAGCTTCGTACGCACTGCGAACGGTTGTCTTCGGTACAAGGTAAATAAGATATATTTTTTTTTAGATTCAGAACAGTTTTGCTTTTAAACGTTTACGCCACACACATACATTTGAACGACTTACTAGCCACATTATTCGTAGGTCGTTTTACAATTTATACACCAAAAAACGGTTACTCAAGCAACTGGATATGGTTTTGGAAACGGTCAGACGTTTCAGCTAAGGCCACACCAAGTAAATTTTATGGATGACGTCCGCGCGCGCATTGATTTTGGCCTGTTCCTAGAAAAAAAACAAGAAATTCCACTTCCTGTAACTATGACCAAAGAGTCACGACAGTGCCGCAAATCTTCAGATTGACGTGAAACCCGTAACGCGAGAACAGGACAGGACGACAATTGCTGTTCCACCTGATTTATTGCTGTTTTGATGATGAATAAAAGACTTCTTGCTTATTACACTGTGTCACCTCATTCAATTTGTGTCCTTACATGTGTCATCTCTTAGTATATTTCTAATCTAGGCATCTTGTTTTTTAGGGCCTTTCTTGTTTTTTTTTCGCCCTCTCGCATTAGATATAGGGTCTCCAAAGGACGTCATCCATAAAATTTACTTGGTGAGGCCTAATGGCCAATCACTGACGAAAGCTAGTGGATACTACCTAAAACGTCTGACCGTTTCCAAAATCATATCCAGTTGCTTGAGTACATTTGACGTATCTTATTACCTGGATGTCTAACCTTCGGGGTTCGCGGAAAAGGCTGGGTAGCCTGCAGGCTAGCCTGGCAGGCTTTTGGGTTTACGGAAAAGGTGGGCAGGGCTAGGGATACTTTGCAGGCTATCCTTTCTGTGCCCTAAAGGGTGCGCATGGGGGCTTGGTCTCTGATAAATTTACTTGTCTTTACAGGTATGGGTGGGCTGTTTGGGGTGGTAATTACTGTTTAGCAACTCTAACCTTCGTCGACGTTTTACAATTGTGGAATTTTCAGATCGTCCTCAATCCACACTCGATTCCACTGTCTTTTGGATATATAAATGGAAAGACCTGTTTGCCCCACCCCTCCCCTTGAATTGGTTTAAAATAATCTGACATGTTTCTGTTGTTTTGTGCTGTAGGGAAGATCAGGTATGCAGGCGACAATCGCACGGTTACTTGGGCGATTCCAAACCAGCGCGGGGGACGCAGCACGAATCCGTCCGTCTAGCTCGACCACTAGTACCACCTTGGATGTAAAATTTGACATTTTCAGAAAACGCTTGTCCGAATCTTACGTCTCCAATCTGAACCACATCAAGCCTCTCGCTTGGCACGAAAAGTTCTCTCTTGATCTTTCTGACGTTCTTTTAGAACTTGAACTTGTCTCTTTAACACAAGATGGTGAGGATGAGTGTGAAAATCATCAGCCTCTGTCCTCTATCTTTGAGTTGTACAAAAAGATTCTGAAATCCCCACGATGTGTGTTGTTAGATGGTCCGTTGGGATCTGGAAAGTCCACGTTACTGTCAACAATTGCAGTGAACTGGGGACTGAACCAAAGACATTGGGCTGAGAGATTCGATTACGTTTTCTTTATACGTCTCCGAGAGGTTGAAGCGGGAGAAACCATTGAAGACATAGTTTTGAGCCAGTGTCTACAACCATCGCGACATGAGGGCACTGACCGAGAGGCCATTGACTTCCTCTTACACAGGAGTAAAGCTAGAATCCTGTTCGTACTCGACGGATACGACGAGCTTCGCGCAGACTGCAAGAAGAAGACAGATGCTATTCCGAATTTGCTGTCCGGGAAGATCTGCAAGAAGACTCATATCCTAGTCTCATCGCTGCCCTCTAGCGGAATAGAGGAGTACTGCAAGGTAGACCAACACGTGTCGGTGACTGGTATTTCGAAGGCCAACGTCGCGCCTTGCATAGAACGATATTTCAATGCGTGTTCGCGCCCAGAACTTGCCCTTGAACTTCAATCAGCTCTCCGTGACGCATACACCATACCTGACGACCTTCTAAAATCACCCATATTCCTCATGCTTCTTTGTTTGGTGTGGGAAGAATCGTCAAATAGGTACAGAGTGTTGTCCAACAGGATGACGCTGACCGGACTGTACAAAGAAATGGTGACTAGCGGCGTCACACGGTACTGCAGGTGGAAACACATCGACACGGTCGTACACGAAGACGACATACCACATGATATATCCGATAGTCTAAACACCATTGGCAAGACAGCGCTAGAAGGTCTAAGAACGCACAGAAATTACTTTGATGTGAACGAGGTGACATCCAATGGCCGGGATGTTGACTTATTCTTGAGGCTAGGAATGGTGTCGAGAGCATCCTCTGTTTCAAAACGCCATTCTCAGCGAGAGAGGATAAGTTTTAGCCACAAAACTATGCAAGAGTTTCTCGCAGCCAGGTATATGGCGGTCTCCCAAAGCTGTTCACAGTCAGACATACAAGCACTTATTCCCACCATAGATGCTTCGCTCGAGTACAGAACTTTGCTGCAATTTCTGTGTGGCTATAACGAACAAGCTACCGTCGTGGTGTTCCAGCAACTATGCAAACTGTACAAGACATTTCCTCGGGGGGTTTTTAGAGAGGACTATTACGACAGTACCCTTGTGGGGGAAACAGCAGTAACCTATAGAGACTACGTGATTATGTGCCTGTTCTGTTTGCGCGAGAGTCAATGCATGTATACCGTTGCCAAAATGATGTCCCCGGTGTTTCATTCCGTCAGCCTTCGCCTCAGCGCCTCCTGTCGACTTAGCACCGCACTGCAGCACCTTCTCCAGGTGGCGGGCAGTGACGTCAGGCAGCTGAAGATCTGCTTCCCAAATCCTGGGGACGACGCCGCCGCCAGCTACGTGACGTCATTACTGTCGCGCTCGTTCCCACGCCTCCAGCTGGACGTCAGACTGTTCCACTGCCAGGTGGGGGCGGACAGGATGGGGATTTTGGCGGCGAGGCTCAGAAGCGCCCCCTGTCTGATGACCTTGTACCTGGAGGGCACGCGACTCGACGACGAAGCCGCCGAGGCGCTGGCGCATGCGCTGTTCTACGTGCCCCTGCTAGAAGAGCTCGAACTCTCGAACAACCAGATCGGCGACTCGGGAATGACCGCCATCTCTAAGGAGATCCACAACGTGCCGAACTTGACCTTCCTCGGTGTCAACGACAACGACGCGGGGGACGCTTCCATCGTTGCAATGGCGACCAAACTGAAGCACGTCCCTCGTCTCCGGGAGTTGCGTTTTGGCGGGAACACCCTTTCGGGTTTGTGCCTTTGTCATGTTTACCCGAAGGAAAACATTTTGTTTTTGCTCTGTTTCTTCTTCTTCTTCTTCTCCAAACCAATAAGGTCAATGACCTGAGCCAGATGTCTGTCACCATGGTTTATACTAGTGTTGGGTTACACCATGTTGCAAGTTTATAGCAGGAGGGATTTGGACTCCTGTCTGACCATATACATATATGAATGTGTTTGAGTAAGACTTAACAGAGCAGACCATATACGAAGGTAAACATTAAGGCAAATGTTACCTTTCTAGTTTATAATGTCTGACCGTTTCCAAAATCATATCCAGTCGCTTGAGTAACTGTTTTCTTGGCGTACCTCATTACCTGGATGTCTAACCTTCACCGACGTAAAAAAATTAATGTCTCTTTCAGCGTCAGGGATCAGAACGTTCTTTGCAGTCATCCCTAAAATGCAGAACCTGGACACGTTGGACTTATCTTCGTCCAGTAGAGACCCCGCCAGAATGGACGCAAAGACGGTGACCTCTCTTGTTCAGGCCTTCCCGAGACTGCCTGCACTTGTTATACTCAAGTTACAGAACATAAGCATGAAGAAATCTCAACTGGAGAAGATCATGAAAGCTGCAGAGGAACGTACCATGCTTCATAAGATTTGGTGCGTACATTTTTACTTATTTGCAAAACAACATATTCTATAAAAAATACCTATATTTAGTTGATTTTAACTTCCGCTCTGCAATAAGCAAAATCCGAATCATACACTTTTTACCTTATTTCTATTTTTTTTTAGGTGCTCCAAGAACCTGGTTGCAGACGTGTCAAGAATCCGTATACAGTCTAGAATTACACTAAATTAGTAATCTGTTGCTATGGCAACTACTACTGATGTTGGATTACATCATGTTGCAATTTTATAGCAGGAGGGATTTAGACTCCTGTCTGACCATATATGTGAAGGTGTTTGAGTAAGACTTAACAGAGCAGACCATACGTGAAGGTAAACATTATGCACTTGCCTTGCAAATGTTGCCTTTCTAGTTAATTTTGTATTCATAACAATGTTTTTTTAGAAAAAAAAACACCTACTCCTGCGTCACAGTCGAATTACCTGGTTCAAACCTGTCCAACCGGCTTGTAGACAACGCGACTATACCATTCTAGTATGGGGGTTCATTTAAACAGCAGTCGTCGGTATTTTACTGGTAAACGTTTGTAATGTATCACAATGTTTTGTTTGTTTGATTCCATATATGAGCCTGTAACATACTAGTACACCTATCCGTGTATGCTGAAATGGGAGTGTACCAATAGAAATACAGTGACATAATATGATAATGCAACCGGCACCCCTCTGGTTGGTATACATATGGTATGGTCCAAGCCGTCCAGTGTAATATTATCATCTGCCATACATTGTACCTGTTACAATTGTTGTGTAATAAACTTGTAAAAGCAAGTTGTAACATGGTGACTGAGGTATCGGTGTTGAGGACAGTATGTGTCTGTTTCGGTGTAATATTGGTGTTGTTTCTGTGTACGGACTGGGACAGTGTGGTGTCTCTCGAAAGGTGGACCGACAAGTTGCTGCCAAACTTCGAACATGAACAGAAGATCGTCGGGGAGTCCACGAAGGAAGAGAACGTCAAAGGGACACATGTCGCGAGGTAGGGAAGTTTTGTCCTTTTTCTCTTTAGAAGATTACCTGTATGCGAAAGAATGTGTAAATATAGTTATGCAAAGGCTGTGGAAGACGAAATGCACTTTATCTATAACTCTTCGTTTCATAACAACGCTCAAAATGAGTTGACTATTCAAACCTCTACAATTTATCCCAATTTCTCTAAACTTACAGACAAACAAAAAACTATTCTCCTTTTAACTACTAGTACCTGCTTCTGACGTTGCGCCCTGCTTCAGTTGAATAGCCTGAAATGACCAGAACCAAATGACCTAAATTCAAAGTACCAACCAGCTTGTAGACAACTCGACTACACCATTAGTTTTCCACCGCTGTGTCTTGTACCTTTTCATAATGAGCATAAATAAAACAAAAACAATGCAACGGTGCTTGTTGTCGAACAGCAGGCATTTATCTCATTTGTATCATATATGAGCAGCCACTGTGGCCGAGTATGCCGGTCACGCATCGGACTTGTCAGCCACCAGCGGGCGTGCAGCAGGAGAGAGAAGGGCCCCTGACAATCTTCGGATTACGAAGCCAAGCCAAGAGAAGGTTATATATATGAGGCTACGGTGACCAATGAAAGAAGGTTTAACATTTTAGTAAATCAGTTAACTTTGCCTCTGCAATTTCTTCTTCTAGAACACCAACTAGCGACGGCCCTAGAGAGGACAACACCTCGGATGACTGCTCACCCCGCAAGAACTTTGTGTTCATGAAAGTTCACAAAGCCGGGTCTTCCACAACTACCCCCATTGTAGCACGGTAACGACATATATACTAGTATACAGCAACTCACTGACTACTAGTAAGTTGTGTGCACGAAAACATCTGTACATATTGTACGTCAAATATGGTGAAAGACATATGGCCGGAAATGTTACGATATGAGCCATGAAGTCAACGTACAACAGGCTGGTTTATAATTAAAACAATAGATTTTGAACTTCTAAGGAAACGAAGTTGCACTGTTACTTAAGAAACTAGGAAGAAAATGACTTTCTTCAACCGTTGAGGCCAAAATATGTCTTTGCTTGAGCATTTTGCAGTTGATTCAGAACCTAAAATCTTGTCTTTTTTGCAAATCAGAAAAAGATGGACAGGGTGAATCTGAGAAACAACAAATTAAATTATGCAGCAAGTTTAAACTGTAATTTCCAACACAACAAATTGGACTCCCCAAAATTTTCGACTGTACAACTCCAGTCTTTGTCAAGGAATGAGCAATCCACCGCTTCCGTGACGTCACGCAGATAACACACGTAACACAGTTTAAACTTGCTGCATAATGACTTCTACCAACACAGATGAATTTTCAAGATAACAGATTAAATTGGTGTGGCCTTAGCCTTAGGGCTGAATTCACTCTACTGTATAACTTTACTCTTTCCAGGTACGCTCTCAGACAGAACTGCACAGTGATGTTTCCACTAGCCAGGGGGACTCTCAGCTGGCCAAACCTTCCCAGAGTAGACGACTACATTCACAGACCTGACGAGGTAAAACCAATGTTACTTAGAACTATCATGAAAGTTCATCTGTGTTGGTAGTTACATGTTTAAAGTTAAAACTTTTGGTCCAACACAAAAAATTCTCTCACCTAGAGCTTTCGACCAGTCACTCTGGTCTTCTTCAGTAGACTGACCCAGTGAGGTTTGTCACGTGGCTTCTTTGAAGTGTGACGTCAACCCTGGGTCAACGGTGTCTGGTAGACGATGTCGGCCCCCGTCGCGGTTACGTCAGTGTTGACGTCACACTTCAAAGAAGCCACGTGACAAGCCTCACTGGGTCAGTCTACTGAGGAAGACCAGAGTGACTGTCGAAAGCTCTAAGTAAGAGAACTTATTTGTGTTGGATCTTAAGTTTTCACTCTAAACAATTAAAGGTCTTCATTCATTCATTCATTCATCCATCCATTCATTATTGTTCTACTTCTTTACTACCCAGAAGTACAGCGTTCTATTCCACCACACCGTGTACAACAAAGAGTGGATGGAGAGCAAGTTTCCCGCCAACACGGCGTACCTCGCAATCATACGGGAACCTTTCAGTCATCTCAAGTCTTGCTTCAACTATTACCGACTCGATCGCATCCTCCCGTTCAAGAACAAGACAAACCCTCTCAGGGAATTCCTGAGAAACCCAGCCAAGTACCATACAAGTGTAGTTCTTCAGGGTATACTTGTGGATAACACGAGGAACGCACAAGCTTTTGACATGGGGTATGTATATAAACCGAGGTGGAACTCAGGTTCTTTTGGATGCTGCACGGGGAACTAACTACAGGACTAGCAAGAACACACACAGGACACAGGAATTGCCGATACACACGCACGGGAGTCGTGGGGCTGGGACAATCTTTCTCTGCGACCTTCTCTCGGGCTCTCTCTGTCTCAGACTGTCCTCTCAACCCACAGAACACCCTGCTTTTATTATCGAATCACAGACAAAGCCACAGATTGCAAGTCAGACAATCGTCTGGCAAGGGGAACAATACAACATTTAGTACCTATATCCTATATGACATGTCCTTGATGTAGAAGGGATCAAAGCATCGAATTAGCATGGCCAGATTATCATACTGGCCACAATAACTTCAATAGCCGATGGCCTCTTGCAATATACATAAAAGTGTCCTTTTCAACCCCCTTGCAGGTACCCGATAGAGAAGGCAGAGAACATGGAGAGTGGACGGGCGTACATCCAACAGTTGGGCCGGGACTTCACGCTCGTTCTTATATTAGAATATCTGGATCATTCTTTGGTCATGCTTAAAAGGTGGGCTTATTACCGAGTAAAGAGACTCTTTTTACACAACCAAGTCTTTTATTCAGCCGCGACGTAAATATTGTACATTTGGGAATGCATCTATAGCAGCGACACCTGTACTGCAGTGCAATGTGGACTGGACCAGTCAGAATTGCCCTGAGGAAGGTGACAGACGGTTACCGAAACGTCGGCTGAATAAAAGCCTCGGTTGTGTAAAAAGAGTCTCTTTACTAAGTGTCTTACCAACCAGATGAAACTATTCACGGATGTGGGTTTATTATCTTCGCCAACAAGGTTTTGTTTTCAGTAGAGTTTGTCTGTCTGTCTGTGTATCTGTGAACAGCATAACTCAAGAGGGTATAAATAAAATCTAATAATATTTGGTGGGTGGATAGGGTAGCCCCAAATCTGAAAATGATCAGATTTTGGGCCCCCTGACGGCTTTCTTTGGTACTGCAGCAGAACTTTCGGTTTTGATATCTCATGATCTGGACATGTTAGGGTCACAAAATTCGGATGGTAGATAGCTCTTGGGCTGGTTTAACATACTTCCTGATAATGCTGACACTACTGTATAACAAACGCCTAAAACATTTTATGTCATATTCCCTATTTCTATAGGCTGATGTGCTGGGAGACAAGAGATATCCTGTATGCAACAGCACCTAGAAACAGCAAAACGTACCCCTACAAGTCTTACCAACCCACGGACGCAGAGAGGGAGACCCATCGGCAATGGAGTCAGGTGGACTACGCCATGTACGATCACTTTAACCAGGTAAGTCACCTGTCATCATCATTCATCAAGAGTTGGAGCGGACAAAGTTTGATCTCCAGAACTGCTTGTCGTTCATTGCGGAAATAAGTTCCAGGCCCTTCAAGCCTGTTTCAGTTTCTATAAGTTTCTTAAGTGTTATGTTTGGACGTCCAATCCTTCTCTTCGTATCAGGGTTCCAAAGTAGAGGCTTACTGGATTGTTCTTTGCTACGTACAACATGTAGCAGACTTGTGATAACTAAGAATTTCGCCTAAATTCTTTTTAGACCCTCTGGAGGAAGATCAAGGAACAAGGGCCAGACTTCTATGAGGAGTTGGCGTTCTTCCGTCAAGTCAACCAAGACGTCAACGACTTCTGCAGCAGGCAGGAGAACCATGGAAAAGGACAAGAACTACCAGCAACAAAACACTTTCCGAAGTCGCTATGGAGCAACGCCTTCGACTTCAACCACCATTCCTGCACCTTGCTTAGCATGGACTATTCCGGCATTGACACGTTTATAAGAGAAGCACAGGACCAACAAATGTTAAAGAAACCATGCGAACAACAAAAAGTCGTATCCAAACCGAACTTGTACTTTGTTCTTGACGGCCGTCCTGCTTTTAACACGCTGGGGGATGTCATGAACTACAAAGCCAAGAAAGATACAAAACCTCTGAATCGCGAACAGGCAAAAATAATAGAAATGCTGAAAAAGTCTTTCCAGAAATGCAAGAAAAAACAGGAAGGAATGGAGGACTTTCATCACGAAGTTGCTGGGAAGTTCAAAGTTAAATCTTACGAAATACCGGAGGAAATGTTGGGCCTTCCGGAGAAAGCTGCATGGAAATTATGACACCATAATTTCAGGGAGAAAGCAATGGAAGACACGCGTCGTATTTCTTTTAAACAAGACTCGGGAAGCTAGAAATTCTTTTTTAATGCAGAAAAAGCCCTCCAATTTGACGTTTTGCCTAGGATCTCATGGAATAGTTTCATCAAAGAGACTTTTTTTACACAACCGAGGGTTTTATACACAGCCAACATTTTGGTGACCGTCTGTCACCTTCCTCAGGGCAATTCTGACTCGTTCACATTGTACAGCATATATATGTAAATACTTTGCGTTTGGGAACGCATCTATAATCATCACGTGTACAGCCGTGTCCTGCATTATATCATAAAATCAAATATTTACAAACACAATTTTATGTAACAGAATTTGCAGGTTCACATGATACATAATGGTACTAATATAATACATAAAATTCTTTAGTAATCTTTACATATAATTCTTATATACAGTTTCGCTGACAAATACAATTGGCCAGCAATATGCAACATTTCAGTGTTATAAACAAAAGCAATAGAAAGAGCAGCAAAACAGTTGAGAATATCCGTTATATATTACTTTTCCTATTTTCTGAAATGATTTGCTGTATGCACGAGTAAATGTAATCATCATTTTTCTTCCAAATCAATCAAATGACGTACTAAACGTTTAATACCAGCTTAAAGCCTTGCCTTCGATCACCAGAGTTACTTGTATCAACCAAGGATTGAGGTGTTAAACAATCTCACATTTTCTTAGAACTATCGTAGAGTGGAACTCGCTGTCACCAAGTACAGTATGGGCATTATCATTAGATAGCTTTAAACAATGTACGCCTGCATTTAGATGTATATATGTGCAGATGTAACAGGTTGTTCGGTGTAATGCTAGTCTGCTGTATATCTACATGTAGTTTAAGACCTTATGAAAGTCGCTGTACTTTTGTTGTTTCAATAAAGTTCACTGTATAGCCAGCTGCGGCCGCGTCACGTGTCTATGAAACCGGTGTGTTATACCGATGGGCGGTTTTGTACAGATAAAGATACTTTTCTTTATATTCTTTCAGAGCAGTTTGGAACTAGTTTTCTAGTATTCTATGCTAGGCTGTGTATCTGACAATCCGCGGCCGGATTTTCAAAATCGGACCGGTGTTTGAAAGAAGTGTGGATCTGTTCTATCTTTCTCAGGACTTCCTTGAAGTTTGGTCGCTCTAACGGGCTGGCCAGCCAACACTGCTTCATCACACTGTTGTACCTGTGTCAAAGACAAAAGAAAAAAAAGAATGGAAGTGTACCCTTTTTTTTTTTGCTTTCGCTTTCTTTCTTTACGTTTTGCTGGTTCGGCTTGTGTTGAACCAAGGCTTCAAACTTTGTACACAAATACACACATTGCATTATCTTAGTGGACTCCAGGAAAACTAGTGATTGCTTTCACTAATAGGGATCTTAATACACCAAACCAAATATAGAAACGCTGCCGAAACTAGAAAGGTAACGTTTTCAAACCAAATGCATACCTTCGCATTTGGTCTGCTCTGTCAATTCTTACTCAAAACACATTGAATTTATATATATGGTGACAGAGTCTAAATCCCTCCTACTACAAAATTGCAACATGATGTAACCCCGGGACACGAGTGACCATAGTGACAGACGTCTGGTTCAGGTCATTGACCTTGTTTGTTTGGAGAAGAAGAAGAAACTGAGCAAAAACAGCATATTTTCCTTCTGCGAAGGTAAACATAAACATGACCTTACAGCATGATGGGGCATTTGTTGGGCCGGTCCATGCGGTAACCTTCCCTCAGCTGTTGTACAACAGACAGCCCAGGAGTACCGGGGTACGGAGTCTGCCCAGCCGCGAAAATCTCCCACAGGACGATCCCGTAAGACCACTGCACAGAAAATGAATGAAAGAAAAGAAAGAAATGAGTACCTTTATTGCACATTTTTGCACCTTTGGGCTAAGCAAAGGTCACATGATTACAATCATATACATGTATACATAACTGTTACATCTAATGTATTCTAGTCTTTTCGACTTCCTCTCGCTTCTTAGTAATTGTATAAATGTATGAGTCAGAATTCATGACTCTAGCATGATATCACAACCGGAAATTCTGGTGCAGTACAAACGGAAGCCGCCGGGGGCCAAAAATCTAATTATTTCTAGCTCTCATCAAGACCTACCCACCTACCAAGTTTCATGACAATACCTATAAAGCTTCTTGACTTATGCTGTTCACAAACAGACAGACAAACGAACAAACACTACTCAACACCAAAACATAATCTTCTTTTCGAAGGTAACAAGGAACTTACTATGTCTGTCTTGGTATCAAATATGTAGGTGTCGTGGCTTTCCGGCGCCATCCATTTGCAAGGTAGCTTCACCTGAGGAGGGGTGTAAGGGTGTCGTCCGGTCTTCATTTTTTTCAGAAGCAGCACAAACAAACAACAAAAACAAACAAACAAACAAGAGGGTAGACAAGGGAGAGAGAGGAGGCAAATGTTACAAATGAGTGATTCTTATAAGCTGGAAACATTAGTTTTAATAAAAGGCAGCTAAGTATAAACTGTGGATCGTGGATAGGTAAAACATTTAACCCCCCCTCTCGTTTTATAAATAGTTCTTATGGATAAAGCAGAGGTTAAGCGACACGTTGCCATGACAACGCGTATGGGCGCATGCGTACTGTGCCCAGCCCGTCTACGTTGCCATGGCAACGACTAGATGGCAAGGTTACCCATAATTCCATTGTTACCCAGCGTTCTCCATTTTTCTCGGCATGCGAAGCAATTTGTCACATATGGCGTATTTTTTTTGTTAGTTCACCAAATTTTTTTGTATCACGCTATGAAAACGTACATGTACCTCCCAGCTCTGTATTCTGTAGTAGCCCTTTTCATGGACGTCTCTGCAAAGCCCGAAGTCTGCTACTTTCACCCTCAAGTTTTCGTCCAACCTATGTTCGAAAACACAGAGTTGCATTAACAGAATGTTACTATAACGTAAGTCGCTCAATTTTTAGGCGCACTACTAGAGGATAATGTACTGAGTTCGCCTGTTCCTGACATATGGCTGTCCTGTTTTTTATTATACCTGGGTCGCGATAACTTTCGGGTGTTCGGGCCCGTGTGATAACTAGCGGTATCACACGGAGTTCTAAGACTTTATCACACTGTGCATTTCTCATACAGACACGCCGAAAACAAAACCTTTGCACACGTAGGTAAAATGTGATTAGAACCCCTAATCTTCTGGTCGAGACGCAGATCTGATATACTTTTTATTTCATTTTTTTATATTCCAACATGTAATCGCAAGACGTGGTGACGGCACACTTAACTTATATTAATGCCGCCACCAACACAGGGGAAAATACAATAAATACTCATTTTCACCTAAGCGAAGTGAGGAAATTAGTGTAAAGTGCCGGGTGGCATGTCAGGACTCAAACCCGGGACCTCTTGATCTTGGTTCCGAGTCCAGCACTCTGCCGTTACGCCACACGACCCCACCACTTGATATACAAACTTACATGCAGTTTCTCGCTGCCAGGTCCCGATGTACGATATCGTTGTCAGACAGATGCGGAATACACCGTGTTGTATTTTATTTATATCATACCCAGCCAAGAAAACGCGCTCTTTAGTGCGAAATGAGCCAAAATTTGGTGACCCTAAACGAAAAAATGTAACTAAAAAAATCAATTCTATTCGAAGCCCTAACCTTCTGGTCGAGACGCAGACTTGGCATCATGTGTACTTACATACAGTTTCTCGCTGCCAGGTCGCGATGTACGATATCGTTGTCAGACAGATACGCCATGCCGCGGGCGATGTCTAAGCATAGGCGGAGATTCTCCAAAAGAGGCAACGTCTGTGTGTTAACAAAGAAAGACCGTTACTAGAGGGCTAACCAAAGTTATATCACTTCTTCCCAAACACACCAGCTACCAGCTACGTTTCATTCTATCATCCTTGCTGGTATCTTGTATCTAGCAAATATTGCAGTCTCGGACTAAAGTGTTTTAAGATAATATTTATGTTTACCGAAGGAAAACATATTGTTTTTGCACAGTTTCTTCCTCTCCAAACAATGATCTCAATGACCTGAACCAATGTTGTGTCTGTTAACATGGTAACTAGTGTTGGGTTACATCATGTTGCAATTTTATAGCAGGAGGGATTTAGACTCCTGTCTGACCATATATATGAATGTGTTTGAGTAAGAATTAACAGAGCAGACCATATGGAAAGGTAAACATTATGCATTTGCCTTGCAAATGTTACCTTTCTAGTTAATATACTATCAATTCAAAAAAAAGCTTCCTTGTAACTGAACTAGGCTTCACCTGTTTACTGATGAGATATTTGCGCAGATCGCCGTGCTTCATGTAGGGTAGAACGATCATGGCTTGGTTGCCATGGATACAGATGCCGGTCAGCTCCAGAACGTTGTCATGGTTAAACTTGATCATGCGCAGTCCCTCTTGCAGTAGGGACACCATCTCTCCAGGCGCAGCGGTATCTGTGAGGTTAAGCGAAAATAAGATGAGTTAGAAGAAACTCAGACCGGGGGCGCCATTAACTTTCTGCAACTTTTGACCGTTTGTTCACGTGGTCTATCTGCATAAAGCGACGTCACATAAGCGGCGGATTGCTCATTCCTGGACAAACACTGTTCAGTATTTGGGTAAGTCTCAATGGACAATTGTATCAGGTTTCATTTTTTACTTTGCTACAAAAGAAAAGTGTTTTTGTAGCGTATTAGAAAAAGACAATGTGTCAAAATCAACAGCAAACATAGCTGTAGCGATAGAAATAAAAAAACTGTAGCGTTAAAAATATAGCATAACAAACGAAAAAAACTGTAGCGTTAAAATGTAGCGTTAGAAATGAAAAACGGTAGCGTTAGAAATGAGACAACTGTGACCATGGTGTGACGAACTTACCGTACAATGTCTTCACAGCACATTCCATCCATCTCTTGCCCTTTCTGCAGATGCCATGGCGGACTTCCCCAAAGTTTCCTTCATGTATAGCAAGATAAAAAGTGCCGCCGAAATTAGAAAAAAATACACAAGACATCTTGCTTTCCGATATACTGGATTTCTCAAATCGTCACCCTGGTTTGTTATTTTGTTTTACAAACACGTTCTAGCGATAGACTCATCGGAAAATATGGCAGTATTTTCATAACTTTTGAATTATCATTTTACAAACAATCAGATATCCATAGATAAAAAAAACAACGTAAATCTTACCTCAGTAACTATGTTCATACTAGGAAGCTAACCAATGTCAGTAACCCTATTACTTTATAATGTAGTTTTGATAATTGGAAAACAGTTGTACAATTTAACGTATGTATAAATTATTGTAAATTTGACCGTATGTATTTGTATGTATACCTAACGATTCTATTTTCTGCCATGGTTGACCCTTAACAATAGTCTATGACTAGTTGGGCAACCCTGGCTATTGTAAGCCGAACTAATAAATCAATAAATAAATCTCACCATTTCCTAGAGGTTCACGCAGGGAGATTTTGTCCTTGTAAATTAGAACATGGTGAATTTTAGTCTGCTCCTCTCCGTTGAATCTTTGGAGCAGCATGCTGGGCTCTTCGTACCCACCCACTGTAGCAGAACAAAAAGTTACTAAGAAAATTTGCAAAGCAAATGCATAATGTTAACCTTCGCATATGGTCTGCTCTATTACTCAAGCACATTCATACATATGCATGGTGACAGGAGTCTAAATCCCTCCTGGTATAAAAGTGCAACACGATGTAACCCAACACCAGTTACCAGACCTTTTTTGTTTGGAGAAGAAGAGGAAACAGCAAAAACACAATGAGTACGTCACTCACCCGTTGTTATGGTGACAGTGACGCCGGCACTCCTGACGTCACCACGTTTGCTGATGACGGTGACGTTGTATGACGTTCCTTGCTCCAGCCCGCTAAACTCCGCTTGGAGGGGGTCAGACGCATGGATCTGTCTTTTCACAACGATCTGCAAAGTTTAAAAAAACGTGACTGTATATATGACCCGTGAATAAGTTCATCAGGTTGGCAAGTCACTGAGTAAAGACCCTCGCTCTTTTTTTACTGAGGGAGGTGACAGACGGTCACCGAAACGTAGGCTGTGAATAAAACACTTCGATGTGTAAAAAAAGAGCTTTTAGTCAGTGACTGTATTCTTATCTCGGGGTTGTAGGAACTAATGTACCTGTCGGCCACAGTAGAAATAAGTTACGTGTTACTCGCCGGCGACCATTGCTATAGATCTAGAGTCCACGTGCCATCTTGCATTGCTCTCTCTCTCTCATTCTCTCTCTCTCTCTTTCCCTCCCTCTCGCCCTCTCTCTTTACTTCTCTGTCGCTCTCTCTCTCCCTGTGTGAGTGTGTGCGTGCGTGTGTGTGTGTCTGTGCCATCAGCAAGTACCTTGGGCTCGGGAAGGGCCAGTTCCAGAGTGACGAGGTACTTGTCCACGTCACCGAAGTGTTGGAGGTTCTTGTACGCAGGTCTGAAGGTCAGGCCAAACGACGTCTCTGTGACCGTTGTCATGGTTACGCACCTGGCGTCCGGTAGAACTGCGAAGACAAAATGTCAAACTGGTAAGTCAACAAGAAAATGTTCTCATAGTAAAATGTTTAACTTTATTCCAAACTTAACAAAGATTACACAAAGATCAAATTTCATCTAAATTGCCTTGTGCCTTGGGCGTTTGCTAGCTTCTACTAGGCTTCAGAGGCGGATGGTAAGAGAAGAAATTGTCCAAATAGAGATACCATTGCAGGGGAGTTGGTCTGCTAAAGCCCTAAAGGAGTACAGTTTATCGCTAAAACTGCACTCCTTTAGCGGACTGACTCCTGCCATTTGTTTCATATGTCTGATTGTCCAATTTCTACTCTTCCTAACCGCCTCTGAAGCCTGATAGAGGATAGATACATGTAATCTCCAAGCAGATCCTATGGTGGCAAAAGACAGTATCAAATTGGTCAGGCCGCCAGACAGGCCTTGGGTGGCGTATGGTCCCTCTCTGGAGAATGGATACTGCCTGGCCAATTTGATACTGGCTTTTGTCGCCCTAGGATCTGCTTGTAGATTAGGGGATAAACGTTTGCTACCTTTTCCGTCCAGGAGATCTGCGAGGTGCGTTTGGTCGGAGTGTCGCAAGGCGTCGCTGAGCACGCGGGAGGCCTGGTCTCCTTTCAGCACACAGAGGATGTCCAACAGCCTCTCCACTACACAGGGGGCCGCCCGGATACCTGCCACCTCATCCACGGCCAGGCTCTGGAATGAATGAATGAGTGAGTGAGTGAGTGAATGAGTGAATGAATTAATGATGGGATGAGTGAATGAGTGAATGAATGAATGAATGAATGAATGAATGAATGAATGAACGAACGAATGAATGAGGAAGGGAGGTAGGAAGGAAGGATGGATGGATGGAAGAGAAGAGAGGAAGGAAGGAAGGAAAGAAGGGAGGAAGGAAGGAGGGAAGGAAGTGAAGGAGGAGGGAGGGAAGGAAGGAAGGAAAGAACGAATTTCCGGGTGGATGGGTGAATGGGTGAGTAAATGAACAACGGTAATAGTAACAAAGCGACAACTATATGCGATACTGAAGCTCATAAGAAGCTAAACACAGACAACTGCTCTCTTCTCAACCAGTTTACTACCAAATCCGAAGACAGAATGGCGAAGATGACGTCACCCACCCGATTTTCCCGTAGGAACACCAGGACTGGATCCACGTCCATCCTCACCAAGCAATCCCAGAATTCCTGCAGAACCGGGTCCGCCATTTTGTCCAGCTCGGTCGCGTTCGAAACACCTAATGATAAGATAAGAGACCCTGGTATTCAATCTCCAAGCAGATCATACGGTACCGGTGGCAAGGCAGTATCCATTGGTCAGAGAAGTGTCCATTACCCACCGTATGATCTGCTTGGAGATAACCTGGTACTGTGTTTACTCTGTAAAGAGTACCAGACTTACAATGATAGCTAATAAAAGTCAAGTCCGGTAATTTATAAATAGGACTTAACAATGGTAGTAAATGAAATGACCGTACTTGATTGACTTAATTGCTACCATTGAAAAATCCGTTACTGTTTACTAAGTAAATATGACCTAACTTTACTTGCATATACATGTACTACCATTGGTATATTCAACTTTTCAGTGTTATGCTAGGGTCTCAATTCCCAAATCGGGCCCGTTGGATCAGTTCCCAAAAACGAAAACGAGTGATATAAAAGACAACTAACACCCCAAAAAAAAAAAATATATAAAAAACTTATCATGAGTGTATATTTTTGATATGGACTGTTAATTTTTCGTTCATGCAAACAGCCCGGCCGGGCCCCGGTTTGGAAATATGAAATTTGACTTACGCAGGACGTTCTGATCTGGACACAGGTATTCCAGTCGTTCTCTGTGGTGGTTCACGTCATCGAACGACGCCAAAACCTTGTCAGATTTTCGCCGATGGACAGATCTTCTTCGTCGGAAGAAGCAGAAGAGGATACAGACAAGGAAGATGAGACAGCACGGGCATACTGTGGCTACAATGACGATGGTATAGTTGGTCTTGGTGGGAGTGGGGGTGGGGGCTGGCCGGACCGTGGGCTTAGCTGTAGTGCAAAATTTAAAAAAAAACTTAATAAAGAAAATACACGAAGATGCTGCGTGTAGTTTTCAATACACCATGGTGGAAACATACTACTAACGAATCGTTATACGGATCGTTACCAAATGTTAGCCTCTACCAGGCTTCAGGAGGCTGCTGGAAAGAGTAGAAATCGGCCAAAGAGAGAGATAACATGCCAGGGAAGTTGGTCTGCTGGAGAGTACATTTTGCCTCTTCGGGAGCGACAAACTGTTCTCCAAAATCAATAAGTTTTTCTTCGGTAAACATAATAATGTCTAGTACGTAATGCTAACCCGTAACTTCCACGGTCACTTCGTCAGACGGAGAAGGCGGGACGCCATTGCCGGCGACGCAGATGTAGACACCCGAATCTTTCAGCTGTACGCTGCCGATCGTGAGACGTCCCAACTGTTCATCTACGACTGCCGAGTCGGGAAGAGTGTCGCTGCCATTTTTGGCCCACCGAAACCTCGGTGTAGGGAAGGCATTGTCGCAGCTGCATACGATCGTGAGGTTGTCGCCCTCCTTAACAGGGAGAGGAGAAACTATCCGAGCAGTTGCAAACGTCGGAGGGTCTGAAAATGTCATTTTCATATAATTTAACCTTTATTGTACATTCATGCCCTATCGGGCTAGGTACAGGTGAACAGATTAAAAAGGTAACTATATACATGTTTGTAGTACGAACAGCTCTAAAAGTACTTTAATACAGAGGCTTTTTCTATATTAGCACCAAAGTGACCAAAAGCATCTTTATAAAATGTAAAATCAAGAGACAGGATTTTTTATTTTCATGAAAATAAAAGTCTTTCAGGACGTAACATTACATAGACAAGTTTTTCAAACAAACATTGGACCCCTCTAAGAAAATATTGCACTGATTTATAAACAATTGTACCGTTCTGAAAAAATATTGCACCGTTCTGAAAAAAAAAATTGCACCATTCCCAAGAAATTATCGAAAAAAACATAACTCATAAGCATTCATCTAAGTTTAATATGTAGGCCATTCCAAATCCAAACTACTCTTACAGTGAACTACGACGTTGATGCTGTCGGTTCCCTGCGGCTGAATGCCGTTACTTGCGTGACACCGATACGTTCCCGTGTCCCGTTTCTGAACACTTCTGATGGTCAGCAAGCCGGTTGTTTGGTCCACTTCCTCATCAGTAGTCGGGAGGCGATCCTTTGTCCAGGAGAACCTTGGAGCAGGATTAGATCTTGCGGTGCATTCCAGTGCCAAGTCATCGCCCAGATTCGCTAGAGCGTTGCCGGGTGACGGTTGATGGGAGGGGGGTACAACTATCGCCGTGTCCACCGGTGCATCTGACGATCATTAGGGAGACGATCTTATTTTCGGATCACTCGCACGCACGCACACACACGCGCGCGCGCGTATTCACACACACGCGCGCACAGAGACACACGCACACACGCGCGCACACGCACTCACGCACTCAGGCACACACACACACACACACTCACACGCACGCACGCACGCACACACACACACACACACACACACACACACACACACACACACACACTCACACGCACGCACGCACGCACACACACACGCAAACACACACACACACACACACTCACACGCACGCACGCACGCACGCACACACACACACACACACACACACACACAAACACACACACACACACACACACATACACATACACACACACACACACACACACACACACACACACACACACACACACACACACCGAAGACATAATCTCTGAGCGTAAACAATTTTCAGGTGTAGCATAATTCTGAGGTACTGCCAGTAAGTGTTAACATATTAGTTCAAGAAATACTTACATTTGACATCAAGGATTGACCGGTTGGCTATCTCTGTTTTGTCTGTAAACAATACCTCCATCTCGTAGGGTCCCGCGTCGCTCTCGCTTATGTTCAACAGTTTCAGTCCCGCCTGGCCAACTAGCTCAACCCGCCCCATGTATGGGTCTCTAACACGTAAGCTGTCCGCGAAACTCATGATCAGTACAGGCCCCTGATCACTGATCTTATACCACGTCAAAAAGCTAACGTCCAGCGGAGCTTCGAATTCGAATGCCCAGTTGAAGACGACATCCTGGCCCTTGGTGTAGGACAGGTCCCCTGGCACTTGAGTGAAACTGGGCGACCCTGTACAAACACAAAACAAAAATTGTTAACGTAGTGGCAAAACAAGATGTAAAGATATTGGTGGTAAAATGTGCAGATGTTGGCACATTGGCGCATCAAATCCATGGTGTGTAAGTTTTTGGCATACATTCAGACAGATTAGCCCACGGGGCTCGGTGGGCGTCGCTCCATCCCACCGTCAGGAAAAAGAAGGTACTGTAAAGTGCCTTTTCCAAGGGCACAACGTTGCAAAAACAGGATGTGAAGATAGGTGCCTGAACCTAACTCTAACCCATTAAGGCAATGGAACTAGATAGGCACGGTCCTGGATACTGAATAGGGACCTCGGCTGAGCAGAGGCAGTACAGCGACCGCCGCTAGAAGGCGACTCAGTCAGACCTGGTGCCTAGCATAGGGTCTGGGCGCAGAGATATTTGATCGCCGTCGAACACGTTACACAAGTACCTCTTTCACTTTCACAAGAAGTCACGTACACACATACGTACATGTACATGTATATGTAGTTTTATCTTAATTCTTTGAAAAGTCTGAATAGTCTGAATAGTCTCTGGGTTATGACAGGTACAAGTTTCCAGGAAAGACAGGCAGACTGTCACAACTTCGGTCAAAGCCTGAAATTACATTGACATTACATTGCGGCGTACTTGGGGGAGCATCAGGAGGCGAAAAATCATTTTTCGGCTCTTGGTGGCCAATGTTTGCACATTGGCACACCGAATCCGTAGTGTGTTCTGGCACACAGTTAGACAGATTAGCCCAAGAGGCTCGGTGGGCGTTACTCCCTCGCCAGGGTAAGGAAGGTAGTTTAAAGTGCCTTTCCCAAGGGCACAACGTCGGGGCATGGTGAGTATCAAACCCGGGATCTCAAAATTGGTTCCGAGTCCAACGCTCTACCAGTAATGCGCCAGTCGACAAAACTGCACGTGAAAGAGTCAACACGCTTCTGTACAGAGAAGAGTAGACGATTATGCTTGGCGTATCTTTAGGACACTACAGGCTCATACTTTACCACAAGTATTTGGGCGGTCGGACATATCATCCATGATATAGATATGTAAGCTTACGGGTAGAGACTCCTATCTGGGAGAATCGCCGATTCTACCGGAGATATTCAGAACTTTTCAACTTGTCACTTTGGATTAATTCATTGACTTGAAATTTAGGATTTACAGCTTGGAACTCTACCGATACAGATCTCTATAGATCGCAGCCTCTTAACTAACAGACCTGCATGTCAATCAAAAACACCCGTTACTGTACATGTATAGAGACAAGCGCGGTTATGTTTTACCTGTTACTTCCTGAAGGAAGCACGCTAGCGCTAAGGCGGTTAGCACTGCGAATCCGGACACGGACAGACGACATTGTCCTCGGCAACGATGTGAATACTCCAAAGACCCTACCGCCATTCTGTAAGCCAGATGGACCACTCTTGTACGAGTGTTATGTAACGTTAAGTTTATGGCCGCTTACAGGTTGTATTGTATTTGCCTTCCTTTATTAGGCCATGTTGATTTGATTATATGGATGACATCCTCTGGGAACCCCAAAACTGATGCGCGCGTGCGAATAAAAAAAAGTTTTGCAAAAAAAAAAGTTGCTTTCACTATGAAATCTACGTGGTCATGAAGGTTGAACAAATGGCACAGAATATGTTATGGCGAATAATCTACTCTTCGAATTCATTTCTTTACATTTTTGCCTTTTTTCCTTTGATTTTGGCATTCTACGACATTGGTATCGTTTCTAAATGTTTTCCTTGCATCTTATGGTATATTTTTGCTCATTTAGCAACTGTTTTGCACGATTTACAGTATGGTTGAAAACTTTATTTTGGAAACGGCCGAAAATTCATGCGCGCGAGGATGTCATCCATATAATCAAATCAACATGGCCTTACGAACGTTCTGAGAAGGCCTCCCATTGTGTACCTAGTGATGTAGGCAAAGAGATCGATTTACCTGAGTGCAATGAGTAAATAGACTTTGTAGCGTAGAAAAGTCCACAACCATTGAACCTGCGACGACCTTCCACTTTCGTGGTGAAATGAGAGCCTCCTGCGCACTTTTCAAGCGGCCTTCGATGAACCATTGTAGCTTCATTCATACTATCCAATGTAAGGTGGGATCTCGCCGCATTCTCGCGTATTTGTATAATACGATACACTAGTGTACAGTATAATGCACTTCTGTATTTGGCAATGCGAAAGGAAGTATTTGTTATTGTAATTACATCGCGTTTGAAAATGTGTGTTCATATAGCCAATGACCGAGTCCTAACATTTTCATGCAGTTGTATAAGACCAAAACTACATGGATATGATATCTATGTATAACACTGTGCAGTGCGGGGGGGGGGGGGTTAGACAGAGAGAAACACATTGAGAAAGACAGAGAGGACGAAAGACAAAGAAAGAGACAAAGAGAGAGAGAGAGAGAGCGTTACAGATATCTAGTATCTGATTCTTCCTTTGCCTACTATATTACGGTAAGGCAGCATTATCATGTATCAAGTGTAGCCGTCTGTCAAAAAGAAACATTTGAATTCCTGTAAACATTAACCTACTAGTAAATTTCGCGACCATAAAACCAAGTCGTGTGTACAAGAGATAACAACTCACCTGAGGTAGTCCTGAAAATCAACGTAGAAAGTAGGGCAGGAAGAAACAAATTTCCTGGGCGAATCATAGTTCTGTAACTGTATAGCCGGTATTGGTAAAGTTGGTGGATATCCAAAAACCTGACACAAACTCTACCCTGATTTCAATACGTCTACCTTCAACACCTCTCAATAAAACTATTTCAAGTTCATTTTCCCCTGCACCAGTAGTTTCATATTAACTCCGTATGCAAATTAGTTCATGATTGTCCACGCTTTCTTGGAAGCGGCCATGCACGTAATTGTCTGTGCATGACGTAACGGGGAAGCAACACCTGTACTTTCACTTTCATTTTCGCAAGGACTGTCGGGGGGTGGATATACGACGTATATTATTTTAATAATCACTCATCGTTGGCCTATTGAAACATTAGTCGTTACATGTGTTCTTATCTCATCTATACCTAAGTCTAATTATTCCACCGTTGTGGCACCACAGATGATCTTACAGCCAGTTTTCTCCACCCTTCTTGGTTTTCTGTTCCTCTTTATACGTTTCACTTACTGTCATGCTGATCAATTCTCTGATGTTATCCTCCCATCTTTTCTATTGCCTACCCCTCTTTCTTCCTCCCTGTACTGTTCCTTGTATGGTGGTTTTGGCTAGGCCCGATAATAGACCGCCTTTAAGTTTTTCGAATTTCTAAAAGTTATTATTAAATCTAGGTTGCTACATGCTACGAACGAATTTGTATATCTTCCTAACATAACGCCTTGGGTAGCAAGCGGGGAATCCCCACAGTTTCGGTGATCCAATCACAGACGCCATCGAAACTATGAACCACTCTATCATTTTCTTTGTTAGCTACACACCTTTTAATACTCAAAAAGAGAACTATAAAGTCACTGTGGTAGAGTCAATATTTTCCTTGTGTGCTGAGGCATAACACATTACAATACACTAACAATATCTACTAGTATTTAAAGAGGTCACACTCTTCTGAACGATATTTGAATTACGTAACAATGTAAACAACCCGCAAAGGTAAACAATAGCTAAGCTGACGTTGGTACAAAAACATGTTGGTAATTCAGTACAAGAGCCACAAATATGCAGAAGTCATCTACAGGTACAACAATGGTGTTTAACATCGTAATATCCTATTGTGATAATCTCAAAGCAGATCATATGGTGGCAAGACAGTATCCATTGGCCAGAGGAGTGTCCATTAGCCAACGATTAGGTTTTAATAGCCTTTGACGTTTTGACTGTCCACATTTCCTTCGGTGGCCGTACAAACTCCCCTGGCTAATGGGTACTGTCTTGCCACCGAAAGGGATCTGCTTGGAGATTAACTCATAGTCCTATAGTGCATGTTACCCGACCTACCTGACGTCGTACCCAGGGCGACAACAGCTGTCAGGAATAGTCTCGTTCCCAGCTGCAGCATTGTCAACCTAATAACGTTTTAAAGGCGAGGCAGTGCACTGCCATAGAAGGCAAACTTCACTTTTTAGTGGCTGAATACGTTGTTTTTTACCTTTACCAAATCCGCGCCCTTGACACTAGTCATGACGCTGTGTTGTTTTTCAGGTGGCGGTGCCTTTTTCCCGCTCAAAGCCTTGACCGAAACCAGGCCAATTCCGCATCGAAATGTAGTTCGCATGTACAGCTGCTATGCTTGAAAAACCGCGCCAAAATCGGCGTATGTCGCACAATCAAGTATGGAGCCCTTGTTTTCTGATAGAAATGATATTTTTCACAGTTATATCTTATTGTTATGCTGTGAAATTTACGATAACCAAGCGGTAAACACGGTATATGTGCGGCGGAGTGATACACATTTTACTTCCGGGTTTTCGGCACCGCTTTAATAACGCCCACCATTGCAAAAATGAAAATGAAAGCTATTTCTACCGTGGAAAAACGATTTTCACATACTTGGGATTCTTTGAAATGACAATTTGTTCTGGCTATATGAGCATAATGATATAATGGTCGGAATTGTAATGTGATTTCTCTGAGGCAAACTCGTACTGGATTCTGGAAAGCGCATACTGGTTTAAATCTAAAGCAACACAGGTTACCGTATAACCCCTGCCCTCAGTATGTTGACGTGGTTTCTACACCTATGTAACGTGATACCTTACTGCACAATACAAAGTCCAATTGAGAAAGGGTTTTAACAATTCTATGCGCATAGATGTGTATAACCAAGTCTTTTTCTTCTAATGTCACTTTTTTGTTAATCTTAACTTGGTCAAGGTTTTTTTAAAATATCTTTTCTTCAGGTTTTGCAATGCGGAGGGACAAATTTGACGTGTGCGAAACTTAGTATACGAGGTATCGGCAAAGGTCATATGATGATGAAGTAGAATTGGAGACTTTATTGCTTAATATCTTTAAAAATATTCTTTATTGACTCAACAAAAAGTACAGGGACTTTTGTATGGTTTTCTACACAAAGATATAACAAAGCTAACGTTATCTTACGTACAGAATATATGCCAGCAGCAACAATTAAGATTTAGCTGTTCTCTAACATGTAGTCTCTTAGATTTAAACATTCTTTAATGTATTCATGTTAGGTGTATTAATATCTCTTCCAGTCATCCCTCCCACCAGGCCACCACATCGCCTGGTGCAGTGGCGCCGCCCAGCGGTTTGACGATGTCGTGCACCGGCGGGTAGATGACGGTGTCCCTGATGACGTAGGGGCGGCCTGCTCGCCTGTACGCCGCCCGGATTTGGTCCCGGGCGGTCCGCGGGTTCTCCCAGTCCGTGTGAGGCGTGTCCGCGCCGATGTCGTGCCGTAAAAACGACTCCTGTTGGTTCGTGTGAAAACGACATATGACTTAACTTTGAGAGAGCCACACCCCACGCACGTTAAAGAACCCATCACACTTAACGAAAAGAGCAGGGGTCCTTCCCGGTGTGAGTGGTTCAAACCTTACAGTCTGGTCTCAGGTTTGACAGGTTTGACATCTTTGAAGAGGTGGTAGTCACCTGTTGTGTTAATCCTTCCACAAATGTGGTAAACTTCTCTTCATAAATAAAAAAAAAAGTCTGTCACGGTGTGCCTGTGAGTGCGTGTGTTTGTGTGTGTACATTACCGAGAACATAAAAAAACCTCCTTGCTCAAACATAATTTACAGCCCCTCTTCCCCCCCCCTTCCCCCTTGGGGTCTACATTGATACGTTCCCTACCTCCGGTTGCAGTAGGACGAAGCTGTTCTCGCTGTTGAAGTTGAACCTGGAGTGAGTCTCCGGATAGCAGGGCGCGAAGGTCGTCACGAAGAACGTGCACCTGTCAATTCCAAACCACATCTTTTACTCAGAGGTTCCCCTTTGAATGAGTAAATGTTTCTATTTCAGGTATTTCACCCATAGAAAACAATGGTACTTTTATACACCATGGTGACAATGTTAAAATTTCACTATTAACACAAACGATTGTAAAACTATATCAAAGACAAATTTGTGCTAGCCCTTGTTGTATGAGTAATTAGGATTTATTAGATTTTACTCTATATTAGGTTTTGTTCTATACTTTTTTATATTTTGTTCAATATTTGTTGCCATACATTGTGCCATGTGCAATTGTCGTGCAATAAAGTTGTTCTTCCTTAGTGTGATGCTAATAAAAAAAAGGTGCACCTGTCAAACTCGAAGCACCAGCCTCGCTTGGAGACGTACGACTTGTCCATGCAGTGCACTCCGGCGGGGTCAACGTCCGATAGAACCTGAAAAAACGCGGGTAAACTAGTAGTTAGTCTCTACCAGGCTTCGGGAAGCCGTTAGAAGACGGTAGACATTGGCCAAATGAAAAAAAAGGGCGGGTCAACTAGTAATTAGCCTTTACCAGGCTTCGGGAAGCGGCTGGAAAGAGTAGAAATTGGCCAGATACTCGTAGAAAAAAAAGGCGGGTAAACTAGTAGTTAGCCTCTTCCAGGCTTCGGGAAGCCGCTGGAAGAGTAGATTGTTACCCCTAGTTGGGTAGATTTTACTGTCTTTGAACTCGCTTAGCCTGGTGCTTTACCAGACCCAGTCCTAATGAGCATAGGCATGTCTTTCTGACAGCCTTTCTGGCCTAATGCTTTTTTTCTCTGAAGTAAACAACTGCAGGCTTTCTTGTCTCCTTCTAGTGACCTTGAAGTCTTTCTTACCTTCAGAAGACGTCTTACTCCGTTCCCGAGATCCTCCGGACTGTTCCCGAAATCCTTTGCGGGCAACTCAAACAGGAACCCGTCTAGTCCCAAGTGAAACTGGAGGGCGCAGAACTTTATAAACATCGGCAAAGACCTGCAAAAAAAGAAGAACATTTCAATTAATAAACAGTCTGCATTATCTGGACCCTAATAAGGCCGCAGCAAGTAAATTTTATGGATGACATCCTCCGCAAACTCCAAATCTAATGCGATAGGGCGAAAAAAACAAGGCGGGCCAAAAAAAAAAGATTCCTACATTGACATAATAAACCTTGTTCACAACAAGAAATGATACCTATATTGTGCTATGTTTACTGCCAACTAACATCCATTTCTGACTGAAACAACTTTCACAACAAAAGTTTTCATCATTGTACAAATGGTTTTGATTGAGATGTCCTTACCTTCTGATATTTTCCTCTTCATTTCAGGGATGAAACAATTTCATTAGGCGTCACGTGACCACGTAGGGAGATATGATTCATTCCACGACAAGGCAGAATAAAAAAAACGAGAGACAACGTCAAAAGTTGAACCAAACAAAAGATTCATTTCGGTTAAAAAAATAGTAAAAGCATTGAAGGTGTTTGACGATCCCTAAACCTAGCGTCTTCAAAAGCGGCTGAAAAGAGTAGAAATCGGTTAAACAGAGAGATAACCACCACAGAGGCTACCCTAAACCAACTAGCCTCTACCAGGCTTGGGGAGACGGCTGGAAAGAGTAGAAATTGGCGAAATAGAGAGATAACATGCCAAGGGAGTTTGTCCGTCGAGAGAACAGTTCTCTCAACGGAAAAACTCCCTTGGCATGCTTATCTCTCTATTTGGCCGATTTCTACTCTTTCCAGCCGCCTCCCTATTATTTAGGCTATGAACCAACCTAAACTAAGTCGGTCCACCCAATCCGCCGACCCCCACAGTCGAGCCGCCCGGGCGAACACGCACTCCGTGCCTTCCTTCACGCTGGTGAAGTTCTGAAGCGAACTACACGAACCGGCGTCATAACACACAAGATCCAGGATGTGACGCGTGTATCTTTGCTCTGTGTCCCTTGGGATGTTCTCATCTCCATGGTTACTCCGTTGCCTTGGAGACCGGGTCTTCTGGAGAGATGACGTCATAGCTTCCTCTCGTGGTGACCGCAACAGAAAAATGGAAGCTACAATCATAAATTATCATTTAACTGAAAAAGTAACATTTGCAAAGCAAATGCATAATGGTTACCTTCGCATAGTCTCCACGTGTTAGTCTGGTAGACATGGTAGAGGCTACCCGGAAGTACTGCATTACAATTACATACATATCTAAATAACACATGGTAAATGTGATCTGTTTTCGTACCTGCAAAGAGTACCAGCGACAACAGCGACCCAGCTGACCAGACGAAAGACGTGTACACGAAGTACAGGCCACACAGGAGTCGGATAACTGTAGGCAGCGTTTCCATATTTCTTACAGTCAGTCCTGACTTGTAAGTTGTAGTACTAACGTCTGTGTCGGCGACCTCAACTTCGTTGTCAAAATGCTGCTTGAAACTAGAGCACACGAATCCTCGGTTGAAGCTCACCCAGTGTTGTTGATGTCATGATCAGACAGTGGCTTTAATATTGTCGTTTGGTTATGACATCATCGCTAGGACACGTCATACCGAACAGCGAAACACAAATGGCGTAACCCGGAAGTAGGCAAGGGGGGAGGGGCGGTACCGCGGTCGCCGTCTACCTACTGAAATGTATCACGGCTAAAACATGGCTGATTCAAGGCGTAGATGTAGATAGTTTTGAGTTACACATTGAGTTGCAACAGTGTTTAACTGAGAGCAGGCTGTCCATGGCCCTATAAAGAGCTCGTGCATGGCGAGAGAAAACTGGACTATGACATTATGTCTGTGTTGTATGGTAGAGGTGAAAGGTCGACTTTGTTGTGTTAAGGAGCTGTTTTGTCTATCTAGGGTGTTTTTGTGTATTTTGTAAGTCATACTTGGTGATATGTCTACTTTCCGATTGTGACATTATGTACTAATCTCTTTATTTCGGTAAACTATATGCTTGTCATTTTTTTTATATTGGAGCTGACACTACCACCCTTTTTGTTATTAAGGATGATGTAATGTACAGTTGGGCAACATTGTGCGTTACATACAGATTGCGAAAGAGTGGCTGTTTTTTTTTTATATTTAATACATCGCGTGTGTCTGTTCTTTAGCAACAATCAAGAGCTCCCTACAAGTTCTTTTAGTTATTATATAACAAAATTGACTGCATTTACCCGCGAGGTAAAAGTACAAAGGTCGTTTTTTAAATCAGGCTGACAACGTGGTCTTTGGACCTTTCTGTGGGTGATAATGAAACATATGGCTCTCCCAAGTATATGAGAACCTGTTAAATGAATTTAAAAAGTGCAAGCAATTATTTCCAAAGTTACTATATAGGGTTGTGCCCTCAATTTGTACAAGTAATCACCCAGCTTATGATATACAATTTGTACCTACAACCACATAACGTTAGCTATCCCCTCCCAATCCCTTACTGGTTTGTCCGTCGAACCGAACTAGCCTTTTTCTTCCGCTAACCCTTTTAATATCGATGCCCTCGATCCACACTGTCACAAATCCTTGCTCCACACGACGATATTCCACCTGTAGTTTTGGCCTGTAGCCCCCTCCTGCAAACCAGCCGAACCACTGACCACAAAAACCAGCACAGTGTCCGTCTGCTTACGAGAGGGGTTCTTTTTACCGTCGAACCGAACCCAACTGGTGTTGCTTTTCCGCAAACCCTTATCGTTGTCCTCGATCCATTCGACAATATTCTACCCGTAGTTTTGGCCTGTAGCCCCCTCCTGCAAGCCAGCCGAACCACTGACCGCAAAAACCAGCACAGTGTCCGTCTGCTTACCAGAGGGGCTCTTTTTTCCGTCTAACCGAACCGAACCGGTGTTGCTTTTCCGCAAACCCTTATCGTTGTCCTCGATCCATTCGAGGCCCATTCGACAATATTCCACCCGTCGTCTTGGCCTGTAGCCCCCTCCAGCAAGCCAGCCGAACCACTGACCACAAAAAACAGCACAGTGTCCGTCATGCCTGCCCCTCCCCCTCCCAATCCCTGTACGCTTTTCCGTCGAAATGGACCGGCCTTTTTCTTCCACAAACCCTTACCAGTGTCCTCGATCCAGTCGGCGATTTTTAGCCTGTAGCCCCCTCCTGCAAGCCAGCCGAACCACTGACCACAAAAACCAGCACAGTGTCCGTCTGCTTACGAGAGGGGGCCTGTGGGGAGGGCTGTCCACCGCCTAGCACCGGGAGCTACCGCGGTGACTGCGCGGCCGCTTCGGACAACACCTCCCCGCCAGGCCGGGGGGTTTGGTGGAAAGAGCCGATTAGAAAACCGGCTCAGGCCGAAGTAAGCGTTATTGTTTGGTCATGCTCGCTGCTGTGGGGTTGTGTCGAAGTAAGCGAGACATGGTGGTGAGCACCGAGGTCTCAAGCTGCGAGCGAACGCCGAGGTTCGTCCGCAAGCCAGAAACCCTGAGCCGATACTGAAGATTGGTCTGACGACGAGGCTTATTTATCGTCTGGCATTACGTCACCTAGTTACGCCTCGCCTTATTTGGGCAGGACACACATTAACGCGGTTGCACAACACGTCGCAATATCGGAAGGTCTGACAAGGGTTTTTTGGCATTATTCAACAGAAAGTAATAGAAAAGAAATAGAAGAGATAAAAGTCTGCTGTGCCTGTTTTTTATACTTTGCGATAGATTTGTAGCATACAGGTAAATGCTACTTTAATTACACGTTATAAAAGTTAACATTTTATTCATTATTCTAATATCAAGCTCTTTCCTTTTGAACGTTCTCAAATTTTGATAACCCCCAGGTGTAGCCCTAAATTTTGTGTCAGCAGAATCAGCAGTTGACCTTTAATTTTTTAAAAGTCGTGTCCTCATATCCTTTTTATAGTTAGTATACAACAAGCACAAGCAACGTATTTGCATAATCAATGAGAGACCTCTATGTTATAGGTTAACATGATTTGTTCCTCATTTGCATGAATATACATGTATCGGTTTATGATCAAATAATTCAATTTCTAACAATATCGTATCATCAGGTTGAGAGTTGCTTAAAAGCTACTTTTAGAAACAAAATCATCCTTGCGAAGGCAATTCCAAGAGCGTCATTTAGTCATAATTATTTTTAAATGAACCAGAACCCACCTTTTGTATACAAAGAGAAACATGACAGGGTTCAGTGGGTGTATGAGTAAAATAGAAGATATGGTAAAGAAGCAATATCGTGAATTACATTTGTAGCCAAGGGTTTTACCTGGACCAAGGAGGTTTCGATCTTCAACTTATAAGTATAAACTTTTGTTCTTTTTTGTGTTAATTTTTGTTATCTATACTTTCATTCATGTATTCTTTAATAATGAGGTATGTATAACTTGGAAGTATAATTGGGATTCTATAGATTTACTGCTGCACTTTTTCAGTGCCTGGATAAATAAAGTAATACGTCAGCCAAAACACTACTATAAAAGGCATCCAGCGCAGTTTTAGGGCTTGGAAACCCGATTTTTCAAAGCCACTGTTCTAGTTATTTATCTACATAACGTTACCACACTAACCCTCGAAAAAAATTCGAAAATTCTGATCGAAAGGTCAATGGTTCTTTGAAGGACTCTGGTCTGATTTTTAGGGTACTCGTACCACCCATAAAATAAAGGACTAATCTGCGGGCTTGTTGCGGCAGTTTTAAATGCCCAAAGTCTGAATTGCTGACTCAAATGTACTATTAATATGTGAAGCAGTATGCGTAAATATGACAAAGTTTGCCTTATTCAGAATATTTCCAGTTTTGCTGCCCTGAAATCGCATCGGATCTCCTAAACCAACTGCAAGGAGCTTTCCTAAACCGCACACATCTGCTTGGTTTTACCTCATGTTTACCCCCTCATGTGGGCATGTGTCACCCCTTGTTCTATTTTTAGAACGACCCTCGACCAATCACGTTCCCTCTAGAATTCCACGCCGTCCAATCAGAGTGCTGGATTTGAATGATGGGCGGGGCCCTGACCTTCCGAAATCCTGACCTGGGTCAGCTAACACATCATGGCAGGAGGGTGAGGTAGGTGGAGACTTTGGCGCCCTGTTTTTCTATTTTTCTCCCGTTTTTGAGCGAAATTGCAGCTCAGAGAGGTCAATTTTAGCTCAGTTGTTCCCCAGGGGCATTGCAATGTGCGAAAATAGCGATGCAAATCGTGCAAAACAATGCACACTTGCGCCTTGCAGCTCAGACCTTGCATATGCACAAAGGGGCCTGTGAGGGTATGACAGCTAGCTACTAGCGGCATGTACATTTTGTGTGGGGTAGAAAAATAATATCGCTGTTGTGCAGGCAGCGTATTCCTGTTGTGTTCGTTCTTTGACAGCTGAAATTGTACTGACTAGTGACTAGAGAAATTACTAGTATTATGCCAGCTTTGGTGAGAGTTATAGTTTGTTGTTAATCATAAAGCAAACAAAGCATGTTGGTTTGTAAATTGTATGTGTTATAAAATTATGCTTTACACTTGAATAAGAGTACTAGTATGTACCACGGTACTATGTAAGTTATTAAGGTGCTTTTGAAATAGGAATTTAAGACAAGAACATTGTTTATGCCTTGTGTGTTTATAGTGTGACTGTAGTCTCCCTCTCTGTATGTTAGTGTGTGTGTGTGTGTGTGTGTGTGTGTGTGTGTGTGTGTGTGTGTGTGTGTGTGTGTGTAGTGTAGTAGTAGTGGTAGTGTGTAGTAGTAGTACGTAGTAGTAGTGTAGTGTGTAGTGTAGTAGTAGTGTGTGTGTGTGTGTGTGTGTGTGTGTGTGTGTGTATGACATGTAGGGAACTTGTGTGTATACAAATTGTAGTGTGTGTGTGTATGTATGTATGTGTGTGTGTGTGTGTGCGTGTGTGTGTGTGCATGCGTGCGTGCATGTGTGTGTGTGTGTTTGAAGATTAGAATACTAGTATTAGAGAGTTCACAAAACCCCTGATAGACTCTGAGCCAGAGGAAACCCCATAAATCAGTTCCAGGGACACACCAACAACACTAACCACCATTGTGATTGTCACATGATACCCATAATCTATGATAGTATGAAGTCATCCCCAAACACTGGGCCATTGATAATGTGTAACAGTTGGGATATCACATTTGTATACCCGTGTGATGCTCAAAATGGCTATGTCACATGAAAAACATCGTAAGTGACTGTGTTTTTTCTCTTCTAAGTTCTAAGTCCTCTGCACTTTGAATTTCACATCACTATGAATATGAAGACTTTAACTGTAAGTAGCACAATGAAAGACAGAGCTGGTATTTGAAATGTGGTTTAAAAGTTTGTGGTGAGAAATCTTGGTGAAAAATGCAGGAAACCACTGCAATTATCATAATCTCCAAGCAGATCCTAGGGTGGCAAAAAGACAGTATCAAATTGGTCAGGCAGTATCCATTCGCCAGAGAGGGTACAATATTCCACCCAAGGGTGGATTAACTGCTTGGCCAATTTCATACTGTCTTTTTGCCACCCTAGGATCTGCTTGGAGGTTACAATTTGAACAAATATCATACAACTTGCAGTATTTCGAGGCATGTAATTATGGAGTTCCTGTTAAGGTTGATCCCAAATCTCGGTTTCCTGCCTAGAAGACAGGAAGTGTGCCTCTGTAATTTTTGCTGCAGGTGTCGGAGCTGGAACTTCACAGAAAATAGTCCCTTTGTTTGGTGTTTAGTAAACCTTTTGAGAACATAGTAATTACCGGTACCTAGCATTGTCAACATTGCAAACATGCAGTGTTGTGTAAAATAACCTTCAGCAGAAAATGCTGTCACTGTCACTAGTAGGTTGAACCAAAGGCTGGACTTAAGTATCTTACAACTAGCTATGGGCTGGAACTACACAGAAAATAGTCCCTTTGTTTGGTGTTTAGTAAACCTTTTGAGAACATCGTAATTACTATTGTCAACATTACAAACATGTAGTGTTGTGTAAATTTACCTTCAGCAGAAAATGCTGTCACTGTCACTAGTAGGTTGAACCAAAGGCTGGTAATCTTACAAAGTATCTTACAACTACATGTAGCTATGGGCTGGAACTACACAGAAAATAGTCCCTTTGTTTGGTGTTTAGTAAACCTTTTGAGAACATAGTAATTGGTATTGTCAACATTACAAACATGTAGTGTTGTGTAAATTTACCTTCAGCAGAAAAATGCTGACACTGTAAGTACATTGTACATGTAGTCGTCAACATTAGAAACACACAGTGTTCTGTATACTTACATGTATAACTGTATAAAATTATAACTTTCAGAAGAAAAATGCTGACACTAGTACTAGTAGGTGGAACCAAAGGCTGAACTTTAAAGTATCTTACAACTAGCTATGGGCTTTTGTTTGATTTAACAGTTGATTCAACAACTTACAATGACTGTTCAAGATGAATTTTTCTTTTCTTACCGGTAAAACCCCTTGTCAACTAGACTGGCTTAGCAACCAAAGATTTCACAAATTCACTCAATGATATTTTTAAATTTCTTTTACGTTCTGTTTCGTTTTAAATCCTCCTTTTACAATGTACTTCTTGCACCATGCACTTATGACAATTATGAAATTACATTGCAATTATGTAAATTTATTACAATCATAAAATCGAGGGTCACACAAGTTATACAATGTTGACCACTCAACTGTTGCTTCACGATTGTTGTCTAGTAAAAAGAGCCTGACGCTAACAAATATTTTTCTTATCTTACTTCAGGGCATGAGTTACAGAAGAAAGCCTTTCCAGGATATGTTGAGGGTCGGATTTTCTATGTATACATCAAGAGTAGACGCAACAGCCCACGTACAGACGGTCATCCAGTATTCTCCAGTTTTGCATTGTCTTGTCTCTACCGGCACTAACTCTACCAAGGAACACCAGCAACCATAAATACAGAATACAGGGCTTTGTTTCAAAAAGACTTAGGTTCGTATTAAAACGAGAAAATGAACGCCTCAAGCGGACCTCCTACAGAAAATCTGCGGACTTACAAACTTGTGGTGGTAGGGGACGGTGGCGTGGGTAAGAGCGCCCTGACGATACAGTTCTTTCAGAAAATGTTCGTGGCAGACTACGATCCAACCATCGAAGACTCGTACATCCAGCACACAGAGATAGATGGAGAATGGGCCATTCTAGATGGTAAGTTTTAAATCTCGTTATACATAATTATGTAAATATTACCCACAGACAAATCTACCCAAAGATATATAATCCGTATTTACATGTATGTCATAGCTGGGCTGTGATAACATTCGATACAGGTGTTCCAGTCCATGCAATAAACTACCCGTATCACATGGGTTATCACACGGGCGTCTAGATTTCTAAAAGTTCCAATACGAGATTCAGACATTGGAATTGATGTTAAAATATTTTGTTAAAGGGACACCAAATTTTCTCAATTTCAGGCATTGAAAGTTTGCATTGAAATGTTTGTTTTCTAGGGTGGGTATGACATACATGTAAGTACAGAAGAAGACTATATGGTGCATTCAACATCACCATACAAATAGGTCTCTGAGCCCTCCAGAGTGGGTCGGATGTCCCTCCGGCCTGAGTACCTCAGATGATATGAAATACACACACTGTTTAGAGTTAGATGTTCAAGGGTTGGGTGTAACAAGTCGTTTGGTGTAATGTAGCCAGCTGCCGCCACGCCGCGTGCCTGCGAAGCTGGTATGTTACGCCGAAGGGCGGTTATACCAGCTATACAGATAAAGATACAGAAGCTGGTGTGTTACACTGAAGGGCGGTTATACCGGCTATACAGATACAGATACAGAAGCTGGTGTGTTACGCCGAAGGGCGGTTATACCGGCTATACTGATACAGAAACATATACAGATAGTTTTCAATATTCCTTGTTCTGTCCTACAGTACTGGACACTGCCGGTCAGGAGGAGTTCAGTGCCATGCGGGAACAGTACATGCGGACAGGAGACGGGTTCCTGCTGGTCTACTCCGTCACAGACAAGGCCAGCTACGAACACATCCATCAGTTCCACACACAGATACTCAGAGTCAAGGACAGGTCTGTACTGTACTGCTAATTCATTAATGTTGGCAAGAGTTTGTATTCGTTTTTTATTCTTTATCTTTAAAAAAGTTTGTTTCTGCCTGTTTGTGTGAGATATAGTATTGCAGTTGTAATTCTTTAACGTTACATACATAATTTTGTACGAACACAATCCACCTGTCCAGTTTCAGTCTGATGAAATAATGTTAGGAAACAGATTAGTAGACTTAAAAATCATGATAAAAAATTATGAATATGGAAAGCAAAATAACGTTTGCAGGTTTTGAGAGATTTGAAGTTGAAGCAATTTCTAAGGACCACAATGTCGTATGATCACAAAACTACCCTGGCATTAGCTAGGTTGAAAAGAAGTAGTTTTTCTTCTGTCTATCAGTGATTTTTGTATTTTCTCTTGAAGATTTTCCAGGTTGGGTACCAATATGTGAGTACTGCTCACCTGTGTAGGTGTTGTAGTGCGGTTTCATCTGTATCTTGTCCTGTCAGTGCTGCCATCTCCAACATAAATATCACTCATTTTTAGGATACAGGAGTTTTCTTACACAACCAAAATAGACGTAAACCTTCCTTACATTTCGGTGTCTATCAGACACCTTCCTCAGAGCTTCTGACTGGAGTTCTGCTTCTTGCTGCTATATGTAGCCGATGTAGGTGGCGCTTTTGTGGCAAGAACAGGCTACAGATGGCAGTGAGAAGCAGTTCTAACTCCAGTCAGAAGCTCTGAGGAAAGTGTCTGGTAAACACTGAAACGTTAACAAGTTTAGTCAGACATAGTCTGTCTTGGTTGTGTAAAAGAAAACTCCTGTATCCTATACTTTACCAACCTGATGAAACTATTTTCGGATCATCATTTTTGAGTACACCTGGCCATCATTGTCTACTTAATAGCTTTGGACTATTGATTGAATATTCTAAAACTTTCACAATGTGAGAGAACATATAAAAATGCATACCTAAGGCACAAGGAAGTTAATTTTTGTCCATACGTAGTGATTCAGGGGTTCACACCACACAAAAAACTTTCCAGCCTGGCCAATTTTAATTTGGAAAACTTCAGAATGACTGCAATAGATTTAGCATAGACTGTACCTTTAAATGTTTCTCATTGTTGTGTTTTCAGTTTAATAATGTCAAAATTTAATATTATGTACTTTTTTTTGCATTTTTATCTCCTGTTTGTGTCAATGAATTTGAGTTTACCTTGTTCCATAGGGACTCCTATCCCATGATCCTTGTGGCCAACAAAGTGGATCTAGTTCACCAGAGAAAGGTGTCTGAGGACCAGGGTAAAGCTCAAGCCACAGAACTAAATGTAAGTAAAACTAAATGTAGGGAAGAAATGTTTTTAATGTAAGTGAGACTTAAAAGCTACACTCTTGTCATTAAGAATCTCTGGTTTGAGCTGTGAACTGGCTCAAATCAGATTTAGTGTATCTTAAGGCTATTCCTTTAAATTTGGTACATATTTATTATATCGAATTTGCAGAAGGAAAACAGATTGTTTTTTTTTTCTCCGTTTCTAATCTAATGTTCTCTAAACAAATAAGGTCGATGACCTGTACCAGGCAGCTGTCACCATGGTAACTGGCCCTGTAGCAGACACCTGGTGGTGTTGGGTTACATTATGTAGCAAGTTGGGGGGAATGGTCACCATATTATATGAATGTGTTTGAGTAAGACTATAGCATGCAGTAGTTTGTTAGGCGAGACCATGTGAAGATTATGGTTTCAAATGTTACCTTTCTAGTTGTCTTCATTTCAGATCCCGTACATTGAGACAAGTGCAAAGGACCCTCCCCTTAATGTGGACGCCGCCTTCCATGAAGTAGTTAGAGTCATTAGGTGAGTTTTAAACCCTTGTCCTGCTGAGCGCAACATTTGTCGTTCTGCACATACAGTACCATCTATATAGCACCCTGTATAGGTACGATTTGGGGGTATTTCTCGTGCAACGCATCACACCGTAGTGAAACGCAACGAATGCGGAAGTCACTATTGCCACTGCAGGGCAAAAAAAATTTGGGGTCTATGATCTAATTAAGACATGAAATTATTGAAAAATATTGTGCCAGGAATGCCAGCAGGACAAGGGTAAAGGATATAGGGTTTGTCTTCTTTGTTTGAAAGTAGACGTAGTGTACAACTGACTTTCCTGTTTGTTTAGGTGACAGTCTTGTAACACACCAGGACAAAATGTACCTTACCTACAGTTTTATCTCATCTGCTGGTGGCCACTGTTGAAGATTCTAAGATACAGCTGGAAGGTTTTAACTAATCATATCAGAGGCATATAATTGCTTCCTGCTACTCCTTTGGTGGCACCTATGTTCAAATATCGAGCAAACCAGAACATTGAAAAATGATTACTTTCCTCCCATAACTCAATCATCATTTGCTTACTAGGATCTGATGCCTTTTACAGGAACTCCATCTTCTGAAATACTTACAACTTACTATGCATCTAGGTTTTTTTCTGTATTATTTGTATGTCTCCAGAGTTTTGTATCCTTTTAATGATGTACTGTGTTTTATAAGTTTTTTACCTGAAATAAAGAATGAATGAATGACTCCACACTGGATAACTTTGGGCCTAGGGTCTGGCACCCAGGCTTAACTCAGTTAGACAAGCACAATTCTTCTGTCTAACACTTTGCATGTTTTCTTTTCCCTTTTAGGAGACAGACACCCGACAACAAGAAAAAGAAGAAGGGTGGCAAGGGCAAACTCAAGGGCAAATGTTCTATCCTGTGATTGGTTGATCGTTGAGAGCTGCCTCTTTTGATTGGTCAAACTTTATTACGTTGCAACACACTAAGCTGAACCAAAACTACATGAACAAGACAATTTTAATGATTGAATGAAGCCTTGTATACCCTCTGGTAGGGTATGGAAATGTGTCCGTATGTAGGAAACATCTAAATGCTTACTTACCGCATATCTATTATGTATGTTGTAGGTAAATGTAATGGTTACAATCTGTTAAAATCAAAATCTCAAAAAAGCCTGTAGCAGCTTTTTGCTGTACCTTCCAGTATTTGACAATGAAGGAAAAACATACTTTGTTTTTGACCAACGTACATGTATTTTACAGCCATTTTTTGATTCTGGTCATGTGACTACTGATTCTGGTCATGTGACTTGATTCTGGTCATGTGACTACTGATTCTGGTCATGTGACTACTGATTCTGGTCATGTGGCTGTTGATTCTGGTCATGTGACTTCTGATTCGAGTCATGTGACTTTTGATTCTGGTCATGTGACTGCTGATTCTGGTCATGTGACTTCTGATTCTGGTCATGTGACTACTGATTCTGATCATGTGACTGATTCTAGTCATGTGACTTCTGATTCTGGTCATGTGACTTGATTCTGGTCATGTGACTGCTGATTCTGGTCATGTGACTTGATTCTAGTCATGTGACTACTGATTCGGTCATGTGACTGCTGATTCTGGTCATGTGACTGCTGATTCTGGTCATGTGACTGCTGATTCTGGTCATGTGACTACTGATTCTGGTCATGTGACTGATTCTGGTCATGTGACTGATTCTGGTCATATGACTACTTATTCTGGTCATGTGACTACTGATTCTGGTCATGTGACTGCTGATTCTGGTCATGTGACTGCTGATTCTGGTCATGTGACTGCTGATTCTGGTCATGTGACTGATTCTGGTCATATGACTACTTATTCTGGTCATGTGACTACTGATTCTGGTCATGTGACTGCTGATTCTGGTCATGTGACTACTGATTCTGGTCATGTGACTGCTGATTTTGGTCATGTGACTGCTGAGTCTAGTCATGTGACTGCTGATTTTGGTCATGCGACTCTTAAGTCAAGAAAGCCTCATTGAACTCTCCAAAATCATGCTTTTTTGAATGTGTGTGTGTGCATGCTCGTTTTCAAGATATTTGTATTTAATGTCTATTGGACTGAGCTGGACTTTTTAAATTCGAAATGAACATTTAAATGCTGAGGACGGGTTATTATAAAATGTCACATTTATAAAGGCTTTTTATAGGAAATGCAATACAGCAATGCAAGCTTGCAGAACGTGAAGTTTTTTAGGTATGCAATATTGTAGTAAATAGTTTTGCCAAAGAGATTTGTACTTTTGAGAGGGACTGTATTCTACAGTAATGCTTAGATAGAGGGAGCATCTTGAATTTGTGTTTAGGCAAACACACAGTTATGTACATGCAGCTACCACTTTTGTATCAAAAGTTAGGATTTTTAAATGCATGTGTGCATCATCCAAAATTATTTTCATTTATAAATGCTGCTTTTCTTAACAAGCCACAGTTGCAAGGCTGCACAGAAAATAATAGTGAAAGCTAGTTTGAGTTTGATAGCTGAAAATTAAGGAGCTTGCTGTGCTTGTTATATCATATAGCACAGTAAGACAGAGCATTTTATAGTCACATTTCTTATTGGCATCTTAGCCAAACTTAAGGATAAACCCTTCCACAAGTCTACCGATCCAAAGACTTTGATTCTTGGTTGGTAAGACAGATACTTGTACCATTTCTGGTTGGTTTTTTTCTCGTTCGTTTTTTGAGCAGGCTGCAAGTTGACTGGTTTGCACCTCTCAAAATAGGCTCAAAAGTGCCAGCTTGTGGCAGGGTATGGTACTGCAGGTAATGTAGAAGGAGATGTCCACTCAACAAGTATCCAAAGTCTTCCCCACAAGTGTGGGAACATGCATCTCGATTTAGGTTAGCTTGCTGAAAAATTACAGTTTCATCTTCCACTGGTGAAGAAAAAGGTTGGATGCATTGAGCATTATAGACAGCTTTTTGTACCAGGGATCTTTCCTTGGCCCATTTTTAAGTGGAGCAGAGCCCCTACAGTAGGGGCATTATCATTAGACAGCTTTAAACAATGTTTAGAGTTAGATGTTCAAGGGTTAGGTGTAACAGGTCTTTCAGTGTAATATAGCCAGCTGCCACTGCGCCGCGTGCCTGTGAAGCTGGTGTGTTATGCTGAAGGGCAGTTATACCAGCTATACAGATACAGAAGCTGGTGTGTTACGCCGAAGGGTGGTTATACCGGCTATACAGATACAGAAGCTGGTGTGTTACGCCGAAGGGCGGTTATACCGGCTATACAGATACAGGAGCTGGTGTGTTATGCCGAAAGGCGGTTATGCCGGCTATACAGATACAGAAGCTGGTGTATTACGCCGAAGGGCAGTTATACCGGCTATACAGATACAGATACAGCCATATTTGGCTCAGTTGAGGTTTTGTGTCTGTCTGTTTTTGTTTTCTTGTGTTTCTATAAATATATTATAGACACATTGAGGCCGCTGACTGGAAATTAGGTTAAGTGTCCTAGAAAAGGTTATGTCATTTCCTGCTAATGCATAGCTGTTGCCTGGTGAGAGCCACAATAATTGATTCACATGTGAGCAATGTTGGCAACAGCCGGGATTCGAACCCTGGACCTTGTTATCCAGAAGAAGGGTTGCCACACAATTCTACTCTTCCTGTTTTTAATAAAGATACTCTTTTTACACAACCAAGTGTTTTATTCAGCAATGAATTGCCATGAGGAAGGTGACAGACGGTCACCAAAATGTCAGCTGAATAAAAGACTTGGCTGTGTAAAAAGAGTCTGTTTACTCAGTGACTTACCAACCTGATGATATAACTATTCACAGATCTTCCTTCTTTGTTTGACAAATAAGTGACTGAATCATAAGACCTACGCACGCTGCCTTGTGATGATTATATACAGTATTATGTCGTATATAGCAGCTACAATTTTGAATGTGCAATTATGAATATCTATAATGTATGTGACTTTGTAATGACTTGTTTTGTTGAATTCCTTCATTCAAATCATCAAGTGATTTTAAAACTGATAGCAGAAGGAAGCCCATTGCATGATGGATATGCTCATAGGCTGCCCATAAATGCATCGTATTTTGAAGGTGTCCTTCAGTTGTACATGTAGAACCTAGTTATGTATTATGTTTGTAAGTTTATACTGCGTAGCCATTTTTAAAAATGTTGTCTGAAAAAGCGGTGGCATTTCCACTACTAATTATGAAATTCTTCAAAATGATCTTGTATCACATTCTTTTTAGGTAGAAGTGGTTTATTGTTGGGAAATTGCCGTAAAATGTTGCATGTGAAAAATATGATTTTTCATTTCTTGATCTGTACATGTATGTAGCTTGTCTAATGTTGCTGTGTGCTTGAGAGCAAATGTTTGATAAATTGTGATAACATTTATGTGAAGAAAATGAACATTTGTGTCCGTGTCATTTTCTTGTGTCATTCTTGATTCCGTTCTTTTGCTCCTTATGATTTGAAATTTTATAAAACCTTGTAGAAAGTCAATTTTTATTCCAATTACTTGCAGTTGCATCTGAGCTATTTAACTCTCCAAGGTATATTATATTTACTGAAGAGAAACATATTGTTTTTGCTCAGTTTTTTCGTCTTCTTCCACTTCTTCTCCAAAGAAATAAGGCGAATGACCTGAACCAGACGTCTGTCACCATGGTAACTGATGTTGGGTTACATCATGTTTGAATTTTATAGCAGGGAGGATCTAGACACCTGTTACCATACACACTGTGGTTACCATATTATATGAATGTGTTTGACTAAGAATTAACAGAGCAGACCATATGCGAAGGTGAACATTATGCCTTTGCTTTGCAAATGTTACCTTTCTAGTTTTTTTACGCGTTTAAGACATTTTATCAGTATCATACACTACTAGTTTATTACATCATTTGTTGTATCCTTATTCCCACAACTTTGTCGCCCTGTTTCTTTTTCTTGAGCTTTTCTTAAGACGATGCCAAACGTAGCAATGAATGTTTCTGGCCAAAACTACGTCAAAACAAGGACGTTAATATAATATTGTTTTGAAGCTCCTTGATCAAAACGTGCGCAGAAAGCGGCATATAAGAATTTACACGGAGGTGACCTCCCATATAAGGGAAGCGGCTCGCGGTGACGTCAGCGAGGCAATTTTAGGCTGCCTTAAAAGGAGTGATGACGTCAGCGGTGCCCGGGAGGCCGACGTTCTGAGAGATTTTTATAGTGCCGTGCGTAAGGGTAGAGAACTAGGCCGAAGTTAACAGACCTCGAAAGTAACTTTTCTTCATATATTGTCCCAGCACTGTCCCAAAAATAAATCTCAATTGTCCCAAAGTGAGAATGAACTGTCCCGATCTGTTTTTTCGAGTATTGTATGGCTTCAAATTTATCTTGCTTATGTTCACTCCCAGGCGCACTATAATTGCAGAGTAGATAGAAATTCGGGGGGATTTTTCCGAATCCAAAAGCCGGGACGTGTGCCTGATAAACAAAAAAAAAGAAGGGCTGACATTCTGATGTTGATTATTTTTCTATTGTCCTACGAATGTCCCAAAGTGTCTTTTTAGTTGTCCAGGCCTATTTTAGAGGTCATAGGACCATCTTCAATTTCGAGCCTTGACTTAATCTCCAAGCAGATTTTGTGGGGCAAGGGGACTCTATATTGTAGCCTCTACCAGGCTTTATTTAATAGGGAGGCGGCTGGAAAGAGTAGGAATCGAAGTGACCGAATACAAATGGTTAATGATGTAAAAATTTGAAAATGTAGGAATCTTGCTATAATGAGGGCAATGGCAAATAAAGTGAATTTCACCCTAGCCTCCATTGCATGCCAAAAACTGGGGATTTGGGGGGTCTTCAGGCTCTTTGGGAGCCTTTATGTGCTATTTTCTGATTGCATATAGACAACACAGCCGGCCTGGTTGAATTACCCCCGTTTTAGAACTGGGCTGATCAGAAAACAGCCGAAGACCACCAAATCCCCAGTTCTATAAGCCTGCCACGGAGGCTAAGAATCTTGCTATAATGAGGGCAATGGCAAATAAAGTGCAATTATTTATTTATTTATTTCTGTTTTATTTAAACAGGGTAGAAACCTCAGTGATATTTAAAACCACTGCTTTTCAGGAATGCCATGTAACAACAATTAGTGACACATGAAAACAATGAAATCAATGCGCGCGCTGATGTCATCCACAAAATTACTTGCTGTGGGCCTAAATGGAGCATTTCATCCTATATATCAAT